GTAAACTACAAAATAGTTTGCAAGAGAAGGCAATCGACTATACCATACAGAATGATTCTTTTCATTTTACATGCCAGAGTGTATTACGTATGATTCCTAGGCTTCAATTTTCTTTTGATGATTGTATGAATAATGAAAAGTTAATTAATAAGTTATTCATGTCTCCAGAGAAGGGTAATATTTATTTCTTGACTCAACCTGTTATAATTGAGACCCCTAATTTCACAAATATTTTTAGGAAGATACAAAAACTTGTTTACAAGGTATAAGAACAATAAATTACCTGAAAGGTCATTAGTAAGTTCATCCTTCATTAATTGCTCAGAAAGCAATACAACTAATTGGTTCACACCCACAACACGTTCTCCAAGATGCAAAAGTAGCTCACCTTGCCATAATAAAAAGGCCTCTCCACGATACTCTAAATTATTTTCACCCAGATATACAAATAGACATTTTGCAGGTTTGAAGCATTTAAACTAGAAACCTTAGATATTTTTATTTAATTATGTGCTAATTATTTTTACTATATTTTTAGGCACTTGTAGTATATCTAGTCCAATAAAGGATGTGGCAAAACGTCTACAGTCCAAGAATCAAACAATAGATCTTAAAGCAATGGATGTAAAGACAGCAATACAAAATATTTATGAATTTTCTAACCGAATTACTGAAATTGCAGCTTCTTTATACGAGTCTTAAAAAAATGGTTTTAGAGTGCAGAAATGCATCTGTAAGTAATACATGCTCATGATAATAAATTAATAAAGACTTTGTAAGTGATACGTGTTCACAATAATAAATTAATAAAGACTTCCATACTGTTACAAGAATAATTATGCGTCCTACTTATATTTCTATCAAGGGTATATATGTATGTAATAATATTTGTCAGGATCCCATAATCGTAATAATCGAAATGTAGATGACGGAATTACAAAACGAGTTCACATCTGTTGCATTGCGCAGGAAGTGCATACGTATCAATATTTTTATGCAGATTTCCGTTTTCAGACAGATTCGATTAACCTTGCTTTGAATTATGCATTTTTTATGATATTGTCAACTGTAAGAACAAAGAAAGATAACCAATCAATGAAACTAAGCGGAGAGAGGTAAGCACGATTGCGAGAAGTGAGATGAGGAATGTGCTGCTAACTTGCATCTTGTGTCGGACGGCGTGATTGCAACTGTACCGTGTTTATAGTAGTTCTTTGCTGTGTTACCTAAACTTTAGCCGTGAGCGGTAAAGAATTGCATAGCGAAAAGAGTTGCAGATTGCGGATTCAAAAACTTTGTAAATAAAGTTTCATGTTTTATCGTATTATAAAAAATAGCATTATATTATTTTTAATTTATTGATGCACTAAGCTTGTTTCGTTTACTGAAAATAAAAAACAACGTTGCATAAACATTTTGTTCTCCCATTGTATACATTGTGTTTTATGGAATAACCTTTCAGATTTGAGGTTATGGTTCATCTGCAGCCCGTTTTGATTTTCGAAGATCTTTGTTGAATTTTATGAGAGGACGAGTTCGTTTGAATAGAAATTAAGGCCGATATAATGTTGACTTGTGTGGCTCATGGTTGTCTTACGAATCAGAACACAAGAATCGATGGAAATGATGTTTCGTTGTTCCCTTTCCCTAATGATGTTGCGTGAGTGTATTCGTTATTCTAAATCTTACCTATTGTGTATTAATGTTATTTGATATTTCAGTCAAAGAAGTTCATGGTTAAAAATCTGTAAATTAGACGACACTGTGGAAAGAGAGAAGCCACTCTACATTTGCAAATTGCATTTTGAAAACGCGAGTTTTACAGATTCTATGCAACTGAAAACCAATGCTGTTCCAACTATTTTTGAGAAAGTAGAAGGTATGGGAAACAACTGTGATTATATCTTATCACAATGTTAATCCATGTTGATTACAATGTTAATCATTGTAGAAGGACAAAGGAAGCGTAAGTTGGATGATACGCTTGAGAAAGAGATACCAAAAACTCCACCACTAAAACAGAAAAAACTGGATGATAATTCTCATGGTTTAGTAGTAACATCGCCGCAAAGTCCTTGCACTCAACTAATAAAAAATGTAAGTAAATACTCTATTAAACGATAGTTAAGGCAATGTTTGATATACTTATAAAGTATGGTTTTGCAGGTGAAGAAGATAAATAGGGAAGACAATATGGATACACCCACTGAGAATGAAGTTTCAATGAATGGTTCTGCTAGCTCATGTCAAACTGTAAAAATAGGAAAGAAGCAGTACCGATTAAATATACAGATAGATAAAATACATGGTAAACCATGTCCTAGATCTAGAAAGCTTATGGCATTAGCAGAAATGAAGAAGGAGAAACAAGAGCTTTCTAATACTACGAACAATACAGACCAAAAGGATCAGAACTTACAGAGAAATACTAGAAAAGCAGTCTGTGCAAAGGGTGGTTGTAAATTAAAGAAATCTGTTTATGATTTTAAGCCAGCTTTTCAGTGCGAACACTGTGATAAATATTATGTCATGAAGAAATCTGAGAATCTGGAGGAGAAGAATACCTGTACCATATGTAAAAAAGACTTCCCATCTTTACAGTCTCTGAACAATCATACTAAGACCCATTTTGTGTGTGATATGTGTCAAACAGAAAATAGTTCTCAAATAGCTCATGACAAACATATGATACTACATGTTAGTTCGGATCCAGTTAAACCTTACAAATGTCACCAGTGTACAGAAATCTTTGCATTAAAGCAGGACGTGAGGCAACACTATTTAATCGTTCACCCAACGATTAAACTTCAAAACACGATTTTACAAGTTACCGCATCGCCCTTAACGCAACAAGTATCTAAACAACAAGACTACCGCTGCGTCAGCTGCAATATGACGTTTAGAAATGAACATGCATATAGGTAGATTTTATTATCATAAACAAGATAAAGTCTCTCATCTGCATATAATAATTCATAACTGTTCTTCCAGGAACCACATAAATTCTCACAAGAAGAAAGAGGGTCTAAGGTGCAGCATTACCGACACCAACAACATATTCCCAGTACCCAATCCCTTAACTGGTAGTCAAATAGGCATCCTTCGGGCCGTGAAGTTCAGTTGTAGAGTCTGTTCTATGCAATTCGATAATGTAGCGGAGGTCGACAGGCACACGAGAACGCATCTAGAGAAAGACAACGAAGAGGAGAAGAAGTGCAATACGTGCCAGAAGCAATTCAAAACGAATGCACAACTCAGCGAACACTTAAAGACTCACGAGCCGCGCACGCACCCCTGTCCCGTATGCTCAAAAACTTTCATTAACCGGACCACATTGAAGATACATTTAAAGAGTCACGGTGAAACGTAGATTTTGATAGTTGACGAATTTAAATACTACATGAATCTCTGGTTTGAGATCGAATACTTGGTTGTTTACACATTTTTATTTATCTCTGCGTGCCACAGGTGCACCAGCAGCAACTTTGAATAATCCGTACACCGTCTGTTACTTGTGAAAGGAGCTCTTTTATAAAGTGAAAGAAGCTTATGTACATTTCTGGAATATGATTAAATTCATGTGTAATAAGCTACATTGTACTTTTTTTTCTATACCTTTAAGTTGTTTCCGTAAAATTTAGAGATAATCTAGTTTCTACAGCGTTAGCTCTCAATATCTTAGGTTTAAACAAAGTAAAAGCGTTTTCTATAGAAGAAAGCAACCCTTCCGAAGCGTGATCATTTTTATGGACTGTTAGGATTAAGATCAATGATTCCATATTGACCCCTATCACTATAGCGCCCAATATTTAAAAATAAGTAAAAGCGTTACCCGTGGAACAAGGCTGATCATTTTCATTGAATATCAAGATGAAGATCAAATTGCTCCTCCCTAGAAGAAGGCACCCCTGCGATTTTACTGAAAGCATGTCTGCTCGCATAAAGTTATCGACTTCGGCAACAAGTGTCGAAGACCATAGCGAAGTTTCGTGGCATCCACCGCAAAGACTGGAAGAATGAAAATAATAGAAAGCGGGCTCCTTTGAGGTGCGCTTGCTTCTTTGGCTGCTGGAACGCGCGTAGAATGATCCTGATTTTTCCGACAGGAGTCGCCGACTATAAGGGGGAGGGGGCGACGATGGAGACTCGGAAACGAGGGCAAACGACCCTCTGTGAAAGGGAGCCGCCATCCAGTGACGGAACAATCGCGGCCGATGTTCACGGTCCTTCTGTCAACGGGGACCACTTCAAACGTAGCCGGCACTCAATGTGTTTATTTGGCCAACGTCAAATTTACTCGTGAAAAAGGAGAGCTCGCAACGCGTCCCATCGACACCTTGTCGCCCCCTCGATCCTCTTGCGAAGCCGCTGTTTTCCCCGAGCCGAGGGAAATCGGATCGTTTTGTCGATCATCGGCACTTGGGCGTGGCTCGTGTCGCCTATTGTCCGGCTGCTGACTTTCTTCCGACCAAGTACATACTCTCTGTTACGATTCTTGGTAATCCAGTACTCTCTGCATCTCCATGCCAAATCTCGTCGGTCTCATGCAGGTTTAGCAACTAGAACACTGTCTTTTACGAAGCCAAGAGATCAGAAGTGATTAACATTTTGTCTGCTTCCCAGACGCATTGGGGAACTTGACTTGGATTGCAGATATTTTTTCTGTTACAATTGATACAGAAACATTCCCCTGTCGTAACACAGGAAGGCATTTTTCATCCCCTCGATAACAAGTAACGAATACAGCGTTGTCCTTGCGGTTGGAGTGGAACAAGATTAAAATGTACTTGGGACTCCATCCAAGGTTCCCTGGTTTACGGAAAATCGCGCGATTTGCTACGCGACAGCCCACGTTTCCCTTAATTTTCACGGAACACCCTTAGCTATAGAGGTACGAGAGCGAGAGCTAGACACGGCACGACCGCTTAGGTATCGTGGAAAACCATGGCGAATTTATGGAGTGGCTCGCATTGGCTTCGTAATACCTGGTCGGTCGATTGTTGTCCCCGCATTTTCGTGCTGACACGCCGTCACTAAATACGCGGGGTCACGTATTCCGCCAGCTTAACGTGGATTAGAGGATGTCCCACGTGTAAACTGTTATAAATAGCTTCGAGGATCTCGTCTTGGGTGATGATGATCGGATTTGGTATCGCAGGGAACAAGAAATACGACTTTGCAGGCTGGGATGATTAGATCGTCGAAGCAAGGAAGACAAGAAATTAATAATAATCGAAGTAAGAGTACATAATGGAGGACAGGTAGTTATGATCGAGGAGTTGACACGTCCTTTTTTTCAGAATGCAGGTAAATTCTCTCAAAGGTGGATAATCGTATCTCCTCATACCCGAAATTGTTCATTTTTTGAGCAACAAGCTGAGGGACAATTTGAGAGCATTTACTGTACGTGTAAATTTTCCAGCAAGAATTCGCGAATTTCAGCGTGACGATCGATTTAGACCGTGCTGCTAGGAATTTTCACGGTTCCATTTTTCGCGGGGGTGTCCGAGCGTGACATAGGAGGTTCCACGGTGAAAAGGGACGTCCTGCAGTCGAATTTGCATGGCGCACTTGGTCGAAAGGGTTGTCAGGACATGCTAATTCATGACGGTGACCGGCATTCGCCGTCGGGAAGCTGTTTCCCGATTGTGCTGCACCGTTTATACGAAGTCAAAGCGCCGACAACGCGACGCAGCTGCGCCCGTCCGATGCTCATCCTTGCATCTTTTCGGCAAAATAGAATGATGCTTTTGCTTGTGATCGTGTCAACGAGCCGCTGTTGGTTGCAAATTGTTGTCTTCTATGTTAAATATTATTCCGTAGCCAGCTGGACGATGTTGGACATGCTTGTAAAGCAGAGAAGCTATCAAAGCCTTTTACAGGAATATGATACTATGTTGTCAAACACAGTGAAATAATTCGAACACAGGGAAAACAAAAGTTTACACTACAAAGTGTCGCTTACGCATCTCGGGAAGCAAAACTGGAGCAACCGCAGCCGAAAATGGCGGCGACAAGGGGTCGATTCAAGCATGGCGATCCAGGGAGGCATCTGAAAAGACAAAGCCGATTGTGTTATGAAAGATAGTATAGGCAATAAATTCCGAATAAATTCAGGCTTCGGGAAAGAAGTCCAAGAACCAAGGAGGAGATTTCTGTTCGAGAGGGGCCCGTGTCCGAAGAAAGCCATTGTGAAACCGCAGAAAGCGCGTGCACGTACGTTTATGAGTTAGGAAAGCGGAGAAAACGTCGCGGCTTGGTAACGCTGCGGAACGGAGAACAGAAAAGGCGAGAGGAGAAGAATGGGACGAGAGACAGGGAAACGCGCCTCTCTTCTTGCTGCGGGCACGGGCCATCTGGCAGAGCGATCTTTTATAGGATCTATCTATCCCGGGTCCTCTGCTCAATGAAGGAGTCACTCGCGTGGAAGTTGCTGGCCCTTTTGATTAATGGCGGCCGAGATAAACCGCCTCGGGTGCTCGATAGCGTCACTGATCGCAGCAGAATCGACGGAAACCTTCGAACGTCTCCGACTTACCGCAATTTGGGGTGCGATCGCAGTCCGGCGAGACCTTCAGGTTCTGGAACCCACTAGATTCCGCTAATTCGAAGTCCCGATCGTTTTCGCTTAATTGGCACAGAAGCATGATCGGATCAAAGAACACTAATTCCGACGTGTCCCAAATAACCGGAATCTACTGCATCTCTAAAACTGGTGGCTGCGGCAGACTGAGGTCATCCGCAACGAATAAAGCAGCTATCGATCCGCGAGCCTAATCAGCCACCCCCGCAGAAGTCATGTCGGGATCGTCCAGATTCTCATGATCCCCTAAAGCAAACCGTACGCACGCAGATCAGCATCTCGCGAGCGCGCTTCCGTCGACGGACGATGACAAAGACAACTTGTCGGGGTGGCAGAGAGGAAAGGGGGGAGAAAAAAGTGGCATAAATCATTGGCGGGTACCGGACCGATGAATCCTGTTGGGTTCATTCGCGTGGAAGGGGCATAATCAAATTTCGGGCCGCCATGCGAGGGGCGGCGACTCTGCGGTCGTGCACACTTTCCAAGCTTTTCTGCTTACAGGAGGGTGGGACTCGGTCGAGGGCTATTATGGGGCTTGCCACGGCTTACCCCTCGACTGCCACGGTGCAGCAAGGGGGCTCCTACGGTCGCCCAACCGTGTACCGAGCCGAGGATTGCACCCGACGTCGCGACGCTTGCGTCCGACGCACCGTGTGAAACTCGCGATCGCGGAAATCTGCAATCATCGGTTTCGCTATTTTTCTAAAGGCTGGGAAAGCTTCGTGCACCCGTTAATATATGTTCAAAGTGAGTACATGCTTCAAAGCCACCAATTTTAAGCAATTTTTCAAATAAGGATTGGCACGGTTTTTACAAGTAAAATGATTGAAAATTTGGTATAACTTTGGCCATATTTCAGGATAGTACAGTATAACATATTATTGTTGAACAGATTATATATAATTGCTGCACGATAAAATTGTTCGCGGTTGCCATGATTCAGGTCATTGTATTCACTGTAAGAAGAAAACATAATTATTATTTATATAGAAATGGCTGTCCCGTGAACTAGGCTAACGTAGAAAAAGATTTCATTAACAAGATAACTCGGAGTGAGAGAATTGAAGGAGGAAATAATTGATTCTGTTAAGGATTTTTTGTACTAAAAATTGATTCTGTTAAATAGGATATTTTCTTTTAGTAAAAATTAAGTAGGATATTTTTTGTAGCCTAAATAGAAAAACAGATAGTATTAATTCTTGTTAATATACAGCTTCTGATATATTTCATTTTGTCATTTGTATAATTGCATAAAGATCTTCACAGCCTACTGATATTAAACAATATTTTATTTCAATGTGCACACTGGCATTAGAATTAAGAATGTTGAACATTATCTTGCATAACTTATGCACGAATAAAGAAACAAAACGGTGACAATAAAATTGTCGCACATCGCGTATTCATTGTTCTATTCTCCCGTGATCGATCGCGTCTCGATCGGTCAGAAATTTATTTCCCAATTGTTCGACGACAGTCGATCGTGCGATCCTTCAATTTTAATCGTCCACGTGCTCGCATGTCCATCGTTCGACCCAGGAAACACAGATTTTTTGTGAATTCGGGGTAAAACGCTAGCAAAACGTATCGTCGATCTGTCATTCGACTTTGACAGAAGCACAAGACGATCTGACGAGGCGCGCATCGTTGTTGAGTTTTTTTTTTAACTGTTGACGAACCGTCGACCTCTCCAGAACGGACTGGTAAACGCCTTTTGCATCGACATTGCTTGCTATAATTAAACCGTTTTTCATCCATTCAAATCAGGAATTTTATGATAATAATTGACTTGTTCGATTAACGGGAGAAAAGTGCATATGTTACATTAATGTAACAATGTGTCGCGCGACTAGCAGAAAAGAAATAAAAAAAAGGAGTAGTAAACGATACAATTAGAAAGTAATAAGTAATCGCAAAATTTAATAAAATGACAATAAAGGAGTAGAGAATAGTGTAGTAATAAAATCGGAACAATATAATAGAGATGGAATATGTTGCAAGAGATCATTATGCGATCTTATATTTATTTATTTATTTAATCTTTGTGTGAATCAACTGTTAGCATAGCAAAAGTTTTTCAGAAACGACGCAAGGCTTTGAAGAAATTTCAAAATTGGCCAAACGGCACAATGATGTTATCTTCTTATTTACGTAACGGATTAATCCTAATTGTTAAATTAAACGCTTAAACGCAGATGTTGCTATAGTTTTACCCGTGATGGCACCGGGCGCTAAAAATCTGGCTGGTTCCCTGAAACCCTGTTTCACTCTGTCCCGATACGAAACATTTTTAAATCTGTTAGCGACCATTGTTATATATTACAGTTTCGACAACGAGCCAGTGGAAAGTTACAGCCTATTATACCCATTCCTCGGCAAGGAATTGGACATAAATCAATTCGCATAACGCGTACAGGAAATGTCGCAGAGATTACATGTAAAATTACATAGGCAAAGAAAACGAGCTTTTTAAAAGTCTGTTTTTCCTGTTGCGTCAGAACGGTTTCGAAGGGACAAATTTCTGCACAAAACCAGGCCGTACAGCTCGTTGTTATGACGTCCGAAATGAAAAGTAAGACGGATCGAGGGATCTACGACGGTAGATCGACCGATCCATCAAAATTTTGCGACAGAACGGTTGCGTTCTCTCCTCGCGACGCTAAGAAAGGATTCTTGTTTCTCCTGATCGAGCTTCCTGCGTCCTTTGAACGAGTTTCGAGGGGAAGCGATTGGAACCGACCAATCCTTTTTGAAGATTCCAAGGATTTGCGCAAATATTGCTCGGAATCTTTTGTGCGGCTGATAGAGGAGGAATCTTTGCGGTCTTGAGAACATTCTCCGACTCCTACGATTCTTCTAGGCCCAGTAAAAAGAACAGAAATGACAGGAATACGACACACAGGGCGCAAGAGTCAACGAAACTGCGGAACAATTTTTTCCATTCGAAACTCGCAGTTTGCATCATTTCTATAAGTACGAAAATAGATCATTCTCAACTGAGTTGGGACGAACTGCTATAATTATATAATATATATAATATAATATATAATAATTTATATATAATATAATATAATATATATATATATATATAGTATATATAATATAATTATATATACTATATATAACTACAACTATATATAACTATATACATATAAATACATATAAATATAACTATAACTAACGGGAAATCGTGTTCACGATCGGTGGTTACTGGACTATGGAAATATTTGCGAAATTAATATATGATATATGCAAAATATATGTAAAATTAATGTAGAATTACATATGCAAGAAATATAAAAACTGTACGCAAATTGTTTTATTGTCTGCACTACTACTGATTTATTCTAGCAAACAATTAATTGATTTGTGATTCCGATTACCACGATTGTGTTTCGTAATTACGAAAGTAATCAGGAAATAATTGATTACTGTTCAATTGTGATTCTCGCACATCTGTGGATTGTTCTGCAAATTTTACTGAACCTAAATACAGCGAAAATACAACAAGGATTGTTCTGTGGGCGATCAGAAATCAATGCGAAGAATAAAAACATCGTTCCGATTAGTCCCAGGGCGTGATAAAATAATAAGGGACAGAATTTAAGACAACAACAATGTCATATTAATTGGATTACTCGCTTTCCAGGTTATTTATTATTTGTTATCGGTTTATAATATCTTCAGATTCGCTATGAAAGCGAACGTTGTCTATTACGCATAAATGTTATATTCTCTTTTTTTCAAATAGAAATAAAACTAAACTTCTTTATGAAATTATTAATAGCCTGCTGACTATTTCCTTCCATTATTTCATTTCCTTTTAACTATTTTTCTGCTATATCTTTTTCTTTACTTTGTATTACATACCCTTGTTTAATTTACTTCGTCATCTTTTTGTTTGACGGCATTACCATCACCGTAAGAACCTCGTTACATATACATATATTATACTTGTAATGGAAAAATATTTTTCCGTCAGTTAAATAAATTAAAATAAAAAACTAAATCCTCCTGTCGTCGTTATTTAACAATTGATATAGACATAACAATAAATATTAAATTTCTTTCTCTTGCAGGAATTTATCGTGGACAAAGCAGTGCCAACCAACGTAGCTGTGAGAGAAATCGTAGCGAAAGGGTTCATCGAATCTTTGAATCACGTGCCAATTTCGTGTACAATTTATTGATAATAGAATTGTTTCATTTGAATGCAATGACTGATTTTTCAAGCATAGTTTGAGGAAGTTGAAGTTGGGGCTCGATGACTAGTAAGAATAATTTCACGTATATTTCCGCAAAGTTTGCGAATCGATGGAAAGCGATGTTTTAAGTAAAAGTCAAATAAGAACAGCGAGCTGTTAGAGTTCGCAAGGATACTCTTGTCTGTTCGTTTGAACAAATATTTACTCGGTCGTGGACAAGGTCTTGGCGTGTTCGAATATTTCATACACAATAATCTGTTACTGTTCCCTAGAGAAAGCAGCCTGTAACTGTATTTCCACTGGAAAAACAATTTCAACCGATCAGTCGAACCAGCAAATTTAAATATAAATAAAATAATTAATCAGCTGTTTCAACGTTGTCTTTGAATTACATATATCGGTTCGTGCCTTTTTCCTAATCGTTTTTGCACGGTTCCTGACCTACAGAAATAAAGGTACAAAGGAAAAAATGCTTACAGGTCGCAGATGTATACGACGACGCGTGAAAAAACCGCCTTCAGTACATAATCGTGAAACGATTATTTAATTAGCTTTTGTAATATTATCTTTGGAGTACGTACATGGCATAAATATTCTTAACAGTTACTTTGCAAAATTTATGATTCGCAGAAATGAAGGAGCAAGCGAAAATGGGTTTACATGCCGCAGCAGAGGGGCGACAATACGGAGAACAGCTATTTTCAGTCATTATCGTGAAACTATTATCCAATTAGCTATTTTAATATTGTCTCTGGACTATACACGTGGTATAAATATTCCCACCAGTTGCTCCGTACAGTTTCTCATCTGCAGGATCGAAGAAGCGGGCGAAGAAACGGACGCAAAAATCGCGGTGGCACGCGACAATATGCGAAACAGTTATTTTTTAATGAACAATTGCGAAACGATTGTCCGATCGGCTATTTTGATATCGTCCTTGGGCTTCGTAAACGGTACAAATATTTCTGTTAGGTCGTATAAAAACTGATCGCGAGTCGATGTGACGCGCGACAAGCGAATTCTTCTGTCCCACCATAAATCCATCGAAAACCGCGGATCCGCGGACTCGTCGTTTCCCTCGCCTCTGTTTACCATCGATCTCTCCGGTGTACGCGTGCAAGTAGATTGCGTAGTCGTGTAAACGTCGCTGGGAGACGGGACGATCCGTGGCAAACCGGCAGAAAGTCGGCGATGATCTCGCGGCGTGGACCAACAAAGGGGCAAGAGGGAGGGAAAAAAGGAGCGAGAGAGAAATAACGAGGGAAAGAGGCAGAACGATCAGAGAAACGGAGGAGAGAAATAGTGAGGCATCAATGGTCCCGAGCTGGTTTTGTACGAGGACCGTTTTGACAGAAGGGCACCGCGCGCGCGGCTTTTGGGGGTGCGAGAAAGAGAGAGAGGAAGATCTTGGTTGCCAGGGGATGAAGCGGAATAGGTGGCAAACGGAGGGTCGCCTCGAACTTGGAGTGTTACAATAAATCAACGAGACGCGATTCTGCGGACCTCCACCCTCGTAACTTCTGCAGAATATATCCCATAGAGGACACGAGGGCACCCGTTGGACCGGCGACTGTCCGTTTCATTGTGTTTAAAGTGCTTCCCGCTCGGATCCGTCGCGTATCAACCGTATAAACAATTTATTATTGCTTCCTGTCGCGCGGCTCTCACCATCCGCTCGTTTGTTCGACAATCTCCGGAACTGTCGGGGCGGTTTTCCAACGACGAGCATCCTTTTCTTTTGCATTTTGCAATCAATTTATTTCGAAAACTAGTCAGAACATTGCGACGACGATCGCACAATAATCGAAGTGATTTAAAAATATGCAGGTTTCTGAATTTTTAACGATGCGGTTAGCTTTTGCAGTTGTGACACGATTGAGATGGTAGGCAAAGAATATTCCGTCGCTTGAAGCTATACATACAAAATGGAATGGAGAAAATTTTGATGGGTCGACAACGTGATACAAATGCAAATGATTCGACAAGAGGATTTATTGTTTAATCGAGTTACGATATTGCGTGACGATGTTTACATAGCAGTCGAAGAGACTTAAAAATATACATATTCAGACTTTATACATATATATTAACGATTGTTACTTAATTCATTGTCACAGGATCGCACTGATTGTACGACAAAGAAAATAACTGAGAGTCAGATTGATCAAAATGCAAACGATCGACATAGGAAAAACAATTTACTCTTAAAAATAGTTAGCATATTGTCAAAAAGATATTCAAATATACAGTACCACTCTGGCCTCCATACTTGTTATGCGATTATTATGATAGATAAAGGATATACTGTTGTTTTAATTACGACAGATTGAAAACATAATAAAAACAAATGGTTTTAACTAGTTGCCATATTGCGTCGATAATTACGCGATAGTCGAAGAGATTTGAAAATATACAAGAATTTATATACATTTAGTCGCAATTGATCGATCCATTGTTGCATAATCGGAACGATGATGACAACAAAGAAAATTATATCATTTCAAGTTATCCATGATGAAATAAAAAAGATTTAACAGATCGACAAATCGATCAAAATCGAGTCGATACAAGGAAATACATATTATCTTAAAACTAGTTAGCTTTTTGTGAGGATTACTGCATAGATATTGCAAAAGATACTGCACACACTGCAAGAGATATTCAAATATACAACTTTTCCCTCTACATTTGTCATGCGATTAATATGATAGATAAAGAGTATGCCGGCGTTTGAATTTTGACAAATTGAAAACATAATAAAAACATAACAAGTTGTCATGTCGGATAAATCAGTGTTCGATAGTCGATGCGATTTAAAAATATACAGCAAGAAAATTTATGTACGCTTAATCGCATTTTAAAAAATTGCTGTAATATCTTTAGCTCTTACGATTGTTACAGGTCTAGCCCGGCAAATAGCCCGCAGTTTGGTAATACACAAAATGATATTGAAAAAGGAACTATCAATCGACAATGATGATAAAAATAGAAATGATTTCGGTAGGAAAGACGAAACAAGTTGACGAGCTTGAACAGGGGTTGTATCAGAAACTGAAATCGGTACCGTGCATTTCTCCCACTATCCATGAACGTTCCTGATGGTTGCTCGGGTTCTGTATTCGATAACAAAAGGGCAAAAGCCCCATTGCCGTGGCGACCGATCAATTTTGCACGAATGGCTTTACATCGCGCAGCGAGCCCTCGATAGGCCTCCCTAAAACCCACCTTTGGCCTTACATCGAAGGGCGCCTTTTAGTCACTCTACCTCCTCGTCCTACCGCCATCTCTAAACGATCCAATCCTGTTCAGAGGGTGGACACCACTGACGGTATATAAGGTTGCAGGAGCGTTCGCTGAAGACCAGTCTTCTTCGGAGACAGCCCCCGTGAACGCGTTGTAATCAATACAACGTGGACGAATGATTTCTCTGCATTCCCAAAGTTTATCTGCTACAAGCTCAAGGGAACTTTGTTGAATGTTCTGGAAAATCTTCACTCCAGTTTATATTATACTGCTAAAAACACATGCGTGGGATCAGGATCAATATGTTCTTCAGACCTTGGAATTCTACGAATGTTAGAGAGCAGATTCCAACAATTGAATCTGGTAGTGTTGAGAAAATATTGACGTCCACGGTAATCAAAAGTGAAGAGGACATTCATAGCGGCGCTTCCACATCTACCTACGAAGAAAACAGTTCGACAAGTTCGAATCTTGATGGTGCTCGCGGTACACGCGGACGTCAACGAAGAAGAAGCGAGACATCGTTCGAAGCATCGAGTTCGAACTGCTCGGTAGATAGTCAAGAAACCGCAACCGAGCGCAGATTGAATACACAGCAAAATTTAACCCTCACCAGTCACAAAGAAACTCCATCCTGTCCACAGCGTGTCTCCTTGGCATCAAAGTCTTATTCTGGTGTAACTACAGCAGAGTCTGGTTGTAGTCCAGTCTCGGATTATTCGAATCTGGCTTTGAATATGGGTTATCTTCAACAAATGGCGCTCCATCGTACAAACACTTTAGCCTCGTTGAATGGTAATTCCATAGTGATGCCAATGGAACTGGGATCAACAACAGTCAACACATCTGCGGTTCTAATGATTCGGCAGCCTTTTCAACATGATTACCCTGGAGTACATCTTGCCCAAGGACTGTATCCGCCAACGATGGAGCACGCTGTGGAGCTGATTCACAGGCAAGAAGCAGTTGCCAAGCAATTGAAGAAGCTTCGTCCAAAGAAATTCCGTTGCGAACACTGCGACGTCGCCTTCAGCAATAACGGCCAGCTGAAGGGTCACATCAGAATACATACCGGTGAGTTTCACCTTCATATCAAATTTTTTGCAGTCATATTTATCAAACGATGTTGTGTGGCCAGTGACGGTTAACCCTAACTGACAGCTGCAATTGTTTTTTCTTTTTTTTGGACGCTTCAATTTTAATGTTCAAAGTCCATGTTTACGAAGTTCAAACGGAGGACGTTTGCCTGGATCCGTTAATTTTATCTCAAACCAAAGTAAAAATTTGATTCTTCGTATTTCCCCAAACGAAATTTCCTCGCTGATGTATTTTTGGCAGAATATTCAAGCAATCTGCTACGAGACAGCTTATTAGAGATATCTGAAGATCGACAGAGAAAAACTAAAATATCGTCCATTTTCTAATTACAGGGGAGAGACCATTCAAATGCGACGCAGAGGGTTGCGGCAAAGCGTTCACCAGAAACGAGGAGCTAACGAGACACAAGAGGATTCATACAGGATTGCGACCGCACTCTTGTCCGGTCTGCGGGAAATGCTTCGGCAGGAAGGATCACTTGAAGAAGCACACGAGAACACACGAGAATCGTGATCCGTACAGAATGTCCGCCGCGGCTTTGGGGATGTTCGCCCTGGGTCATGCGCTACCTCTAGGACACGCGCTACCTCTAGGACACGCGCTACCTCAAGGACATCCACTACCTCAAGGACATCCACTACCTCAAGGACATCCGTTCCCTCCATACGTGTATCCGATTTGACGATCTCGGCGATTCTCGATCGCGGTTACTTTTGTAAGATAGCAATATTATGTATATATTTTTGTAAAGCGTGTACATTTGTCCGAGAGATCTTTATATTTATATATATTTATACACACTTGCGAATATTTTTACAAATTCGCGACGATGCCTTTGATGAAAAGATTCTACGTTTTATGTAGAATCGCTCGAATGTCGGAGAGAGAAAGTGAAAGAGATAATTATATTTTTGATAAAACGTGATTTTTAGTATGTTTAACGATCGACAACTGGTGTGTCGGATGTTAGTCAAGAAACAGTGCACTCGATGAGTGCATGTACTGCAGGGATTTTGACTTATATGTATGTACACGAGAACTTGACCTGAAGATTATATTATAAATGATAAATAAATTGTTATCTATTTTGACACTAACTTCCGACTATTTTCATTTATTAAACGTTCCTTAAGTAAGTCCAATGGTTTGCAGAATACTAAACACTTTAATATATACTATATTTTTTATTGAATATATAACATATTTAGTGTTCGATTTTTCTTGCACTTTTAAAAAAGAAGATTATTTGCGATAGTTGGTCGATATCTTTCTGAAAATACTCTAAAATCTTTAATAATTCTCAACATTGAATCTCTCGTTATTTATTGAACAAGGTAGAATATTTATATGATAATTATTCAAGGTTCTATTGAAGTCAAATATTTTTAAGATTGTTAACATCGAGAGTATCGTTGTTTTTCGTCAGGGCAGTTGCAGAACCACCATTTTCCCGACAATTAAGTGCAAGATGGCGTCGCGAGAACCACGTGCAGCCCTCGTAGGACGAATGGGGGAATCCCCCTCCCATCGTATAGGACCGTTGTCGCATAAGGGCTGGTTCGAGGGGATGGGAGTTGCGCCCTTTTGTAGCCTGGAAAGGGACAGTTACCCTGTGCAAGCCTATCTCAGCCCTTCTTCTACTTTTTTGCGCGTTGGATCACAATACGTTCTTGTGGCACAGCTCGTGGTCGCATACATAAATGTTTCGGTTGATCATGGGGTGGGAAGAGCGAGGGGTGGTGGCCAGATTGCGGCGAGGAAAAAACTCGGATTCAATTAATTCCCCCCGGCACGATCGCCCTGCTTCTAAATTACTCCGGGGATTAATTCCTCCGTTATTTTGGCGAAGTTTAAAAATCGAAGACATTCTAAGGGGGTTGGTGAACATTTCCTTTCTATTCTAATTTACCGCAAATAATGCTTCATGTATCATTTAATGAGAATCGCGAAGAAGGATATACTTGATTATTTTGCAGGTTTATTTTCTGATAATATTGACAATGTTGATAACACTGTTTCCTTTTCAATAAATAGTTGAATATGCGCAGAAGTACATAACACGAAAGGGAGATGAAAAAATATATTCTTTTCTTCTATTCTAATATTCTTCAAATAGAGCTTCATTTATAATTTCAGAAACATCGCGAAGGGAAATACTTTTGAATAGTAATAATATCGATGTGTTTCCTCTTTAATAAATAATTAAATATACTACTGAAGGAACTTGGAAGACTCTCTGAACGGTCTCGAACAGAATAACTAAGCAATTGAACGAGCGGTAAGTTTATAAAACTTATAGTTAAATAATAAGCATCACGTAATGATATTGAAATTATCTGTTTGCAGGTCCTCGCGACTCGTGCAGTGTTCACAGACGGAAAAACCCGACGGCTTAAGGATTAAGTGCATCAGATTCTCACACTTGGACACGCATATTTTCGGCAGCTCGGCGGGTAGAAGCAACCCTGCTGGGACATTCGTTCAAGCTCGTTGACACCCCCCTACCGATTTGCAGATATATGACAGGCCTCCGTTCTCCCCATCTTCATCCTCCCTTATGCTTCTCTGGCTCTTGTGCAAACTGGCGAAATAACTGCATCACACGTACGTATAGCTTTGATCAAATCATTTACATTTTGCACCCCTTAAGCATCGGAATGACTACAGCTGTTTATGGTACCTTTCGAGTTCTAATTATTCAGTATTTTTGACAATATCTTCTTTAATTTCAAGCTTTAGTAGCATTTTTTAATTTTATACCTTAGTATTTTTCTTCAATTTAAAAATCTGGCATGTCCCTTTAATTTTAAATTCTAGCTGAATTAATTAATTAAATTAATTTAATTATTATTAATATTCCAAGCTCTAGAATTCTTTTTTATTTCAAACTTTACTATTCTTCTTTGATTACGAACTCTGGTATTCTTCTTTAATTTTAAGTGCTAATATTTTTCTTTAATTACAAACTCTGGTAGTTTCTTTTAATTTCTTCTTCTTCTTAATTGGTTTTGACTTCTGTCGAACCTGAGTTTATCTTTCGCAGGGAAGTCACCCTCTTCAGTATTTCTCCGTCGGCACCAATTGGCAGAGAGGGTGAGCTTACGGACCGAAGTCGCACAATCGCATAAACGTGCCCCGGATTACAGCGATCCGTAGGCTCCTTAATCTCGGATTACACGGGCACGCTTTGACGTACTAATTCCAGGATTAGAGGAGGCGTACAGCAAGTTGCTGTTCGAACAAAAACAGAGTTTTCAGGCACTTCGCAATCCTTGACTTGTTGCATCCTGTAACTTACACACCTCAGAAATAACTTGCAATATTTTTTTAACACTGGAACTACCTACCGATCTCTAAACACGATTAATGTACATTGTTTTATAACGATGCCAAAACTGAATTTATTTAGACTTTCTATGATTTATATTGCAATGCATACTTCAATAAAGAAGCGTACCTAGAAATTTCTCCTAGAAATATTTCTATAATATCAGGAATTGTAAAAGTCATTTTGACTGGTTTGCTAGTTCTAGCGTTAAAGTAAGAAAAAAAATCTCTCGAAAGTCACCGGTTTAGCGCTAATGGTCCAAACGCTTCCGTAACGTGCTGTAAAATCCATGTAACGGAACAGTCGTGCAATTCTTCTGTATTTAAACGATAAATCATCCCTTTTCCAGGCCGTAGGGGCAAAGAATCTTGCGCAGCTATTACTCGACAGCATCGGGAACATTCTCCAAAGAACGTATTCTCCTTTCGACACCCCGTGGACGTTTCTATAACTCGTGACTATTAAAAGGAACGCGAGAACTCGGAGAGCAGGAAGAACACCCGGCGGGAGGACACCATTACTTTTATTTCGCATGATTCAACGCCTCGCTTATCGAGCAACAACTTGCGGACAAAGTCTTCGCGTGAAACGTGTGCGAACGATTCGGTTTCCTTCTCTCGCACGAAGTTCTTTCGTCACATCTCGCCGTTTTACTTACGCGGAAATTTTTCGTACAGCTTTAAATTACTTCATATAATCAAACTTATATTATCTTCGGGTCTTCTACGGGCTATTATTTGATCTATTATTAGGGTCCAATATAGTCTATTTTTTGTACTACTTTATTATATATTTGCTGTACTGCTGTTTTACTTTTCCAGGAATAACGACGCATTCTTGAAGTAGGCGTACAAATCACCGATGAAAGGCATATTATTATTATAAATTATTATTACACGCATTTCCAGCAGAAATGGGTGAGCAAAATTATGTATAGGATATCGAAGACAGAGCAATTTTAAAAAAGTGTTGTTCCATTATTTACAGTTTATTGCAACTGCTAACAGAAGAAGTGCACTTTCATCTAACTGTGTTGTACAATCGAAGCACGAAGTTTTTACTTTGATGCACGAATATCAGCAGTCTAGTAATAACGCTCGCTGTCCAGCGACATCCATGGGGTGCCAGCATGGTGCCCCGTAACTCTCCGGCGTTTACAAAATATTTAGCCCCTAATACGGCTCGTCCAGCTACGCGGCGTCCCTGATATACGCTATAGAGAATCGGTCCAGGGGACAATTCGTGGATCGACGGTGATCCATATATCAGAAAGTCAACGCACTCCGGGTGTGCCAAGCGGCCTGGTGAGCGCGAGGATGGTCCGTCGACGGCCACCTGAACTGCCGTTTCCACGACGGGGACGCGTATTTACGGATCTGGGCACCGAGAGACGGCCTATTAGGGGCTAAACGATTTTTAAACGGGGCTGGGATCGAGTGCCCGAGACGCAACAATGACGTGGGCAAACATTCCGATATACAGGACCACCCGGAGCGGCTGCAGTCGCTTCTGCAGGCGCGTTGCATTCGTCGATGCAGGTAACTATGGGATTCTAAAGATGAAAGTCGCGGAAACTGCGGAGAATCGGCTGGGGGATCAGAAATGTTTGCGTCTCGCAGAGAACGGTGTACTTTATGAACGTTTTTATATATTTTTCTGTTTGTTAATTTTGCTTTCTCATAGGATTGACGTATAATTGTTTGCAGATCGATCAGTGGAGCCTTGGGATTTATGTTCGGGAAGGAATTGTTAATTTTTTGACCTATGGCGTAGTTTTTTAGTCATTTTAATAGTTTAAGGGTTGAATGTGGATATTAATTTGAAGCACTAAATTGTGAATAAACTTGATCAGCTGATTAATTTCATCGTCCATTTTGTTTTAGTATGGAATTAACGAATGCTTTAAGTAATGTTTGCAAGTTGATTACAGAAGCCTTAACACACTTTCACAACCGCATGTTAGCGCAGTGAAACGTCGCCAGTGGCCGACAATATTTTGGAAGAAAAAACTTTACGTAAATTCATAAAACAATTAACATTATTATTATAAATCAATAATCAACATTATTATACAACAATATTTTCCCTTTGTGTGATAATTATTGAAACGTACAAATATAAAACAAAATTCATGGTACCTATCAATGGTACCACGTGAGTGTCACCGGCAAATAACGACTGGTCTACCAATGACACCACATGAGTGTCACCGGCATACAACGACTGGCCTGTCAATGACACCACAGTGGTGTCAGCGGTTGTGAAAGTGTTAAGANACGAAGTTCTTTCGTCACATCTCGCCGTTTTACTTACGCGGAAATTTTTCGTACAGCTTTAAATTACTTCATATAATCAAACTTATATTATCTTCGGGTCTTCTACGGGCTATTATTTGATCTATTATTAGGGTCCAATATAGTCTATTTTTTGTACTACTTTATTATATATTTGCTGTACTGCTGTTTTACTTTTCCAGGAATAACGACGCATTCTTGAAGTAGGCGTACAAATCACCGATGAAAGGCATATTATTATTATAAATTATTATTACACGCATTTCCAGCAGAAATGGGTGAGCAAAATTATGTATAGGATATCGAAGACAGAGCAATTTTAAAAAAGTGTTGTTCCATTATTTACAGTTTATTGCAACTGCTAACAGAAGAAGTGCACTTTCATCTAACTGTGTTGTACAATCGAAGCACGAAGTTTTTACTTTGATGCACGAATATCAGCAGTCTAGTAATAACGCTCGCTGTCCAGCGACATCCATGGGGTGCCAGCATGGTGCCCCGTAACTCTCCGGCGTTTACAAAATATTTAGCCCCTAATACGGCTCGTCCAGCTACGCGGCGTCCCTGATATACGCTATAGAGAATCGGTCCAGGGGACAATTCGTGGATCGACGGTGATCCATATATCAGAAAGTCAACGCACTCCGGGTGTGCCAAGCGGCCTGGTGAGCGCGAGGATGGTCCGTCGACGGCCACCTGAACTGCCGTTTCCACGACGGGGACGCGTATTTACGGATCTGGGCACCGAGAGACGGCCTATTAGGGGCTAAACGATTTTTAAACGGGGCTGGGATCGAGTGCCCGAGACGCAACAATGACGTGGGCAAACATTCCGATATACAGGACCACCCGGAGCGGCTGCAGTCGCTTCTGCAGGCGCGTTGCATTCGTCGATGCAGGTAACTATGGGATTCTAAAGATGAAAGTCGCGGAAACTGCGGAGAATCGGCTGGGGGATCAGAAATGTTTGCGTCTCGCAGAGAACGGTGTACTTTATGAACGTTTTTATATATTTTTCTGTTTGTTAATTTTGCTTTCTCATAGGATTGACGTATAATTGTTTGCAGATCGATCAGTGGAGCCTTGGGATTTATGTTCGGGAAGGAATTGTTAATTTTTTGACCTATGGCGTAGTTTTTTAGTCATTTTAATAGTTTAAGGGTTGAATGTGGATATTAATTTGAAGCACTAAATTGTGAATAAACTTGATCAGCTGATTAATTTCATCGTCCATTTTGTTTTAGTATGGAATTAACGAATGCTTTAAGTAATGTTTGCAAGTTGATTACAGAAGCCTTAACACACTTTCACAACCGCATGTTAGCGCAGTGAAACGTCGCCAGTGGCCGACAATATTTTGGAAGAAAAAACTTTACGTAAATTCATAAAACAATTAACATTATTATTATAAATCAATAATCAACATTATTATACAACAATATTTTCCCTTTGTGTGATAATTATTGAAACGTACAAATATAAAACAAAATTCATGGTACCTATCAATGGTACCACGTGAGTGTCACCGGCAAATAACGACTGGTCTACCAATGACACCACATGAGTGTCACCGGCATACAACGACTGGCCTGTCAATGACACCACAGTGGTGTCAGCGGTTGTGAAAGTGTTAAGATCTATATTCATGAAGGAATTGTTGGGGTTTCATACCTCTTGAAGTATTCTGATCGCTAGGGTGTTAAAATAAATTGATCCAGTAATTAAAAAGAAAAAGAAGATTGTGAAGATCATTAGATTGATTACAGGAAGCCTTGAGGCCGAAAAAGGAATCATTGATATCTTGATGTATGCCATAGTTTCTGAAGTATTCTAACAATTAGGGGTTGAAAGAGAATGCTGGCAAAGAAGAAGAAGCAGATTAATTTTAATATAGAAATAAAATAAATTTATCCAGTAATCAAGAAGAAAAAGACGATTGAGAAGATCATTCGATTGATTACAGGATGCCTTGTGACCAAAACGATATCACTGATATTTTGATGTATGCCATAATTTCTGAAGTATTTAACAATTGGGGGTTGAAAGAGGATGCTGGCAAGGAAGAAGAAAAAGAAGAAGGGGATTAATTCTAATACAGAAGGCAGAAGTATCGCAGCAGCGATTCATGTCATCCGACAATGGATCTCCGGCGACACCGATGATCCAGGAATTACGTTTCTCTCCATTCTAGGATTATCGTCGCGACCAAGGAAATTTCGTCAAGCCTCCCACGACATCTCGGATTCCGACGTCACACGCTTCGCTGAAATATCGTTCCTATACTATATTTTTTTCCCGTCGTTTCCTCTTAATTCCCTGACACGAAAAAATGGGGCCTCGGTGGGCGGATGGCCAGTTCTCCGTGGAACAGTGAATGGATCCACAAATCCATGGATCCATTCAACCACGCACCTGACTCCCCGACTTCTTCTTGGTCGTGAGAAACGCTCCAGAGACTTTTCGAGATCTCTTTCTTCGGGCCCGTTCATTCAACGCGGGAGAAAAACCAGTCACGGAAAATTCTCTTCGTTTTTCATCCCGAGTGTTGCGAGGATAGAAGAATAGTGGTCAGTAGGGTTGCCTAATTGTACAGAAGACCATTTTCATCGGGGATCCTCGTGGCTCCGGATTCCTTCGCTTCGATCGTTCTTCGATTTCCGCGTCTTCTTAATAATAATCGAAATTTTGTTAATTTGTAACTGCTTTTATGTCATTGTTTATCGAGCAAGCAGAAGTTCCAGAAGTATTGTTCGGAAAGTAATTTGTCGAAGCCGATGATTTCTAAATATTTAGAGCAAATTTTATTCAACGTTGTATCGATCCCTTTGTTCTACGACCTTTTTACATTTTTCTGGCGACTTCGAAATCCCAAAAAGAATTAATAAATTACGTGAAAAACGAAACGACTTCGCAAACAACTTTATTCGTCTACGACCACTCGACAGTTTAATAATAGAAACAATTTGGGAAAAAACAAGTCGGAGAACTACCAGGACGGTATCACGCGATTCCAAAGGTCGAGCTCAATGAAACGTACCCTTCCGTTTGCGGTGATGCCCGTTAATTACAGATAACCATGCAACTGCACGAGACACTCGAGGATCGGTCAGTCCACGACCGTTACGTTTATCCTCGAGATGTATTTACCTACGAAATGGATTAATGGCCGAGCGCTAAGGTGTCCACGCCCAGAAAAGGGCGCGTAGGGTACCTGTCGCACCGTTCAATAGGGAGTTAAGTCCCATCGATCCTCAGGATCCTACCTGGTCCGAGGCAAATTGCTTGAATGGACCGGGGACAGTCGATGGATCATCTTCGAAGCACGATTTTCCTCGGATCTACAGTTAACTTGAAAATTAGAGGGACTATTGTCTCGTAATCAACTTGAAAATTCGAGCGGCTATTGCCTCGTAATTAACTTGAAAATTAGAACGTCTATAGCATCGCAATTAATTTGAAGATTAGAACAACTGTCACCCCCCTCCTCCTGGTCTCTCTTCGAAGAAAGTTGTTTTGTCGTACAAAAAAAAATGGTAAAAAATAATCACACCTTCAGAGATCAACTACGGATGAGCGGAGTACTGTTTATTGTGTCCAGAATATTGTACAACAACGGAGAATCAGCAATCGTCCGAGATCTTCCTCTTTTTCTTTCCGCAAGGCGTCCTCGCCAGAATCTCTTCGCACTCGTTTCGCACTTTTCTCTTCCTCGACCTTCCGCTTCTCTTCTTCTTCTTCTTCCTCGGTTCAACCTCTTTCTCATCCTGCTCCTTGTGCGTTTCGAGTGCTTTAGGCTTGATCGCCAAAAGCAGAGCTTTCTCGTGCTCCAGCCTCATCTTCTTCGACCAAGGCCGAGGCGTTCGAAACTCGAGATCGATATTCTGCCCGTCCTTCGACTTCTTCCACACCCTGAGCCGAAATATGTTAGGATTCTCTTCCAACATCCTCTTCGGAGGTTCAGGCTCCTCGTGTTCCTCCTGGGAAACCTTTTCTGCCTCGTCTTCGAGATTCAAACCCTGCGGGAACAGCGTCAGAGTACGACTGTCCGACGGCTGGTCCGGTTTCTTCTCCTCTTCGATGATTTTCGCTCGAGGATCCTCGGAGCAGTCGCAGGGTGGATCAAAGTCTTCTTTAGGAGGCTCCTTCTGAGTCCTTATCACCAGCCTATTGTCGTTGATTGTGGCCTCCAGCTCTTTGTAGGGCAGGCCACGTTCCGCGATATCGGAACGCACCTTGACAACTGGAGGCTCCTTGCACTCTGGCGGTTTTATCGGACAGCAGATTGGCTCTTTGATCTTCGGACGAGAAAGGATCGATTTCAGGTTCTTCGAGGATCCACATCCAGCTCCAAGCTCGGTCTTCTTGCTCCGCTTATTCACGCAACAAGGGGAACACGGTGGTTCCTCCTTCTTCGGCGGACAGCCGCACTGGCGAGTCGCGACGATCATCTTTCCCAGGTGTTAATCGTTCTGCGAGGAGAACAAAGGGTTTGGGTTTAACATAGTGAAGAGTTTTTCTTAGTTAGGTTAGTGGATTGAATGCCATGACGGATCGGTTTCTATAGCCGTCTGAACTTGCTCGTAGATCGATTTCTCAAGCAAAAAGAGCACCCTCGGCTAACCTTCCTCGGTAAAATGGATCCAAGAATTGCTCTCCAAATTCCTGTTATTATATAATCTTCTTACGTGATAAACAGTTAAACAATATTAGGTAACATGTACGCTTGTCCACCGATGCCTCCGGTGCCATGCCCACCGGAATGTCCACCCCCAGACAAATCGAAGAACGTAGGGGCAAAGTACTATAGGGAAATCGGTACCGCGATGGTCGGCAATCAGCTGATAATTCGCATGGAGAGAGAGAAAGGTAGATCGAAGAAATTAGGCGACTGGATTCCACCGTGCGACTGCGACGTCGTTGAAATACAGAGGCCTTCTGGCAAAGAGGGGCCTAAGATCCTGAAGGGACCCACCAACAATCAGATCCTCTTTCGAATCCAGTCGAAGACCCAAATGGGGAAGAAGGACGGTTCCACTAGCAAGTCTCAGGGCATCTACTACGAGGTACAGAGAGTTTGAATGCATTTTGTTGGTTCGTCCAATGCACCTCGAATATTACTTTCAAGGTTGGCCAATGCACGGAGGGTCGAAGCGAGGACGACAAGTGCCGAATGTTCACCATCTACCCGGTCATGGATGGACCGTGCGCGCAGGAAGTGCACACTGATCGCGTCACCGAAGGCAACGAGAACGTGTTCATGCTGAAAGTGAAGAAGAAGTCTGCGCCTGTCGACGAGCCGAAAAGACACATCGAACTGGAGCTGAGAACGCCTCAACCGCCTCCGCAGCCTGTACGTAGCGAACCGGAAGTCCCTCCGGTTCCTCAGGAGGTCTGCGACGAGTTAGAGAGGTCGAGAACCGAGAAGATCCCAAAAGAAGAACCGAAGAAGAAAGTAACCAAGAGAAAATCCAGAAGATGATGGTTCAAGGGCAAGCATTCTTGAAGCAACCGAACTAATTTTGTGAACAATTGTCTCTAATACGATCTTTCTAATAAAGCATTCTTTTATGATATACGAAATTCTCTGAAGCGTTCTCTAAAGGTAGACAAGCGATCTTTTAAATTCCTGAACTGTTTTATGAATATATTGCGGATTTTACGCAGCATGACGAAAGTTGACAGAGAAAATATTTGAAGAGTTGTACTGTCGCGTAATTTTCAACTGACTGAAATTATTGAGAAGTGAAGTAAACGTCTACGGTCCGCCTGCATCATACAATTAACGCAGATCATTAGTATATACTAATATATACTAATAATAATATATATATATATATATATATATATATATATATATATATAATATATTATAATATATATTATATATTATATATTATATATTATATATTATATATTATATATTATATATTATATATTATATATTATAATATAATATAATAATATATATTATTTAGTACTTATACTTTTTAGTATCACTATAGTAGCGAGATATTAAGACTGATATATTACATGGAATAATTTTATTCTAGATCAAGTTTGCGGTAACGTTGTGCAAATGGGAGATCGAGGCTCGTTTCCCGGCTCGATGTTTAACTCTTGTATCTTCCTCTCGGGATTGTGTCTGGCGTTGAAGTCTCTGATGGCTATCCTCGTTGCGTCAAGATCACTGGTATCATCCAGTATCTGCACGATCTTCTGAACAGTCGAGTACTCCATCACCACAGCCGATTTCGCCTCGGTGCCGGTTTGCGAGGCTTCAGACATCTTTGCAGTCTCCTCGGACATCCTTCCTGTGTCTTCCGACATCCTTCCCGCGTCCTCCGACATTCTGCCTGCGCCCTCCGACATCCTGTCGTTCTCCTGTATCTCCCAGATTTCCAAGGTCTCCGATCTAAAAAACGATCAAGCTATTCAAATCTGCAAGTACAACACGATCATTTAGATTGTTCCTTACAAGGAAGACGCGGGATCGGCGCTGTGGGATTTGTTCCTGAACCAGTTCTTCGAGTTCGATCTCGTCTTCAGCTTCGAGTTCCTTCTGCTTTTACCCTCGCGGTGCGCCACGGAGTTGGATCTGTCCCGATTGTTGCCGTTTCCGTTTGCAGAGCCGTTTACGGAGCTGTTTACAGAGTCGTTTACAGAGCCTTTCTCGTTACCGTTTTCATGCTTCGGTTTCTCCGCCCTTTTGGATACTTTCGCGTAGGGGGCTTTCTGTTTCGACTGAGCGTGTTTGGCAGCCTGGTTGGCGGGGTCTCGTCGGAAACAGCACCGGTGAGTGCGATACTGCCACCTATCAGATAATTGACAGTGGATCAGGGTCGAATCTTAGATTGCTTCGGTTCTCGACGGTCACAGAAATTGTTCTATGGGATTGGGGATTGATAATAAAAGGAACAAAGCAATCAGAAAGTGTTATAATAAAAGAAATAAAGCAGTTAGAAAATGCAATAATAAAAGGAATAAAGTAATTAGAAAGTGCAATAATAAAAGGAATAAAGTAATTAGAAGGTGCAATAGTTGCCTATACGGCCTTTACCACAGCGCGCACGTCGTCATCGTCGAGCTGAACATGAAGAGGCAGTTCAGAACCGTGAGGACGATCAACGGTTCCAACATGATCGCAAACACTTCTGCCCCAAATCGCGATGGTTCAGACTAGCTCCGGAAATTTGGAAACGTCAGGTGCTGGCAGACTACCGATCGATTAGAAAATACCTGACAAGCGATGGTCGACGCGATTCGATGTACAGGAACACTAAAATATATATAGTATATATGTGCTACTCGAAATAGATTCGGAAGCAGAGTTTCAGAATATAATTGTATAAGAATTTCAATGATATAGTAATTCAACCGCGCTATTATTCAATTACATAATTCAAACCTGTCAGTTAATTCAATTGCTAATTATTTTAATCAAGACTGTAATTCAAATACAATGCACACAATATATAATAATACAATGCAAATACAATACAATGCGTATTTTCTTCTCTATTGTTATCTATTAATTTATTGTTTTTCAATTCGTAATATTAAATTTCATTTACATACATCATAAATAACGTAATTCAATTACTTAGTATTTTGTAATTGCAATTACGAACTATGTTCTAATTTAAGTGAATGGAGATCTGAATTACGAATTAAAATGTCATTGAATTATAGTGTAATTGAATGATAATGTAATTGATTTATTTTGTAATTATAATTCCTTGAGTAATTCGCGCGCGCGCGCGATTGTAATTCTGCACAACTCTATACGGGAGACTAAATGCCCGATTCGAAGCGAATTTAGCAACCCCTGGTCTCCCCGAAAGGCAGCATCAATTTGTCCCAGATTCGCAACAAGAGCGTCTGTTCCATCAGTATGCGTAACTCGCAGGTAAACGCATCAGGGAAAGGTGAGATAGGGAGAACCGTAGCTGTCGACAGGGGCCGACAAACCCCGCAGAGACGTATACCTTCACCCGACGGGGGTCCTCCCGGCAGCTCTTTAGAGAAAAGTCAGCCACAAAGTGGCACAAAGCTACCGTAACCGCAATATAATATCGAAATCTCGATATCCCTAGCATCTGTGTGATTATAACGATGATATTACCGTGCACGGTGTCACAGATTTCCGCACCGTAACAATGCAACTGCGGCTGGACCACCCTTCGTGATCTCACCACCTGCAGCGCGTCCTAACGTCGATTCATTTATTCCTGTCGGCGATTAACGTTATTAACGAGCCGCCGACGATGCCCGCGGACGTGCGAATTTCTGGATCGCTCAAACCGAAAGTCGGCAAGGGCAGGGGTGGTTTTGAATTTCTTCGGCGACGTTAGATCATCAAAGTATTCTTCGTCGCTCTTCAGGGTTTCGTAATCAGGGGAAATCGTACCTAAATTTTGATAACAGAGGAAACAAACGACTGTTATTTGAAGCGCGATAAAACGGCGAGAATGAATCGTACGTCAATATTTGAACGGTCGTTCCGTCGGGGAGACTTCCCTTAACAAAGTCATCTCGACACGAATTTTCCCCACAAACAAATGATTGAACTTCGTAGGGTCGTTTGAATTAGTAAAATTTAGAAGAGAAAGGTAGCTTCAGTTTCTCGCTCCGTTCTGCAACAAAAAGGAGATTTTTGAACAAATTAAATTACAGGGTGTAAACGCGGAGGCTTCGCCCTTCGAAACAAGCTCGAGTAGACTGTCGTACGATTTTCGTGCACGAAGTTACAGCAGTTTAAATATCGACAATTTCTCGGACCTAAAGTTTAATTTTTGACCTAGTCCAGAAAAATTGCAAGAGCAATGTAGCAGAGCAAATGAACAGCCTAAGCAACACGTTGTATTTTTATCTGTGGATAATCGGGGGCGTTCAATGAACAGCTTAATGACGACAATAACGTCAGAATAAGACAGAATCACAGAGGAAGAGGGATTGCCAAAGAGCACCGTGCGAAAATCCCGGATGCCTCGAGTGTCCTCGAGCGTTCTCGTGAATTATCGCCGGTTCTTTCAATCTCGAAGACGTCCACCCTGAAGATCTCCTCATTCACGAGAAAGATTCGTTCCACGTACAATATCGCGGTCACTTGTCGTCCCATTCAGACTGCGGCCACAGAACTTTTCTTTACGACCAGCAGGAAAAATGAACGGTAGATGTCCACCTACCGCCGCGATCATACGTGTCACGCTATTTTCCCGTACACACCGCGATCATGTCCTTTTTCTGGCTACCACCTAATTTATTGGCCGCAGATCCATTGTCCGGGCTGGCTCGACCACACAACTCGAACGACACCTTTATGAACTCCCACGACAACCTCGATTATGAACCGTCTACGGTCTCCTTGCCTCCTCTTTTGGCTTCTGACGTCTTTACTTTGTCCCTGTGCCCTTTAATCGGCGTGAGTTATGCTCTCCGACAGTTATGCTCTTCGTGTAATAATAAGAAGAAAGCAGCGATAGCATAATCTCACATTCAAGCTATCAGGAAAATTCAAGCGACTAATTTTTGACCAATTTTGAAAATTCATTTGCATCTTAATATATTCGAACAAATTGAATCCTCCTCTTTTGGCTTCTGACGTCTTTACTTTGTCCCTGTGCCCTTTAATCGGCGTGAGTTATGCTCTCCGACAGTTATGCTCTTCGTGTAATAATAAGAAGAAAGCAGCGATAGCATAATCTCACATTCAAGCTATCAGGAAAATTCAAGCGACTAATTTTTGACCAATTTTGAAAATTCATTTGCATCTTAATATATTCGAACAAATTGAATCCTCCTCTTTTGGCTTCTGACGTCTTTACTTTGTCCCTGTGCCCTTTAATCGGCGTGAGTTATACTCTCCGACAATTATGCTCTTCGTGTAATAATAACAAGAAAGCAGCGATAGCATAATCTCACATTCAAGCTATTAGGAAAATTCAAGCGACTAATTTTTGACAAATTTTGAAAATTCATTTGCATCGTAATATGTATATTCGAACAAATTGAATTTGACTAGGCTGTTTCGGATGCGAAAGAGCTCCAACGTCGTCCGATATGATAAATTTTAACTTTCTAGTTTCGGTTTAATTAATTAAATCGCCCTGACTTCGTGGGAATTCTAGTGGTCGGCGTGTTAAGCAAGCTATAACTTAATTTTTACTTGGTAATCCTGGTAATGGTTTTACTCAGGGTGTTTTGATAATAAGAGGAATGTGCGTAACAATTGCGAGAGTCCAAGGCTACGAAATATAATTTCACGTTACATGTATCAGAATGTTCACAATGACCCAGTTTAACGTTAATCCAATTCTTCCTATCCGTTTACTCGGTAGCTCCAGCGGAGTTTCACAATTCCTGAGACGGTCACTATTACCGGCGTCATTGCGAGACGCGGTTACAGTCGAAAGGGATGGAGTTAGGGGCAATTACGTGGTAACTTTGAAAGGCGACAATGCGGTCTCGGGGGAGGCTGCGCGGCGCCGTCATCAATCGTCGCGATGGTCATTGAGGAACGAGGCGGCAGGGTCGCGGCCGACGCCGTTCGAAAGGAACGGGGATCGAGGACCGCTCATCTGGCCGTAACGAAGCAATTTTCCATGGCTGGTCCGACGGATGAATGAGCGAGTAGCATTGCTGACTCGTGCACTTTCACGGGCTGCCGCCGAGAAACCAGCACCAGCCTTGCGAACTTCATTGAAAAACCCTATCGGAGATGTCCATTCAGAAGGGGCCCCGAAGAGTTTGAATGGGCCCGTGGACGGTTTTCTACTACTGGACACCTCGATGACTTGCCTCTGTCATCTGCATCGATAAGCGAGCTACTACTGTATTTGTCCAGTATTCGTTTCCTTGGAGAACGAAGGCCTGGGGATGCTTCGTTCATTTTCGTCCTCGCTCTTTTGCACCCTCCGCGATCGTATAAAGGTGCAGAAAGCGGACAATGCGCTGAATTTTGAATAATAACAGCTTATTCGAATCACTACCGATGCAATGCTACGCTTAATAGATAGTAAAAACGAGCGCCATTTTATTCGGGTAACGGGCAATGATCGAATCGCGTATTTAAGAGTTTGATCTCACCCCTTCCGCTGTTTCGTTTTAAGGGTTTATTGTAACTCGAACACTCAACATTCGATATACCGTATAAACGTATTTAATACAATTAATTTATATTTCAAGTTTCCTTCGACGCCGGTCTCGGGATAATAATCTTACGGTGATTAGGATCCTTCGAGTCATTCGGGTCAGGAGAGACATGGTTTTCCATGGTGTTGAAGGAACAGTGCAGAGGGCTGGAAGCGTTCATATCGTCTGCTGAGATTCTCATACCTCGACACTCGTTCGGATTTTCTCCGGAAGCACCGAGAAGTTTTTGATAACTACGAACACATAATTAATTAATGTTCTTGTACAAGGTTAAGGGGAGCGATCTCACCACCTTGAGAACAGAGTGCACCAAATGCTGGTGAGGTAAATGCCGTTGGGTATAGACAGACAATCGAACATTTCGCAAGCGTCGCGGACCTCTTCAATCAATTTTCCCGTCGCTCTAACATGTCTGGTAATTTTCACAATTTATCCGAGCTCTATCGTGTATCGGCGAGCTGTCGGCCGAGCGTTGCCAACTTCCGTTCGCCGAGCTATCATTTTCTAATCGTCGAAGCCAGCAATTACATTCGCCTACACTTTGGCCTTGCCGAAACTTATTCTCCATCCTAAAATAATCTTTAATAACCGCTTCTAAAACCGTCATTACATTCTCTATTTGCCAGGAAGAAGGCCAAATCTTCGCAAAATGGCGGTTCTCGGTAGATTTCTGCGTCCTTGAAACTCGTCAACGTAAGACGAGCAGAGCCAAATGTGCAAAATGGTATTGTTTCGCTATGATTTTAGATTGACGAATCTTCGTCTCTTGGTTCTCACGGTGTTCTTCGTGTCTCCACGACCACCGTTGCGGTCACATAAGCAAAATCCGTTCACGTAGACGGTAATGCGACGATTACGAAAACCGTGCATGCACCTTCGACACGTTCGCGCCCAGAGAAAACAACGCGTTCGGTCATTTTCCTAGGCCCGCCTTGTGTGCTATGCAGGATGGTGGGGACCACTCGTGGTCTCCGGAAGAGAGGAATCGCTCTGGGCCGGATCGAATGCCGATCGAACACTCGGTGCAGTTTAGAGACGTTCGCCATAGACTCCGCATACAGTACTCTTTTTTATCCGCCGAAATTTCTTCGCGATATTTAGTGACAATTACAGCCTGCATTCATACCGAAATTGGTGCGCCGACGATCGTTCTATTTTCGGGTGAGTTGAACAATCCTTTTACAATTTTTTCTAATTCGCTTTTCAGCATTTCATATGTTTACATAGTTGAGATCTTATATTTCATATTTTTTTATATATCTTGAAAACATAAATTTAATTCATTTAAGCTTGCACGAAGAATTAAAAATGATTTGCTGATTTCGGGGCGTAAAATGTATCCTCGTATTCTTTATTTTCGTGGTGACGTTTACGTGTCTTTTTACGATAGTCTCATCAATTTCGCTCACGTACAGCGTCCTTTCACCCACAACATCCTATTTCTCAATTCGAAATTGCGCACTTTCTACGGCAAAGCCACATCGATGTACTCTAGATTCGGCAGTGATGCAACCGGCATCGAATTCTGGTCAGGTGTCAAGTCCCTCCAGGCATAGTTCTCCTACCGTTTCACCTTCCAGCTTTTGTAATTTGCGCAAACCGTCGTTGAAAATGCGATCGCAGTACTCGACAATTTTTGTCAGTTTCTAGAATCCCAGAAATTCAAATTAAATTTTCGAGAATTTTTCGAAGTTCGTCGAAGTCTCTTGTAACTTTTCAAAATCTCAAAAGTCCTAAGATATCGTGTGGCGTACCAAGAATAATTCGTTATGGCACAATCATGCTAAGCGTTCCTGAAAACACGCGATCTCTATTCTATTTGCGTGCGCGCTTCATTTTACCAGCCATTTGGTAATTAAAAGGTTGTCAAACACACGGGTATTGACATATTACGGTCGGAGCGACGTCATAGGTATCGTATTAGCATTGAAAAATTTCGCTACGCCGATACATCGTGTACGATATCTGAAAAATACTTCAAAGGCAAGTAAACATGAAATTAAAGGAACCTCGAGGAGGTGCTCCACTCGGTGCGCAAACAGGCTGGATGATGCTGCGCGACCAACGTCAATATTGAACAGGTTGTGATAGTGATCTTTTTCTTTCGAGGATCGGTCTGTCGTCGCCGATAGTTTTCCACGGATACTGTAACTTTCGAGAAAGATGGACTGTCAAACAAGGACTGTCAAACAAACGCACCATCTTATTGTAAAGAATTATCTAATAGTAGAGTAGATCATCAAGTATCATAATTCTAGACTCAAAACTGAGCTTCAAATTCGCATTGAATTCACTGTAAACTCTTCAATCGTTTTACGTATTATTAAGAAAAAAATAATAGGTGATGCGAGAGTGAAAAATATATGTATGTACTTCGCAGGCCAAAATGACGCTGTTGCCGCCAACCGCTGCACAACAGAAGCGTATCGACGAAGAAATTCCAGTAGACTCAAAAATGCTGAAAAATGACATAGCAGCGATTAGGGAATGGCTTTCGAAACAGCCTCATCTGCCTAATCATATGGGTCCGGTCTAATTCACTTTTCTATGAAACTATCGACTCTCAAATCCTTCGAAGACTGCTGAATCTATTACCTAATAACGAATTTGACTAGTAACTGTCTTTAACTGCTTCTAATGGTAATCAGATATAATACTCTTCATGAGAGAGATGAGTGTCGTTATGCATTCTGCTATTTGTAATGGCAGAATCGTCGCTCGTAAACTGTAATTACATATAGGATTTACAGAGAGATTTGGAATGATTGATTCCAGATGACGCAAGACTGGAGAGATTCCTCTTCGGCTGCAAGAACAGCATCGAGAGGTGCAAGATTATTTTAGAACGATACTTTAGCGTGCGCACGGCGATACCCGAGTTCTTCTCTCTACGGGATCCGCTATCGAAGGACATTCAAGAATGCTGCGAATCCATGTAACTCTTTTTACTCTCTATTTTTTTTGGTTCTATAATCCTGGTAAAATTAATCAACTGTTAGATCAAGTTCAAAAGATTTATCTCACATAATAAGAGTTTAATTATTAATTAGTCTTCGTTTATTACCAGATATTATTTCGTCCTGCCATCCCTGACAGAAGAGGGGCATCGTGTCACTGTTTTGCGATTACGAGACACGGCAATAGACAATTTCTCCATACAAGCGATTTCCAAGAGGATCCTGATGGTCCTGGACATGCGCCTGATGGAGGAACGATGTCTGTCCAACGTGATGATCATTGATCTCGAGGTGTCACTTTTTTCCAAAAATATAAAACAATTGTTGCATTGTGTTGTTCCTCAAATTAGAATAAACTGATGATGTTAAAATTACTTTTTAGGGGTTCAGCGTAGTACATTTCTCAAAGTGTAGCCCAACGCAGAGCATCATCCGGAAGTCGATGCTGGCAGTGCAAGATAGTATGCCATTCCGGCTTCACCGAGTCCACTTTCTCCACGCTCCTGCGTTTGTGGAGAGTGTCCTAAATATATTCTACCCTCTGCTGAAAGAGAAACTCGTTCAAAAAGTAAGATTAATTTTCAAAATATTTTTTTTTGTCGATTACAATAATTGCAAGGAACACTACCCTCACTTATGGTAATTTTAGTTTCGCGTGCACACCGGCGGTGGAGAGGAGCTGCATCCTTTCATGGACAAGGACATACTACCTAATGAATATGGTGGCAGAGCAGGAACTCTAGAAGACTTGAACGGTTCGTTGATTTTCATTGACTCGAAGCATCCCTAGATTTCTTCATTGTGATCGATTGTTAATCTTCGCAGATTCTTGGAGAAAGAAGATCGAAAAGAACAGGGACTGGTTCCTGCGCGAGGAAAAGCTCAGTCGAACAGACGAGGGTGCTCGATTGCCAGAATCCAAGTCGAGATTGATCAAAGAACTTGATGGAATGCAAGGTTCCTTCAGGCAGCTGAACATCGATTAACAAAACAAATAGAACATTCCTGTCTTACTACCTAATACCATCTTTTATATCGCTAGTAATTAAGAAAGATTAAACGAGTATAAAAACTCAACATCTGCTAAAAATAAGTATACTTTTCAATTACTTGGGATAACCCTTGTGTAGGCAACCAGGCATACAAGTGTAGATTTACTAGATTGTTTTCAAGATTCCTATTTTGATTCTGCTGAGACGATATTGCATGAATTTATAGTTATAAACAAAATTTATACAAGAGTGCTTAAACACTAAAGCTCTTTTATACATATATGCATTTTTATTGCCTACAGAAGGGGCTCGATAAAGCAGACTACTCGCTAAAAGTCTGCAACATCCGCCGCAAGGTGGCCCCAGCAACTGTTTTCAAAATTTCAAGTCCGCGCGAAACTGAAATTTCTTAATCTATCGACGCAACCGTGAATTTAATGTCTCCGAGACTCCTGGACTGCTAATTACGTATAAAAATTTTGCAAAGAATTATCAAACAAGTCTCTAAGGTAAGTTAACGAAGCACGAGACCTCGAGGACTCGTAATTCGTGTCAAACACGGGTTCGGCCTGTATCGAACATTGTTGCATCGTGGTTGCAGGGCTTCCGTCGGCAGAACTCAACACTGCTAAACGAGAAGAAGCCACTGTAATACGCAGCAAACACTGGATGAAGTACTTGAAGAGAATCGAGGCATCCTCGAGGAAGGGGGAACAACAAAAGGATAGCCGTGCCACAAATACGAAATTGTCTTGATTATCTTGAACGCGGCCTTAGACCGTTACTTAGCAATTGCAGCGCACGACCACCTCCAGACACTTAAGAGCCGCCTCGTTCGGCGTGTCTGTTCTCTTTCGTGGCCGTTTAACCGACTTGATAAGCTAATGGTGGCCCGAGTCAGGCCACGGAACAACAGGCATCGCCCGGAATCCCTTTCGACTGCTAGCATACGCGATTTCACGATTACTCTCGCCGCTGCTCTCCCGTTCTTCGGTTTGAGACAACTGTGTGCGCGGCAACGTTCCCTCCTTTCAACAATATTTGTACGGTGGACATGCGACTCTACCTGCTGGAAAACAAGCATTATCAATTATCATGCAAAGGTGCAGACGAGAAGACGCGACGCGCCGTATTTTCCTACCGTCATTAGTGGAGCCAAGACGTGCGCGCTAGGCGACAATCAGCAATCAGTAAGCCATTCTTTCTGTATTTTATTGAACAACGATACCTTAATTCTACTTGAATAATGCTAGTTCAGCAGTGCGACTCTTCCATTTTATTCAGTTGAAGGCCTGTGCATCTTTCTATATAATTGATAGCTTGTATTTTTCTTTCGCGACTTCAATAGTTGCCCGAGTTGACCAGTTTCGACTTAATTAACACGTCTGTCTGTCCTGGAATCAATTAGAGGATTATTATTCACGCGTATGGATCTGTTAGAATTATTGACAATTACAATATCATAGAGAAACTGTTACGTTATCAGCATCTGAATAACAGTTCTCTGCTACGCAGAGAGTGCGTCGCAGTTTCGGTACAGAGGAAATCTCCCGCGATACAAACACAAGGTCGATAAAATTGCGGCGCGAGTTTCTCGAGCTCGGTAAGCTCGCCTAAGCTTTGGAATCCGTCGTTCGGTATGTATAAACAAATGATCGTGTTCCTCTAGCCGGGCAAATTAAATGACCTAGCATTACATAAGCATTATGCCAATTACGCGGGCGTGTGTGTTCTTAACGAGCCAGAGTCGACGATTAATTAATAATTGATGGAACACTACTGGTTGTGTCTGTGTGTGTGGAAAGGATTGTGTAACGATGGCTTTGCTGCGTTCTTAGTCGTTCCCTTTAAATCTATAAAAATTAAAACTTTCGAAATTGTTTGAAGCAGATATAAATTCCTTTCATTTTCTTCGTGTACCATCCTTGAAGAAGAAGAGCTGATGCGTTGACCGAGTCGATTGGATCGGTACTAGCATTTTAAAGTGTTGGAATTTTAAATAGTTAAATGAACGGGTCAATCAATTAGTTCGAAAGAATTGGTCGGTTTCCTAGGTATAAGATAGTCCTCCTGCCGCACTGTACAGTGCGACATGCAGGGTGGATTGATTTTTCGCCCCCTGACGTCACGCGAGGCCAGCATGCGCGTGGTGGTTTGCACGTAGAGAGGGAGGGAGGGCAGGGGAGAGAGAGAGAGAGAGAGAGAGAGAGAGAGAGAGAGAGCGAGAGCGAGAGCGAGAGAGAGAGAGAGAGAGAGAGAGAGTGTGTGTGTGTGTCGCGGAACGTCCTGACACTTTTTATTCCCATCTTGGCTATACGCTATTTTTGCGTAACAATCCGGCGGCATCCCTTTACTGAAGTCCTACGACACAAAGAGGCAGACGTACTGTTGCTCGGGGTCTGAACCCCCTAAGCCTATTAATCCGGCCGATAAAAAATTACTATCATCCCCAGAGTCTTCCCCGTAAATTAATTAAAGCCCTAATTGAAACCCTGGGGCACAGGCAGATCGGAAAAGCCGCGAGCAAGCTTCGTAGCCGGATAAATCCCCTGGGACCCCAACCCCGCCGAACCCGTTCAATGAAACAATTTCATCAGAAAAAGAGAGCTAGGCAGCGGTAAACGTCTTAGACGGCAATCCACTGCAGAAGAGACAGAAAGAGAAAGAGGGAGGCGGTCGAGTGGGTGGTGATAGACGAGTAGTTGTGGCTCTGTGCCACAGGATGCGGGGTCAGCGACGAGTTCATTCAGTGTCGCTTCTCTCCTCTTCGCGAGCTCTTCGAACCGCGCCCCCTTCCCGAATAATCCGTTCCTCCTGACACGTGACCAACGAAGGGAGGAGTCCGACAGTGGTCGTCGATGAACCATCCGGTGGTCACCAACGATCGCTATATCTCGCGTGACTCCCCTATTCTGCATGAACATAGGGGAAACGAAGACGCTCTAAGCGCGTCCCCCACCATCGGTTGCCTATCACCTATACGCTATAGCCCCAATTCTCGGTTCTCGCCGTCTTCGTTAGTAGTCTTCTGCTATCCCTTTGTTATCAAACTAGTCTTCGTTAGCAGCGGTGAGTGAAGAAAGTAGGTAGGACCCCAGCTAGGACATCAGGCAGGCCCAAGACCGCGGAGCCGGAGCAGGACAAAGTGGGCACCAGAGAGCTAAATTTCGCTCCTGGATTGCCCCATGAAACTGCTCCGGCTCTCGCCAAGAGCACGGTTTACTCCCGTGGGCACCGACTTGGACATGCCTGACCTGGAGCATCGCTTAGAGTGCACAGGTGCCACCGGGATGCATGTCTGGGCCGCTGTACATTTCACTCATCAATATCTTATAACATGCAGCTCAGTTTACCAACGTTTTAGGAGCAACATTCGAGCAGAGGAGACTGTATGCATGCTCGCTGAGCCGGTTGTCCGCGCCCAGGGGCCCACTGGCGTCACTCTAAAAAGAAAAGTCAAATAGAAAGTTTTCAGAAGACCAACAAGACACGTGGATCAAAATTTCAACACTTCACAAGCTGCTTCGATCAAATACAAGGCTCCAGACAACATCTTGTAGGCGGCAGTGTTTCCTGAAGAGTCCACACCTGCAAGAGACAAAGTAGATCAGGTCTGAGAGTACAAGGTGCAAGATCATCGAACGAGAAACGTCTTACCANCGAGAGCGAGAGCGAGAGAGAGAGAGAGAGAGAGAGAGAGTGTGTGTGTGTGTCGCGGAACGTCCTGACACTTTTTATTCCCATCTTGGCTATACGCTATTTTTGCGTAACAATCCGGCGGCATCCCTTTACTGAAGTCCTACGACACAAAGAGGCAGACGTACTGTTGCTCGGGGTCTGAACCCCCTAAGCCTATTAATCCGGCCGATAAAAAATTACTATCATCCCCAGAGTCTTCCCCGTAAATTAATTAAAGCCCTAATTGAAACCCTGGGGCACAGGCAGATCGGAAAAGCCGCGAGCAAGCTTCGTAGCCGGATAAATCCCCTGGGACCCCAACCCCGCCGAACCCGTTCAATGAAACAATTTCATCAGAAAAAGAGAGCTAGGCAGCGGTAAACGTCTTAGACGGCAATCCACTGCAGAAGAGACAGAAAGAGAAAGAGGGAGGCGGTCGAGTGGGTGGTGATAGACGAGTAGTTGTGGCTCTGTGCCACAGGATGCGGGGTCAGCGACGAGTTCATTCAGTGTCGCTTCTCTCCTCTTCGCGAGCTCTTCGAACCGCGCCCCCTTCCCGAATAATCCGTTCCTCCTGACACGTGACCAACGAAGGGAGGAGTCCGACAGTGGTCGTCGATGAACCATCCGGTGGTCACCAACGATCGCTATATCTCGCGTGACTCCCCTATTCTGCATGAACATAGGGGAAACGAAGACGCTCTAAGCGCGTCCCCCACCATCGGTTGCCTATCACCTATACGCTATAGCCCCAATTCTCGGTTCTCGCCGTCTTCGTTAGTAGTCTTCTGCTATCCCTTTGTTATCAAACTAGTCTTCGTTAGCAGCGGTGAGTGAAGAAAGTAGGTAGGACCCCAGCTAGGACATCAGGCAGGCCCAAGACCGCGGAGCCGGAGCAGGACAAAGTGGGCACCAGAGAGCTAAATTTCGCTCCTGGATTGCCCCATGAAACTGCTCCGGCTCTCGCCAAGAGCACGGTTTACTCCCGTGGGCACCGACTTGGACATGCCTGACCTGGAGCATCGCTTAGAGTGCACAGGTGCCACCGGGATGCATGTCTGGGCCGCTGTACATTTCACTCATCAATATCTTATAACATGCAGCTCAGTTTACCAACGTTTTAGGAGCAACATTCGAGCAGAGGAGACTGTATGCATGCTCGCTGAGCCGGTTGTCCGCGCCCAGGGGCCCACTGGCGTCACTCTAAAAAGAAAAGTCAAATAGAAAGTTTTCAGAAGACCAACAAGACACGTGGATCAAAATTTCAACACTTCACAAGCTGCTTCGATCAAATACAAGGCTCCAGACAACATCTTGTAGGCGGCAGTGTTTCCTGAAGAGTCCACACCTGCAAGAGACAAAGTAGATCAGGTCTGAGAGTACAAGGTGCAAGATCATCGAACGAGAAACGTCTTACCAACGCGAGAAAGAGTATCAGGAATAGAAGTGGCATGCTGAGACCAGCTCAGCAGCTCACTGCGAGCCGGTTGGCTCGGTGGTGCGATCTAAATCCGCGATCGAGCCCCGTGGCCCGTGGTGGCGCGCCCCTCCCCACTTCTTCGATTTGCCAGGACGTCAGCTGGAACTTGCGTGGTGCGTCCTGGGTGTGCAGCGTGCCGCTGCAGCTTCTAGTCCATTGTCGCGATTCGAGAGACGACCTGGCTGAGGGAGAGAGACGAAGACAGAGCCTAGAAGAGGAGAAGAGGCCGAATCTAGAAGAGGAACAAAGAGAGGGAGGAAAAAAGATATAGAGGCCGACGGTGAAAGCCGACGATCGGTGTTCTCCGATCGGGGTCTGTGCGTCGCTCGACGTCCGACGCTGTCAACCGTCGCTGTCTCCCTCCGGAACGGATCGTGTGCCAGCGTCGGGTGCGTGTGCGAGGAAACGTGATTCCGGTATCAGCCAGTGGACGGATGTTGCGGATGTTCCGTGGCGTTTCGAAGCTGACGCGTGTCCCAGCGCCGCGAGTTCTCAGACACCGGGCCCAGGGTTCTTTCAGCCGAGTCCAGACCGCGACGGTCTAGTGAAACGGTTTTGATTTGGTGCAACCGTGTGACCAGTGAGCCAGGTGACCTGCTGCATAACTCGAAGAACAGCCTACGACAAGCTGACGCTTCCATCTTCGGTGAGTCCGTTGCACAATGATCGTTCCGCTATACCTCCAATGCCTGCCACTCGAATATTTTTTTTGGATTGATTCGGCTAATGCGTTTTTGACGGTGCTACCAGGCGGATTGTTTCACTATGATAGACTCCGTCCTCGCTAGAACGTCACGCAGAGCAAACTGCTCGCGGTTCGACGCTGTCTCGGTCCCTCCGACACGGTTCCTCTCTGTTCCTCCGCTGCGACTTATGTAAGCGTCCCTGGCGCAGTACTGTGCTGATTCTTTGTTACACGTGGATTCTACGGGTTCTTCGTGCTCGTTATCCTATGATCGATCGAGTCTGGATAGATTAATCGGAGAGACTAGAGATGAGAATTATTGGAGAACGATACCAGATACGGTTGACCTGGTGCAAACGCTAGAAATCCTGTGCTATATTTGTAAATTCATTGTCGTTCTCCGATCGAAGTTTCAATCGGATAAATCCTAAGTGCCTACCTAAATATCTTCGATCATTCGAATCGCTTGCCCCTAATGCAAGCGTCCTTAAACTCGATGCAACCACTTGCGACCTAGACCCTCTATTATTTACGAATTCATCGTGCCAATCCTCCGGCCACTCGAGCTCGTCATCTGCGGATCGATTTAGGTTTAGTTAGATTAATCGGGTTCTACATTGCTTAAATCTATCATTACTGTAGGAATCGTTGGTCTTCAGTAGGTTCTCAAAGCTGACACAAACTTCAATCAATCCAGTGCCTGCGCTATTTCCAAATTCATTTTTCTACTCCTCAGCATCCGTGCCTCATCTCGAAGTCAACACCTAGCCACTGGACTTCCGTTCTCCACGAAATTATTCAGCGTTCTCCATTTTCTTCAGCTAATTCTCTCAGACGGTCGGGGATCGTCTAGCTCTAGATCTAGTCGCGAGATTCCCCGATTACGTGTTCTGGTGCAACAGCCAGAATCTCGATCGGATCAGCACGTGCTGCGTCAACAGCTGATCAGACGACGGTGACGTCGATTAATGCGAGCAATTAACCGTCAAGGATGATTGCCGCGGAAAGGCGATACTGGTAGGTTGACCGGGTAGGTCGCAGAGAACCCAGTGGCTCGTGTTTCACGCTCGCCGAGCGACCGTAATCGCGAGATTTCGCGATCAGCAGCTGAAAGAGGTCGCCAATAGAGCCTACCGTTTACTTAATTAATGCGGCTGACGAGAAACGGCTCGTTGACCCCGCCGATTCTTGGTCTTGGATCGCCCTTCGGATGAAATTGATTCGCCAGCGGGTACGGACCGTTCTTGCCCAGCTCTTGTACAGACGCTAACCTCCTTTCCTATATTTTTTTCTCTTCACGATCTTCTCGCCTGACCTGACCGCCAGTTGTTCTGCAATGCGTCAGACGACAACTGCACGCAACGCGATACCGTTGACAGAAAGCATGCGTTAACAGAGAAATCCTTGGACTTCCACTTTTTCGTTGTAGGCAACGTCCGCATCGGGTTCCAAAATTATAGATAATTATTTCCCATTGACTAAGTACTTCGACTCGACGATAATGAATCCGTGTGGTCTAGGAGTAACCTCCAGCAAATTGCAGTTACAGCGAACAGAATTTTGGTTCTTGTAAATGATAGTCCCGACAGATGAAGAGTAATTTACAACTTTATCCAAGTCCATTGAACCGTTCTACGGATCTTGTGCAAGCTACAAGTGCATAAAGATCTGTAGTCTGTCTATGAAACACTTTAGAGTCCTTCCAGAATCGAATCAGCAAAGCGACAAATTGATCGTCTGGAATAAGAAAATTGTTAGTCAAGTTCCTTGATGAGTTCCGTAGAACTGATTTGCTTTGTTAGCAGATTGTTCGGACAAAGTTTGCAGCCGAGCAAATTTCAAAGTGGTCGTCAACAAGTAGGAAATAAATCGTTCACTGTATGGAATTCTTGGTGTCGTCTGCAACAGCGGATCAAGGTCGTTCAAATCTTCCGAGTCCTCTCGATCCGTCGACGCCTGGAAAAACGACTCGATATGGAACAGCAACGATAAAGATTAATCCCGTGACAATGTTAAAATATTGATCTCCCCCCTCTTTTCTCGTGTCAAAGGAACACTTGAGAAAGTGGCTCGTTTATTTCCCTTGTAATTGCATTCTACGCGCGTTTATTCAGCGGAATCCAATTAACGTGGGTCTGTGCCCATTCAGATCGTTAATTCGACTTAATTTCTCCTTGCCAGAGAACAGTTATTTTATTTAATAAACATCTAGGACCATTGAACAAGACTGCAGAAGGATTAATCTAAGAAAATAGAGAGCGAGTAAAGCCGTCGGGCTGTTGTTGCTAGTTCAACGAACAAGTTGGAGAACTAAAGGAAATATTGGATTCCTCTTACATAATCCAATGCATGACGGAACTCGCTCTCGTCTAAATAATAAACTGGCGAGTTGCCAAACGACCGACTACGGTAGTCCCCGCTTAATAGACGCATTTTTTTTAGCTTCGAACTAGTCAACCGTTCCTTTTGTTTCATTTTCACATTCCAAGATTACACTATAGGATACAATAGCCATAAAATTTCAGAACGCCTGTCTCTCTTATCACCAGCTATAGTCTCGAGCCATGAAACGAGAACTGCCGCATTTCCTCTCTCAGATTAGGCAGTTTTCGAGCGGCGACCCACTTTTCGCTGAGTTTCATTCAAGGCAGGATGCGTAATAACTCGAGGCACACTCACCGTGAATGAATCCCAGGCCAGTACTAATGCACATTGTCCCGGAAACTGCGATTCAATTTGCATTTCGGACCGTAAACGCGAAAGAAACAGGACGGGACCATCGATCGGAGACGGTTCGACCTCGGCGGAGCGTGGAACTCGGGGATTTCGGCGGTTCTTCGATTCTCTGAACGTTCTCCGCTCCCTGGAAATACGAGCCCGGTTGAATATGTTCGGAGAATCCGGCGTTTTCAGCGAAACGGTAAACGGAGTATGTTTGTTTAAGTTCGAGGCGTTTCGGAGCATATACGCGTGGTCATTTCTGGGTCACGCTCGCCATTGACGCTGTCCGCTTAACGATCGCGCGATAAGTTCAAGCGCACCGTCATCAGGCATCTATTTTCCTGAATCGTTGATCGCCAGCCGCCAGTAATTCAGTGTAACTGCCCCTTGCACCACGTAGCCGTGAAATGCATGGAATCAATAAGACCTTGCCAGAAGTTAACGACAACTTCCGAGGAGTTGCGATGTGACGCGCGACTAATGGACGGCATATAAATAATTATTGCTTCGTTTTGCTGACGACGGAACGACCAGCGGACGACTTGTTATTCCTCAACACTCGGTGGGCTTACCCGTGAATTATCGTCCAGTATTTATCACCGTCACCTTCGCTTCTTCAAGCGATAATTCCTCGTAGACTGTAGAAAAACAAAAACATTATTTGCTCAGTAGGAAAAAAGCATTCTTTGGTCAATTTTATAGCAATCTCTACTAAAATGGTTTTATACTTTACATTCCATCTAGCGTAGTCTTATCGCACCTAAACAAGAGATTCGATCATTGGAAACTAGTTCTGCTAACTATTTTCCCCTCCTCCAACGGACATACGCCGGTAGAAGTGACTCCATAATTGGAGAGGAGGGTAGACCTGTAGAAATAGTAATGCAGGAGAATAGTTTCGAAGTTGAGTTTCTGTAGATAAGTGAATGAATTCAAGTTGGAACTCTAGCGCGAAATGAATGAATAAGTCCGCGAAACAACTTTAGGAGATAAAAGTTTGGCAAGCGAGACAGTCGGAAGATTATTTCCATAATCGGCCCAGCCACCGAGCAATCCATTTCGCGGAAATGTGGCCGCGCTGATTGATAGGGCCGGGTTCTTGCCGTTGGAATGGCTTCATTCACAGTCCAGTTTGAAGAAGGCAGCGGCTGTATCGAGCGACCGAACTTCGATTTTCCCGTCGCGACACCCACCGATTGTTCTGCATAGACACGTATAGACGACGCCGTCACCCGGCACTATCGACGCGTCTCCTCACAGCTTTCACAGTAATAATATAGGGCAAAGATAACGATAACGTCATGCCTCTGTTTAACCATTCAGGTGTCCCTCCGCCCTCAAGGGAGGTAGCTCAAACCACGGGCGTGGCTCTTATCATCTCCCAATTAGAAACTTCGATCAGTTCAATTAGAAAATTGAGGCTGAAGAATGTACAGTAAACCGAAAGCTTCGTGGAGCATCCATTTCTTGAAACGGCATTTAAATAATTTTGCCTTCCTCCATCAAAACGAATAAAGTCGCCGGGTGGTCTCGCGTTCAACGTCGAAATTTCTCCAAGTACATAGATTGTATTGGACGCGTATCGCGAACTGTCCAAGGAGGTTCACGTACATTTCCAGGGTCGGATTTTGGCAGAAATCGGTGCAAACAGGTCCGAGGTTTCAGTCGGAAACAACTCATCTAGAGACAGAGTTCTCTCCGTGTCTACGCGTTATTTCAGGGTTAAGGTGATATCAAGATTGAGGCTGAAGTTACGAAGGTTCGATACTAAATATAGAGGAGACGCTTACGGGGTCAAATCAATAGGCATCCTGCGTGCATGTATATGTATATGCACGGTGCCTGAACGTCTGAACGGTGTACGGGGGCTTGAAATACCCACGCCTACACGCTCCCCGTGAATGATCTCGCCTGAGACCATGCCTCTCTGCCCTACCGTATAGAACCTTGACGTACTTTAAATTGCGCCTAGCTATCTTCTGTAGCCCTCCAACACCAGAACTCCTTTCTCTTCTACGACACTCGGGCTTCCCTCGCTATCAAGTTGATGGGGTGAGTTCACTGAAAATAGTACAATTGATAATGCTCTTTCTCAAATATACCGCGTAGATTTTATTAATACCTTTCTTGGACCGAAGACTTCCATTCCCACTATGATAACATAAATCTAGATACTTTCAGTCCTAAGTATTGATAAATCCTGAACTCCTAAAAACTTCTCCTTCCGTCCCTAAGATAGTAAGAGGTAAATGTAGAAGTATTAGTAGAGCTTTCCACGATAAATCCTTGGCTCCCGAAGAATCTATCAAAATGCTTTACCCATTAGTTTGACGCTTGTCTTCTATGCTGTAGCAAATGGCAAAGTGTCCCGCAGGTTGGGGGTTGCAGCAATCCCCCCTGCGTCACCTGTAAATCCTGGAAAACCAACACACGAGAGACGGACTTTGTCAGATCCCGTATATAGATTACCGAGAACTCACCCCAAGCGGAAGAGTATACTTGTCACTGGTCGGCTCGGCGCGTGTATTACACAATTTCCCCGGAGGTAATCGCTCACGCGATTCGCCGTCGCCAGCGTGCTCACGTGAGAACGTACCCTTTTCCGACGTACACTTGGTGGTTCGTTTTTTTCCCTCTCTTTCTCTCTCTCTCTCTCTCTCTCTCTCTCTCTCTCTCTTTCTCTCTAAGCAGCTTAGCCGCACGATAATCCGCAACGATTAAGTCGTTTCGTGAATTCGCAGCCAAGGGCATCGCGTGCCCGCATCCACTTTACCGGATTTCGGTCAGTTCCAGGATCGTAGAGCAGAGCGGTAGCGGGACCTGGGTCTGATCCTCGGCCGGGATCGGATGTGGTGGACGTGCTCAGCCGAGGAAAGGACAGCGGTTCAACCGACGACGGAGGTAGCTGAGCGTTGTCCGGACGACCTGGCACCTGGACGACCGCGTTGGATGACCAGGGGAGATCGTCGGTGATGGACAATGAACAACCGCATCAGGAGCTGGTCAAGTGCGTGGTCGTCGGCGACACAGCGGTCGGAAAGACCAGACTGATCTGCGCAAGGGCCTGCAACAAGCACGTGTCCCTGTCGCAACTGTTGACGACCCACGTGCCCACCGTCTGGGCCATCGACCAGTACAGGATTTACAAGGACGTGAGTCTCGCTACCCTCTACAGAAATCCTTGGAGATTCTGCGGAATCTAAAATATCGTCAATATCAGTATCAATTTGATAGCTTCATTCACTTCGTGAGAAAAATTAGAGAACCCAACACGGGCTGATGTTCCAGGTCTTAGAGCGATCTTGGGAGGTGGTGGACAACGTGAATGTCTCGCTGCGATTGTGGGACACATTCGGTGACCACGAGAAGGACCGTCGATTCGCGTACGGCAGGTAAAACCATAGATCAGGATCGCGGACGATCTCGAAATCAATTTTGAAACATCCTCCTCGCTGTGCAGATCAGATGTGGTGTTGCTATGCTTCTCGATCACAAACCCCGTGTCCTTGCGGAACTGCAAAGCCATGTGGTACCCGGAGATCCGCAGGTTCTGCCCTCAGACGCCAGTGTTGCTGGTGGGGTGCAAGAACGACCTGCGGTACATGTATCGAGATGAGACATATCTGAGCTATTTCCGGGATCGCAGTCCTTTCGTCAGGTAAATATCAGCCTCGCCGAAGATGCTGACACCTGGCCTCTCAGCGTCGACGGTCTCGAGCTTACGTAACGTCGCGTTCCATTTAAGCAACGACGCTGAAATGGGATTAAGTGAGCCTTGACATATGCGGTACAGCTCCCCGGGGAATCTTCTCAAAGTTCATCGTGACTTTCAGACTTTTCCCCGTCTCTCGGGATTGCTTCAAGTTGTGTTCTTGACGTTTCATCGATTTTAATGATACTAGTTTGGTGTTCTTGAAACAGAGCGACGAGGAAGAGCGACCTGGTGATGCCTGATCAGGCCAGAGCCGTCGCAAGGGAGCTGGGCATTTGCTATTACGAGACCAGCGTGTTCACCTATTACGGTGTAAACGAGGTCTTCGAAAACTCGATACGCGCCGCGTTGATCGCCCGACGACAGCAGCGATTCTGGATGACGAACTTGAAGAGGGTCCAGAGACCACTACTTCAGGTGAGACGACTACATTCAAAGTGCTGGGGTTTCTCTATGAACCGTCCTTGGTCTTCTCGCGCAGGCTCCTTTTTGTCCGCCAAAACCAGTGCCCCCTGAAGTCTGTCTAGCGGCGAGCACGTATGAGGAGAATATGAAGGCCCTCTGGGCGAAGCCGGTTCACACGGACGTGACCTTGATCGCCGGAAACTGCACGTTCTCGGCCCACAGGTGTCTCCTGGCCGCTGCGTCTCCAGCGTTCCATCGGCTATTCACGATGGAACTTGTCCACGAACAGACGCCTAGGAGCTCCAGTGAATCCAGCATGGTATGTTTCATTGTCCATCGTTTCTCTGCTCTNCGACGTACACTTGGTGGTTCGTTTTTTTCCCTCTCTTTCTCTCTCTCTCTCTCTCTCTCTCTCTCTCTCTCTCTTTCTCTCTAAGCAGCTTAGCCGCACGATAATCCGCAACGATTAAGTCGTTTCGTGAATTCGCAGCCAAGGGCATCGCGTGCCCGCATCCACTTTACCGGATTTCGGTCAGTTCCAGGATCGTAGAGCAGAGCGGTAGCGGGACCTGGGTCTGATCCTCGGCCGGGATCGGATGTGGTGGACGTGCTCAGCCGAGGAAAGGACAGCGGTTCAACCGACGACGGAGGTAGCTGAGCGTTGTCCGGACGACCTGGCACCTGGACGACCGCGTTGGATGACCAGGGGAGATCGTCGGTGATGGACAATGAACAACCGCATCAGGAGCTGGTCAAGTGCGTGGTCGTCGGCGACACAGCGGTCGGAAAGACCAGACTGATCTGCGCAAGGGCCTGCAACAAGCACGTGTCCCTGTCGCAACTGTTGACGACCCACGTGCCCACCGTCTGGGCCATCGACCAGTACAGGATTTACAAGGACGTGAGTCTCGCTACCCTCTACAGAAATCCTTGGAGATTCTGCGGAATCTAAAATATCGTCAATATCAGTATCAATTTGATAGCTTCATTCACTTCGTGAGAAAAATTAGAGAACCCAACACGGGCTGATGTTCCAGGTCTTAGAGCGATCTTGGGAGGTGGTGGACAACGTGAATGTCTCGCTGCGATTGTGGGACACATTCGGTGACCACGAGAAGGACCGTCGATTCGCGTACGGCAGGTAAAACCATAGATCAGGATCGCGGACGATCTCGAAATCAATTTTGAAACATCCTCCTCGCTGTGCAGATCAGATGTGGTGTTGCTATGCTTCTCGATCACAAACCCCGTGTCCTTGCGGAACTGCAAAGCCATGTGGTACCCGGAGATCCGCAGGTTCTGCCCTCAGACGCCAGTGTTGCTGGTGGGGTGCAAGAACGACCTGCGGTACATGTATCGAGATGAGACATATCTGAGCTATTTCCGGGATCGCAGTCCTTTCGTCAGGTAAATATCAGCCTCGCCGAAGATGCTGACACCTGGCCTCTCAGCGTCGACGGTCTCGAGCTTACGTAACGTCGCGTTCCATTTAAGCAACGACGCTGAAATGGGATTAAGTGAGCCTTGACATATGCGGTACAGCTCCCCGGGGAATCTTCTCAAAGTTCATCGTGACTTTCAGACTTTTCCCCGTCTCTCGGGATTGCTTCAAGTTGTGTTCTTGACGTTTCATCGATTTTAATGATACTAGTTTGGTGTTCTTGAAACAGAGCGACGAGGAAGAGCGACCTGGTGATGCCTGATCAGGCCAGAGCCGTCGCAAGGGAGCTGGGCATTTGCTATTACGAGACCAGCGTGTTCACCTATTACGGTGTAAACGAGGTCTTCGAAAACTCGATACGCGCCGCGTTGATCGCCCGACGACAGCAGCGATTCTGGATGACGAACTTGAAGAGGGTCCAGAGACCACTACTTCAGGTGAGACGACTACATTCAAAGTGCTGGGGTTTCTCTATGAACCGTCCTTGGTCTTCTCGCGCAGGCTCCTTTTTGTCCGCCAAAACCAGTGCCCCCTGAAGTCTGTCTAGCGGCGAGCACGTATGAGGAGAATATGAAGGCCCTCTGGGCGAAGCCGGTTCACACGGACGTGACCTTGATCGCCGGAAACTGCACGTTCTCGGCCCACAGGTGTCTCCTGGCCGCTGCGTCTCCAGCGTTCCATCGGCTATTCACGATGGAACTTGTCCACGAACAGACGCCTAGGAGCTCCAGTGAATCCAGCATGGTATGTTTCATTGTCCATCGTTTCTCTGCTCTTTGAGATATATTTTCTTTGTTCTTCTTAAGGTGAGCACGTTCGGAGAGGCGACTGTTGGCGACTTTAATGACGACACCGAGTGTCTGATACGCATCGACCAGTCAAAACCTTCAAAGTGAGTCTACTCGAGCAAACGTGTTGCTAGTTTTGTCCTGCATGATTAGACGATGCCGATGGAAACTTTAATCGACTTTCAATTCAAGTTCTGAACCCTGTGGCAGGATTTGGGAGCAGCTGAAACGGCGTTCGAGCTTCCAGGTGCTGCCCACGATGGACAACCAGAGAAAATCTGCTGGGGCGACGAGGGAATTGAACCATCCTGCCTTCCAGAATATTCGTGTGTGCCTGGTAAGTATACGGTATTGTCTGTGAAACAAGTACATACGATAATTATTATCCTTGATTTGCAGACTGAAAGTACAAACGGGGTCCAGCAACCGACCACCGTGGTGACGCTGTCGAAGCTGATTTCGCCGCAGGCTATGCAACAGTGCTTGCAGTTCATTTACACGGGCAGCTTAGATAAACGTTATCACGATCTGCAAGTACGTTGTGCCGATTGCATTTTCTAAAGTGTTGGGCAGGACCACTGGAAGCAGACCCTGAGCTTGGCGTACGGTACACTCTTTGCAACGGTACCCGTGAAATGTTTCCTACTGCAGTGCTTAAAATCTTTAAATTCCAAATGTCCAATTGTGGCCCATGTCAGGTGCAGGGTCTGTTTAATCGCGACCGAGGAAAGGATTATGATACTTACTTTGCCGGGAATATAGCAAGGGTGTACAGAGATATCACCCTCCATTGGTGTTCGTTGCTTAATTGATGTCTTTAAGATCAACGCCATTACGGTACATGGCAATTAACGCGGCTCTATTCTTTCAGACAGCTCCTATCGGGCTCTTACTGGTTAGTACAATGTGAAATACGTTCGCTGAATACCGGCACACCCATGCACACGCACGTAGTAGTGTCTCGCATAGTTGTCAGGGTGTCGATTCCAGAGAAATCCGTTAGGTTATCACCATAGTTGTCGTCATCCTGGCATGTTCTACTTTGTACCCACGTTTCTTAGAACAGTGATAAGACCATGTGGCGTTCACGGATGCATGGAAAACGCTTCCAGTCCCTTACATTTGATGGTTAACGATCGTCCAACTGGGTATCTCAACTTTAGAAAGGATCTCCATACCGCATTCCCCATGATATCATCATGTCATAATCATATGTCAATTAACTGCAGCGTTTTCTTGATCGCAGGAGATCAGACAAGCTGCCGAGTTTCTAGAACTGCCCCAATTGCTGATGGTGCTAGGGACGTTGCAGTCTAGAGAGTTCAATAACGAACTTAATAACAGGTACAAGCAAGTGGTGAGACAACGACTAGAGGACATCTGTCTGGAACAAGGTAGATTCTCTTTTCAGCCGCATTAGATTTCAAGATAATATATTCTAATATTGAATCGTGCCTGTCCTAGGACTCTTCGCTGACGTGGTGTTCGACTTGGACGATGGAAGCGTGCCAGCTCACAAAGCGATTCTCACTGCCCGCTGCGATGTAATGAAAGCCATGTTCTCCGGCGACTTCCGTGAAAGTAGCGCGAAAGTAGTAAGTACTTCTGCCTGGGGTAGATAGCTCGGATTGCTACCGCAATACATTAATCTGATTAACATCTACAAAAACAGATAGTGTTTCCTGGAGTACGCGAGTATACGTTCCACAAGCTGCTATGCTACCTCTACACAGACGAGGTGCCAGCAATTTCTTCCGGCAGGTGTTTGAACCTCTTAGAACTGGCCAATCGGCTGTGTCTACAACGACTGGTAAACTTAGTCGAGAGCAGGGTAATCGAAGATCTAGAAAGGTTGTCTCAGAATGAGGGGAATGAAGCGGTGGAGAATTGTCTGAGACTGCTGGAACCCTGCAAGGTCAGTTTTTCTATTCTTGATCCGAAGAGAACCGACCGAGCAATCAACTATTTCCTGATTCTCGGATTATAGTTGCACAATGCTGATCAGTTGGCGGATTGGTGCATGAATCACTTGTGCGTTAACTACAACAAGCTCTGCAAGATGTCTCCCAGGAGCGTCCGCCTTCTTCATCCGGAAAACCAAGAGTACCTGAACGAGCATCGATGGCCTCCAGTATGGTAGGAAAAATTCATCATTTCACAAATAACTTGATCCACCTGAAGTAGTTTAAAAATATAATTTCCTGTTTGTTAGGTACCTGAAAGACTACGACTACTATCAAAAATGCTTGGCGGAACGGGACCGCGAAAGCAAACCCACCCTGAAGAGGAACCGCAACCAGTCCGGCTGCTTGTGCTTCTCTGGCTCCAGCAAAACGAGAAGAGAGAGTAGCGGAAATGGCGGCACAGCGTCATCAGCCTCGAATGACCCGCAGGCCGAGCGACCTCTGTTCGATTCGTCGATAGAATCCGGTGAACAGGTTGTATGACAACAGCCTAGCGGCTTAAGCCGCTCCGTCAGATTCATTCTGATCCTACCCGTGCTCATGGTCTTCATATGCACCATTTTTACTATTTTGATACTGCTACAGATTTATACTTAAGGGACATTTAAGCAAAAAAAAAAAGAACACCGACGAAACGATATATGCACATGATACCCCGATAATCAGAAAGTCGCCCGACCCTGATACCGGGGCCTCCTCTATCAATATTTGTCGCACGTGACCGGATACCCTTAGCTGGCGCACGTTCTTTACCTCGGAGAAGTCGGGCGGTAGATTTTCTACGAGTCGAAAACGCGACGACTGTTCCTTGGGAACTGGTGTATTTTTTCTATGTGAACATCCTCCGCGCTGTCGTTGGGACGATGATGCACGGCGCTATTGTCTTTCGAAGGGACTTCTCACACGGGCGTCCATCGTTTTTTAAAACGAAACAAGCTGGTGCCTTTTGTTGACGACACGTCTTTGCCACTAAAGCGACCCCCATAAAAAGGTGCAGCGTTGCCACCTGAACGAAAAAAAAGAAGTTTCACTTGTTTGATCTGTTGAGTCGTTCGGACGTAGAGACAGGAGTCCTCGGAGTGACTTACACACACATTCGTCGACTTTAATCAAGCAGAGAGAATTTTTTATACTTTGGATGCTGGTCCTCCTCGAGGCTTCCCTGGTCGGGTTTCTCGCGATCAATAATGCTGGTGACTTTAAACGACACGCCCCGTCCTCTTGGAGAAATTTTTAAACGTATCGAAAACTATTTCCAGTCCATCCTGAGTTCGAAGGAGTCATCTATAAGATCGCAGCCGCTGTTTATGCAACCCGACGTGCAAGCGAGCATGTCTGGTTACCTGTCGAAGGGGCTACTTCCATAGGCGCGGGAACGTTGCGGTGATTAAATTAATGCGTCGCCACATCTTCCCTGAAAGGCAAAACAATTAAAATCTCGAGCATTATTGACCAATCTAGCGGGTATAGACGTTGCCAGTTCCTTTTGCCCATGGTTTTCGATTAATTTCACTGGAAACAAGCAAGGAGAATTACGGTGAAAATCAATTTTAATTCGTGACGTCCGAAATGGAGCGAACGATTCCCATCAGACGATAAAGATCGTCGTACTTTTATCGATGCGTATTAGACTGAAGAAAACGAGCAATAGTCTTAGCCGGTAGTAATGCGTAAAAATTACGTCTGTATAACGATACCCAAAAAATGGTACCGTTTGTTAGTCGTGTAAGGAAACATCAGACGTTGTAACGTTTTTATTGTCATTTGCACGATATTCGATGTCGGGCCTTGCTTCAACCATTCTGTTCTCCCTACCACACGACCGAGGTTACAATTCCTTCGAGTGCTAGGAGACTTCTCGTATTTGTACCATTTTGTAACGATCTACGGAAACACTATTGTCGATTACCTTTAAGTATGGACGGGTGCAAGTTTATCGGGTGCAAACAAGATATAGGACCATAAATAGAGATACATTCGTCTTCTTCGTCTAATTTTTATACTGGGTAGCGTTAATTCGTCGTTTGTCTCTTAAAAATATTCTATTCTTTGCTTCAATTGTCTCAGAACTTACGGACCACAATTCGAAATCTCTAACGCATCTTCGATAATGAACAATACATTGTATAGATGGCTAAGTCACTCCTCTATCTCGTTTGCAAATGGAAACTGGGGATTGTCTAATAGTGCAACATATCGATCACGGTAAACGATTACTACTAGAATGACTAATTCTGGTAATAATAATTATTTACCCAGATTACAAGAGAAAGGGACAGAGAGAGAGGGAGAGAGAAGATTTATCATGAGTCTACTAATGTTCATAGGATATAGCGCGAAGCTTAATCAGATGTATCTCCATGTAAAAGTTATTCTACACATACCGTGTCTCGCATTATCTCGACGAATTCTATTTTCTAAGTGCACAAAATTGGTACCCGCATCTCTGAAGAAACGTAACCTCGCGTTTTAAAGGGCCGGTCGTGATAATGTTCTCGGAAGGACAGGGATGTGACCTGTAACGTTAGCGTTCGGTAACTAAACGGTGTTTAATCATTTGATACTTGTAGTTCATTCCTTCGCCGCAGTTGTGAGCGCGTGAGATCGGTTAATGCTGGAGCTCTTACTATTCGAACTTGTTTTTGTATACTCAAAAATACTGGAACTTCAATTTGAATAGTCGAGCACTCAAATTAAAATCTGAGCATACGTTCGAATACATAGATTTCACTTGAGTGTGTATCCGAGTACTCAAGTTCGGATGAGAATCATGGTAAGAACTCTAGTCAATACATTCATTGTTGCAATATGGAAGAATGCTTGAGAGACAGTGAGAATGGGAGACACAGCGAAGGAGAAAAAAAGATCTGTGAATCAATTTTAATGCAACACGCGGAGTATGCAAAAGACATGTGTAACTGTTATGCTGCCATAACTACTTTTACACTGTGTAATCTGTGTAATAAGCGAGCGAGTAGTGATGGGTACGACATTCTCAAACAACTCGAACAATTATGAAAAAAACCTTTCCTATCATCTGCCCGCCACTTTGTAATTCGTCGAAGATCCGGTAGACAGCGGTGAGACGATAACAGAGAAGGACGAAAAATTGTGTCCGTTTATTTAATCGACTTGGATCACCTATCGAACCCATCGCTACTTTTACGAAAGAAACAATACTACACGTACTGTCGTAAGATGCGTTACTGCCTGAAATTCTCCAACGGAAACGACGTATGCAGGATGTCCGTTTTGGCGAGGGTGAGAATAACGTCCCACTTGTACGCTACGTCAATTTCGATGTCAATGTTGTCCTTCGTCGCTCGTGAATGTATATTTTGTACTGACATTGGTAACCGTAGAATTAAGGATACGAAGACAGACACATAGAGCGATAGAGAATCGATGATGTTTCAATTTCATGTGCATTTTAGACGCGATCGCGATGAGAGTACGTTGAGAAAAGGCGTTTGCGGGCGACAGAATTCCCTTTTTCATGAGATATATCGTATACGTCGAAGGATATTTGTGTGTATAGGCGCATTTGGGGAAACAAGGATTTTGCCGCCTCTTCAAAGTACTTAGGTGCGTTCTTCATTATTTTCTTGTTTGAATTTATCTAGCCTTTCCGCGCTCGCAAGGCCTCCAATCCTAACTCGACGCGTTCACGACATCTGTTCTCGAATCGTGCAAACTGATCGATCTGTAGAAAGTACTTGCAATGTGTTGCCAGCTCGGTCGGTAATAAGTAACTTGGTCTCGTTAAGAATTTAAGCATAGCTTAAGTCGTTTCAAACATTATAAGATTGTCAAAGCATTTCGTATTCCGTGGCCGACGAGTAAAACGTTCAGCTATGACAAATGGGAATATTCGTCATACGGTTACATTCAATTGTTTCGACGTGCAACGTTTCCTCCGTAGCGTCGCATTTTGTCGATCCTCGTTAACATCGTGTTACCAATTCGAAGCGCGGTAACGATTTGCCAGCCAATGAAGACGAAGACACAACCGCGACTTTATGCAGGAAATACTGTATTCGAACGGTGATGCGATTAACGCACTGATTAACGCGGGTAAGATTTATATTTCACGCATTCGATTATTCCGTTTGCTTCGATTATACTCGACAACCGCGAACAAGTTGTCTTTTTTCGAATACAATTTCAAATTTGAATACGTATTACATTAATAATGACCGATAAACAATTGGTATATGATCTTTCTAATAACTCTCAATTTTACAAGCAACTTTAGAGGTCACGCTCAGATTCGTATGAAACAAAATTATAAAAGAAACTGTAAACAATCGTTCGGAAGTCTTGACCGACAATCCAAAACGATTTCCAATGTTGATCACGATCAAAGTCAAATGACGATGTCTATTTCGAATTTAATTTTACCTGCTTGAAATAAAAGCAAAGCTGTATATACGTATGTATGCATGCCGCTTCGAGAAATATGATTTTTATCGTAAGCTAACTTTTAATATTCTATTTTCAAATGCACAGGTGATAAATAAAACTAATTTTTAATTAAACTTCATACGTGGGGTTTTCTCTTTAAATTCACACAACAAAAGATTATTTTTTGTTTTATATATTTTTTTATTCTTTTGCTTACATTAACCTTACAAATGTAAAGAATTGTACATAAAATTTATCGCTTTGGATAAAATATTAACTAATTTCTGATAATACTTGTTGCTGAAAATGGTGAGGAAATATTTATTTTTTAACGAGTACATCTACTGTATTTACAGGTTGGTTGAATATATGTAATTACAGTGGAATCGGTAATGTTTTCATTGTATTTTTGATTTCCTGGTATAAGTCTTTATAGTCTGGATGCTCTTTAATTAATACCATGAGACTACCTCTTTTCACACCCATTGCATTACCAATATCTTGTTTCGATGGCGTATAACAATATGGAATGTCTCGGTCCTCACATACAATTGGTAAGTGGCACATAATTTCTATGGGAAACACATCACCCGCAAAGACAACTAACCTACCAAATACAATATTTCTTGGGTAAATATTACTCTAAATACTACAACTACTACTTTATCATAAATAAATTAAGTTACCCAGTTTCTCCTTTACGAAGATGCTTCTGTACGTCCTTCAAACCATTTCGAAGATAGGTTTTCTGTTTTGAAGCTGAAATAATTAGATTAGAAACTATAAGTATTATAAATGAATTATTAACACTAAACCTACCGAGGTCAAAATGACCATTTTCCCATTTTGCAATTCTGAAAACTTTAAAAACTTTTTCATGGAAAATGTTTAAATGCATTACATTATTGAAGCAATTTTTTAATAGGAACTTTACAAAATCTAAATAAATTCGATTTTCTCACTTTTATGAAGCAATGCAGACTAGTTAATATTACTGCTTAAGTGATTTAGTGTTAAAGTAGTCTTAATTATACAAAAAGCACGTACCTTTCTTTACACATTTGTAGATCTTTTTTGCCAGTTTCTTTGGTGCCATAGGGTAAGCAATGGAATTTACATATTTCAATTTTTCTTCATAAGTTTCTGCATTGCTCGGAGCATTATCATTATCTTTCATACTCTCGTCTACTTCCATTTTAATTTGTGATTGATCCATTTTATAAGGAAATAACAAGTATTCTATAAATCAGAACCTTATCTTGTTTCCACAACGTGCTTTCATGTACTGTGTAGTCTGTATTGATCCGTGCGACCTAGACCCTACACCGGAAACTTACTTTAAAAAAAAAAAAAATTGTACAAATTTAAATGAAATATTTTCTTTGTAGGTATTAGATAATTTAAAAAACTCTTCTCAGTTTATATTGTATACCAATAATTGTTAGCTGGAGTTTTTTAAATTCATATTGATTATTTTTATCAATAACCCTATCTCGTAGGAGAAAACTCATTGCGCCATCTACGGAAAAGTGCTCAAGATGACATAGTAGCGTCACCTGGAAGATAATCAGAGTTATCATTTGTAGGTAATTCTAACGAACAGTTTCAGCGTTTTACCACTACGTGTATTGACGCTAGTTGTTTATTTTGCTTTAATTATCATAAACTGTTTTTATACAATAAATCGTAATCATGCGTAAAATTATTAGAAGTATTTTGGAACAAAAAATTTTAACTTTTAGCTTCTGATTATCAAGCTATATACTGGCTACAATATACAAAATTTAAATAGCATAAGAAATCAGAGCCGAACTGGCGCCTGGTTATCAGGAATACATATGTGAGATGGAGTTTTTATAACATACAAGCATACATCATTGCATTTTAAAAAACCTATAGAATCATTCTCTTTAAAATGATGAATAATACAATACATTTTTTCGTTCATTCGCGAATTTCGGACTTTTATGGAAATTGATAGCGTAAATAAAATTGCAAAGAACGGCAGTGGAGGCAAGAAAGTACAATAGATGAATTCGGTAAAAATGCATATTTGCTTTTATTGAAAAAAAAGAGAGAAAGTGTCTCCGTGTACGTGTGTCAGTGGTGTTGTGTATCGGACAAAAGTCGATCCATGAAATGATCTTTGAAACCCCCTAGATCGCGATCGTAGTCGACACGACGCCGATACATCAGTGGTGGGGTTTCGCTTAATTACCGATACTATCCTTGATTAAGTATCGCGAAGTAGTTCGAGGAAACGTCGTGGTGTGACGCGATGTCACGATTCCGCGATCTTCCTCGCGATCAAATCGAAGGCCGATTAAAACAAATCAGCCTATCGACAGGAGAATTCGTTCCTACTATATTTATAGATATACATATACATACATACACTTTTCTGTTCTTTTTTTATTTATAATATAATATATATATATATATATACCTACGGCTCGTCTGTATCTCGAGAACAAACGCGTCACCCCACCCGTCGTACATTGTACCCAAGGTGTCTTGTTTTTTTAATTTGTCTCTCCGCAAAGGAAGAATTTCTATTAATTGTTACACGCTCGTCTACTATATTAAAAATATGAAGTCGACTAGGCGCCGACACGACAACGACACGACGACAAATAACGACGTTCGTCTCCCTCGTTGACGATTTTTACGAACGTCGTACACCGCAGCGGCTGCCTGCTGATCTTCGTCGATTATTCCATTTTCCTTTCTTTTCGCAAACGATCATCGTAATTAGCACAGGAGCCACCGCGACAAAATCGTCGAGAACCGGAAACGGACCACGTTCCCAGTCGATTGCGTGTTCATTCGCATCGGCCGTGGCAGTATTACATTTATCGTTTGACGGTGGTTGGCTCGATGCAAAAATAACAGAATTTTCTTATTACCACCAGAGATTCCGAGTATTATCACAATTATCGCATGTCTTATCCGCTTTATATTCTTGGAAAATTTACGGGACACGCGTGTATGTAATACGCTTCGAGGGGTCAGGCTGTTGGCATAACGAATCTTTCAATGAGACTTTGTCGAGCGACAATGTTTTACCAATAATTAATTTTGCAGGTGGTAAATTTTTATTATCCAGTAATAAATAGAGATCTTGCTTAAAAAATGGCATAGCAATTTTGGCAGTTGTGTACCTTATCAATTATTTTACATCTTTGCTCACGTGGAAGATAATTAACATTTTAGCAGCACACAATTTTGTAAAGGTTATAACATTTTTGCATTTACAAATTGAGAATATTAAAATGAGTCATCAACTATAGACTTTAAAATAACGTAGGTCTATATCAACAGCTGCCAACTTGTTAAGTGACCTTCCATTCGCCTGGAACTTCTATCTAGATACAAATTTCGGCTATTTGCAATAGCATACATTTAATATCAACCACCTGTGTACACATCTACATAATTGGTAGTAGTATTTATCGCTCTACAAATGGCAACCAGAGATTCCCTGTTAGCCATGGGGATCCTCGCATAGCGGATTCCCCAAATTAGCCTATTCACCACCACGCGGAGTCAAGGGGATTGCTCAGGGTAACGCTCATTAATGCTCAAAAATAAAACCGCCAGACAATTCCGATTAAAATCATGTATTATTGTCTGTCCGTAGAAAAAGCGTACTTTTCAGGAGGTTTTAAGCTCAGGCGCCCCCTCACAATGGAAACTCCCATTAATTCCGCACCGAGCCAACACCGCACGCGAACTTGAGGGCCTCTAGAGTCATTATCGCTGTGAAATTAATTAGCGGCGATGACGGCGGCAGCCGCCGCGGACGACGACGACGACGACGACGATTTCTTCTTCAGCACGATGTCCTTGATGTTTAGGTTGACCTTCTCCTTGCGCGGGGGTGGCACCGATTGCAGGCAAAACCTCTTGAATGCCTCCAATTCGCGTTCAGCGTCGTCCATCTCCCCATCCTCGAGGTCTATATCTTTGGGCGTGAATACGCTCTCTGGAAAAGACACGCTCTGAATACTAGAAGTTGATGACGCCTAGTGGAGGTAGAGGGTTGGGGGGGGGGGGAGACAGGGGACAGAATTAAAGTTTGCTGTGCAGATAGTCGAGTATCGTTGTTTTCTTATTTCTCTCTTTGGTTGAACCGGATATTGCTTAAGTATGGGTACACGAAGATGGAAAAATTGAGAAAAAGAATCTACAGTGTTCGTGGGGTCCCTCAAACCAGCCTCCTATAATTTTTTAAACAGAAAGAAATGTTTTTAGCTGTAGTTTAATAAACGATTTAATAGATCATCTACTAGACTGTGGTTCTAGTCTCCTCTATTGTTTTAAAAGTTTCTTTCTGCACCTAAAATTATGGGATTCAGTCAGGTGACCTGTCTGAAGAAAGGGTAATGAATTACCCTACAAAAAAGGGTAATGAATCGTGGGTGTTGAATAAAACATAAAAGAACGAGTGTATACGTGTACGAGAAAGAAAGAGAGAAGGGGAGAGAATGAAAAGATATAAAGAGAAAGATAACACTTGACTTGATCTATCCATACGCATGCAGCATTTTGGATGGCATCAATGACCGACAGGGAAAAAGAGAGTATAATAGAAATGTAGGGCAAAATAATAAATCTCTTTTATTGAAACACGTCATCAGTTGATTAAAAAAATATATGATCTCGTCATTATTGCCTAGACTTTTTGGTCGGTTCTGGTATCACAATAAAATGTATCAGATAGCAGACAAGTTGGCTGTGTCAACTAACTTGAGCAAAGCGTGGCTCTCTTGAGTGACCGACGTATCTTTTCTTTATCTGTCCTTTCTCTTTCCACAGTCGACTATGTGTGTGCGACAACAGATTTACTGAATCGGTCGATCGATGTCTATATAGATCTAGAATCAGAGGGCTCTAATTGTCATGCTTTTGCTGAGAATTCCGCGTGCTTACGACCATCATTGTCTTTCTAGAAGGGACTGCCACCCCTGACAGAGAGGGTTCGACCAAGGTCATGTGGTTGATCGCGGAAAAAATGATTTACACTCGTGCAAATAAACAGACAATAATATACTATGTATAGACGATTTCCAGGAACACTTAAAACGATAGTCAACATCTTTTTAAATACATTTTTCAAAGTACTTCTTGATAAATAAAAAATCTAACAAGAAAATAATAAATTATGTGAATAAAATAAGTAAAATATTATAAAAATATTTAAATTATTCATGCTATATATAAATATTGTCAATTGATGTAAGTAAATATGGCATAGGCCTAAACTGTTCGATCGAGTACTTTTTGCCATGGGTAGCAGAATAGATAATCAGAAGAAGGGACAGACAATTGAGAGGTCCCTAAATATAGAGAGGCTACAAGCTATCCTAGGTCCAAGTTTAAAAAGTATCCAGGATGTAACACGACAAATGGGTCGATCTTCAAGAACGTCGCAGTGAAAAATTCATGGGAAAAGTTCACGTATTCATATGCCTGATTTGACCGTGACAAACGATACTAATCAATAGTAATATTACATTCGAGATGCAAGCTGGTACTTCTTAGTACCTTCTACGAAGATACATAGATGAGGTAATTCTGTAAAACGAGGAAGACTGGATCTGTCATTGATTGCATTCACTTTTCGTCATCGTTTTTTCAGTAATCCACCCTTGAAATCTGGCATACTTGTGGCGTTACACACTGTACAAAAGTAATCCTAACCAGTGTCAAAGTAGATGTACTCTACACTTCAGAATTAACAAAATATTTCTAGTAAAAATTCATAAAACCAATATTGACAATTTTTAAACCAACAAATCAAGTCTTATACATTTATATAAAAGGGATAGAATATTATTTTCAACTCTAACAATGATAAACAAATTTAAAATTGAATTTTTCACATGCTTCCTTAGTGGAGCCATTTTTAATACTTACCAAGTTAGAATCACTATTTATTAGATGTAATTATGGACTATCATTTACTAGAAATTTTTGTCAAGATTAAAGAACACCTCTACAAAGCGACACTTGTTTAAGATCACATGGCGCATATACAGAGCACCTCTGAACTGATATAAGCCAAAAAGTAGTGACTTTACATAAAAAGATAAGTGGAAAATTTAGAATAAAATTTTGTATTGTTCTTTCGTGCTCTGAAAAATGTAACTGGCCCGATAAAAGATTTTTTAATATTTTTATTAACTGTAACCATAAATATATCTTCAACTAGATAAAGTTTATTCAGAAATGATATATAGTACCCAAAGATATTACCCTATATTTTCGACTTCTCTTTTTCGTGCAAAATCAATCCTGAAGGTACAGCATCAGGTCAGAGATACCTTGTACGTGAAAGTTAAGGCTACAGATTGCATTCGACAGAAAAATCACCTGGATCATCCAACAAAACAAGTCGTCGGCACGCGCGAACATCGAAAAGAAAATAAAGAAAAGATAGTGCTCACTGGCCAGAGTATCTTCCGGACCCATCCCCTGAGAAATTCGTGGCGGCCAATTCGAGGAGATCCCGACTGTGTATCATCCGGTATTTGAATAAATCTTTTGACCTAGCCTCGTCCTAACGCGGTACATTGTCCACTCCTGACGAAACGAAACGAAAGAAAAACCGTCGTCAGTACGATCCAGCCTACACGCTCGTGTGTCCGGAGACTCAATACTGGCTGTGTTGTCAATTAATGGACTCTGTGTGTCTTCAACAAACAAGTCAATTCAAGTAACTCTAGTACCAGGGGTTAGGAATGCTGCCCCCTGGGTGTACACTTGTATATCTGAATCATTCCACGCTAACTCATGCCAGAGATTCGATTCTAAATGGCACAATGATTTAGCATTAATTATCATTGTGGCAGGTTTAAACTATCGTCCTCCCGATGACTTAAACTAACCCTAGTGCATTTCCTCATACTTCATTTTGAATAAAATCTCTGATGTCCTTCTCAAAGCACAACTGACTTAATGTGGAATGACCCATCTAGGTGTGCGTGTGTGTGTTTCTGACAGTGTCTGTTAAGGAAAACAAAAAATGAAAGAAGCAAATTTACATGTTAAACTCTGATTATTGTTGTTTCTCACCAACGAGGTTCCAGTCATCGCCGCATTGCCTCGTGCCGGTTCCGCGTTTTTTCTTTTTCTTGCTCTTCCCGTTACTTGACGCCGCTATCGACGCATTTATGGCTTCCCGGACCGCCGTTTTCGCGCTCTGTACATCCTTTATGCTCGTCTCTGTTCTCACCTTCGTCAGAGTCACGCTGGTTCCCTTCAGATTGATCCCGTTCTCTGGTATCGGCTGACCGTTGGTCACTTTACTGATCTGGATGTTAGCCAGATCGCTGAGGGTTGTGCAGTCTGGGGTCAGCCTACTTCTCAGTTCGGCCAGACTAGACGGGATAATACCGTTAGTATGTTTCAGGTTTGGACCATCGGTCGATGTCCTGGACGACAGATCACCCTTCACTATGTAATCAGGTTTTGGAGGAGACGTGAGCCCTGCGTTGATCGCCTGTTGCAGCGCTGGACTCCTAATGGTCACCATGCCGTTTTCAGACACTTTTATGATAGCTGCTTGCTGAGTCGGTGGGACTTTCATCGGACCAAATGCTGGGTTCCTTATGGTCACCATATTCGTGTTAGGGTTGTGCAGTATTCTGGCTGGTTCATCGGTATGCTCGTTGACAAAAGAATCGTTGTTCTGCGCTATTGTTTGATTATTGCTGTTGGCGGAGTTAGCTGCATTTTTGTTCTTCTTTTTCTTTTTTTTCCCTGTAGTGCTTACATTTTGCTGTGTCTCCTTAGATACCTCTGTGAAAATAGAATGAAATGGAAAAACTGTTTATGCTGTTAAGTTACAATCTATAAAGTCTGTACTCACCTTTTTCTGTAGGCTTAGGGAGAAGGTCTTGTTTCAGTTTCCCGGTATCAACTACGATCACGTTACCACCTGCCTGAGGGCTCGAGTAACTGGACTGAACGCTACTCATTGGAGCCGCGATTATGGTAGTCTGTTTAGGAGGATTCACAGGTTTGGGCAACGGAGCTGACTTTATCGGCAATGGCTTGGCAGGAGCATCCACCTTCGTTATCGTAATGCCAGGCGGTAATTTCAAGTTTTCTATGTTGATCATCGAATTCGCACTGATGTCCTTGAACTGGCTACTCAAAGGCGAGTTAACTCGTTCCGTGGAAGCAGGTTGAATCTCTGAGCGCTGCTTCATTGTGGCCTGTGAGGGTATCTTACACTGTATCTTCTGATTATCATTTTTCATTTGCTTACATGCTGCATTACTACTAGCATTTTTATTGTTCTTATTGGAATTCAATTGGCTGCCTTTGTCTTGCTCTTGACCTTTCGATTTCTTATTGTTTTCATTACTGAGATTCGAGGACTTCTGGGAGACTGGCGTCTGGGGTGGAGTGTTTATTTTATTCTGTTTCTTATTAGGCACATTTTGCTGTTGATTTTTATTCTTGTTCACTGTATTCTGCTGCAAAACATTCTCTTTGTTTTCAGTGTTCTTTTTATCCTTCTTTGACTTTTTTGTCTCTGTTATACTTTGCTGTTGCACCTTCTTCTCGTCCTTCCCTTTAGTCTTGTCGCTGTTTCCTTGCTTAACGTTCTTGTTATCACCAATTTTATTTTGCGACTGTTGTTTCGAGTTATTTGTTTGTTGAGTCTTATTCCCCTGTTGCAACGAGTTGTTATTACTGTTAGTACTGTTATTGTTGTTATTATTGGCTTTGGTTTTCTTCTTTTTCCCACTGATGTTCTGGTTCTGTTCGTTCTCCAACTTGGGAAGGGAGACCTCCTTGGTCTGGCCGTTCACCAGGGTGAACAATACCTTGTCCTCGGCTGGCGTTTGACCTTTCAATGTGATCGTGACCGTTGGTTCCGCGCTGTTCGACTCCATGACCCTTTTTATAGTGACCATCTGAGGCTGACTCTCGGCCTGAACCGGTTTCTTCACCTCTTTCGCCTTCGTCTCTTCCAGTTTCTTCAACTCTTTCTTCTGTTTCTTTCTCTCTTTTTTCGTCAATTTCTTCTCGTTCAAGTCCATCGCCAGTGACTTCTCTGTAATGTTCTGGTTACTTTTCACATTCGTACCGTTGGTACTTGTCAACACCTTGTTATTCTTATTAATAATTTCGGCTTTGTCAGGTTTGCCGGTCGTCTTGTTTGTCTGGCCAGCGGCCACAGTCTTCTCCGCTTTATTCGAATTAATACTTTTGTTCTTCGCATTCGTATTCACAGGTGAAACCTTCGTTTTGCTATTTATACTAATGGTACTACTACTACTACTGCTGCTACAGCTACTGCTACTAGTGTTGCTACTATTGCTACAAACTTCCTGCTTGTCTTTCTTTTTATTACTTAATTGCTTTACACTCGGCAACGCTACTGGCGGTGACGTGGGTAAAATAGATACTTCGGGAAGATTACACTGAGGTAATAATCTCTGAGGAACGGGTTTCTGTGGATCTACTACTGTGATCGTCACTTCTGGCGTTTTTTTCTGTAATTCTATCAGTTTTTGTCTTTCTGCCTCTTGCCTATCTCTTTTTAATTTTTCTTCTACCTATTACAGAAGAAAAATGAAATTAAAACAATGTTAGAAACGCGCAGAGAAATTTAGAATTTGGGTCAACAAACCTTCCTCTGCTTTTGTCTGGCCTTCTTCTCCGCTTTTTTATTATTATCCTTTTTCCCATTCTGATTACCTTCGATGAACTCCAACAATTCTTCCAAGTCCCTCTGATCCCTTTGATCCTGTTGAACTGTTAGGGCAGCGGAAACTGGAGTATTAGACCTTGGTGCTGTGTTAGCCACTGCTTTCGTTTCCGGATTTGTATTGGTCGACGATTCCGAGGAACTTTTTGAGGGACTACACGTAGCTTTACATTTTTTAGCTTTCTTCTTGGTCAACAACTGTCGTAACCTTTCCCTCATTTCATTGTAATTCCTACTAACCGGCGCTACAGAAGGCTGCAAAGCAAAGATTATTGTAAATATAATTATATTGAAGATAGATCCAAAAGTTAACTGGAACATTGCACTTACAACTCCGTGTCCGAATACTTCACAGTAACAACAGTCACAATGTCTACTCGAGTCTCTTTGTGCTGAACTACTGGTCGAACACGAGTCCTCCTGACTGCTTCCGGAATCGGAACAATCACCGTCCCCGGAACTCACTGAAAACGAAATATATGATACAATAAATTATAGTTATGGAATCGGTATAAATAGAAACGTCGAATGTGTACTAACAGTCATTACACGACACTCTTTTGATGTGCTCAACGTTGGCCTGTTTGTGACATGCATGCGACGAATGAGCGTTGTGTGTGTGAGATCTGTGAGGGGGAGTTGTGTTTTTAACCAGGTCCGGAAGAGGTCCGTGCGTGTGTGGAGGATGAGTTGTACCTGTTTGTAAAAAATCATACATGAACTTTTACAAGGTCAATGTGCACTTTAATCTGCAAGTTCACAGTAATTTGAACTTTGAAAAAAATTGTCTAACTCCATAAAGAATATTTTTTTATGTTTATGAAAAGTAACGCTTTCAAATAAAATAGATTTTTTCCAAGAATCATCATTGTTGTACCCTCACAAAACGTTCAAGCTATTTAAATGGACCAATTGATCGAAATCAAATGGAATAATTTACAACTTACACCTACCCTGATGTGTTGGATGATTGTGAGCGGTGTTCGGCGTCTGCGTAGTAGAATGCCTCGTCTGTGTTTGAGCAGACTGCGTAGAACCAGATTTGACGGCAGGTTTACTTGGCTCTGAATTTATCTTTACGGTTGTAGGAGACACAGGTTTCGGATGGTTATTCGGTACAGCGGTTTCAGGTACAGCTAATAGCGTTATTAGAATTTATAATAATGATATAAACAAAATTTCTATTTAATTATTGAAAGATACTTTACCTAAAAAACCATTAATGAGTTGTGAAAATGGATTTTCTATTGGCAATCCTATACTTTCTGTGTCGCTTTTATTCATCTGTAAATTAATTTAGTTAATTAATTCGGGAAACAGAGTAATGTTAAGGCGATATAAATCCTTCTTACAATAGGTGACACTGGAGACCCTGTACACGAATGAAATTCACAACACTTCCCATCCTTTGTGTTGTCTTCTAAGCACCCTCCTTCGTTATAAGTTCCTTCTTTATAAGCTCTTGAATATATTTAATTGTTCATAAACTGATTCAAATTATACTTTACAGTAAAAGATAGCAGGACTGTCTTACCCGTTCGCATAAATAGCCGTAGATATCGCATCCACCGTTTCTGCCACTTTATAAAGTTGGTCTTTATTCCAATCATGTAAGAGAATTTGAACCATCTCGGCAGTCGATGGTATATTCAGCGAATCTAGACTGAAGTCCGGAGTTGGACTTATTGGCCTACTATCCATTTCAGAGATAGTAACTTTCCCCTGCGTTGCGAGCGTTGACAATTGACCATCCACTTCTTGTAATTCACTGTAACAAATATAATACTGTAGCACTAATCTAATAACTTAGAAAAGTTTATTTCCTATTGTATGATAACATACTTCCCACTATCGAGCGATTTGTTGGACATACGTTCCTCCATAAATTTCCTAGTTACCGAAAATACTTCCCAAGTATTCCATATTTGTCTAAGGCTGGTCATTTGAACTGCTTGTTCTGCACTGAAATGTGTGCTGTTTATGAAACTCTGATCATACATTTATTCCCTTGCACCGAGGCCACCGAATACACCTGCTTACATCAAACATAAAATAATCTCTAAAACTGCTTACTTGTATTTGTCCATCCATGGTTTAGTGTCTGGCCACAGATCCCTAATTTTTATCATTTTATCGTCAAACGCTAAATATCGATGTACAAGACCTTCGTACTTCGAGCCTTTCAAAGGCAAAAGTTTCCTTAACTGCAGAAACGAAGGAAAATTTTATTCCTGACGTAATTTTCGAACAGATATTTATATAGTGTTCATATATTTACCTGTCCGATAAAAGGAGACAGATTATTCTGTAACATCGGGTCATCGTATACATAGATCTGATATAACTTTTTAATGAAACAGTCCCATGTGAGCTTGCACAAATAACCCTTCAAAGGCTTTACTAATTCAGATATTTGAGATGCTGTTGATATCAATGCATCATAATCATCTAAGAGACCTGCACATATAATACATATGTGTAAGGTACATACAGTGGTTAAGAAAAGGTTTTGTAATATTAAAGAAAATAGCATTCAAACTACCTGTAAGAAAAGTTTCTGCTAAATTATTTACACTACGATCACGTTGAATAGCTATCAATCGAACTTTTACTTCTACAACAAATTCTCGCGCCTGACTCACTAGCCTCGAAGATAACTGTGAGGGATCCCAATTGCACAGTCTGAAAGGAACAAACAATTAATTCGTTGGCTTTGTAGGGACTTTGTGAGTGAGAAATCATTCTTTAAACTTACTGTAGAACAATCTCATGCATATTCTCCATAGAAAGTGCATTTTGCTGCAACTGCAAGCTTCCTGGATTATGAGATGCTTCCAGGGCAGCATTGAAAGAAGCACGCATGTATTGTTGCAATTCTGTCCATAAATTTTGGAATTTCATGAACTTTTGCAATTCTTCCCTACAGAGATCTCTGCAATAAAAATGAATTGTATTATAATTTTTTATTTCTCAATGCAATGTGGATCATTTCAAAACAGTGATAGTTACCTTCTTACTTTATATGTATCTCTTTGTACATATCCAGGATCTCTTGCACCTTTTATGAAAGCATTTACTGCATTCATGTCTATTGCCATATTCTGAAAGAAGAACAATCTATAACAATTAATGTTATACCACTCTTATGATGTGTTAGTAATTCTTGAAAATGTTCCATTTAAAACTGATGTAAGATAAAAACAATTTGGATATCATATCTATGCAATGCTACAAAGCAAGTATATTATTCAGCCCATAAATCGACTAGAATTTTCATTTACATCAGCTCAGATCATTATGCTATAATTATAATGACCAAAAACAAATAAACAAATAATTTATATGTAAAACATAAAAGTGTAAAAACAAATTGTAAACTAACAAACACTACTTTACTTTACTGTTGTACATATGTATAAGATCTATACTTTACACTTACTTTACTCAATGATACAGTGCTTAATGTTAGTTTACAATTGGAGTAACTAAGATCATTTTTTGTAAACATTTTTCGTACAATACAGTTCACATTATTCGTCGTCAAAAGAAGCATTAAACATCATACTGACAAGGTAATAATAAAAAAACGACTGATCTGTTGACTTCGAATAGTTACGCGTGATCTTGAAGTTATGGGGACGAGTTAACTCGTCATGCGCGCTGGAGAAAAATTTCTCGACGACGAGTTAACTCGTAGTCCTCCGGTTAACAGGTTAAGATACACAAAAGACGAAGACTTAGCGTGTAGAATATTAATGTACCAGACCCATCGTTCTTCCTTGAAAGAAATATCGATGGTTTATGATCGATGGCTTACGGAGGGGATGCAATTACATTCGGCGATAGAAAACGTACCGCGTCAGGAACCAAGTCCGCGACGACGGGCGACCTGACAGCGTCGCTGTCGTAATCGACAGCCAGATCTACTTCCTGCCGCGTTTGATCGTCGTCTACAACGGTGCGGGTATCGCAAGGTACATCGTCTGCGTGTTTCTTAGCGAGAACGTCACCCATCGCTACTACGTTGCTTTCTCTCGTCCTATTGCATTGACCGTCTTCACCGTCGCTGCCGCTCATTCTATCACCGCGTGGTGCAACTGGTACACCAAGTGGATCGTTCGCGAGCACTCGAACCGGGCCACACGGCAATCGATACGGTTTTCCACGGGTTTTACTTGGAACCGCGTAAACACCTAAACCACATTCAATCAACATTCGCTCAATATGGCGTCTCGCGTGCTCGTCCTGTGGTTCGCCGCTCAGGCACTAGGCGACGTATTTACGCGATTGCGCACTCGGTTGTGCACAATGGATAGAAATGAAAAGAGTCAGATCTGGGAAAACTACGACATCTAAAAAGTATTGTATCGCGATATAATCTTGTATATCTTTCGAAAGAATTAGCTTGAATATGAAGTTACAATTGTTATCCTGAACGCGCATGCAACTGGAATATTGTGTGCCTCAATAACCTGATAACGCGCACTTGTCATAGTCTTCTTCTCTTGTCAAATAGATTGTCAAGAGTAAATGTTTCTTAATAACTCCTATGCCATCCTTTGAAGAACATTTTACTGTATGTAAGTACGAAAGCAAAATTGGTTAGTTTGCTTGGGAATATTGTTTTCAATCGTATAACCAGTAACCAGTAACCTTGGTTATTGGTTGTCTCACAGACTTATAGCGACATTTACGGGAAAATGATCAAGCTGATCGAAATTTAGTATCATATTCTTCCTGCTAGGTGTCGGTATTATATCCTTTAATTTGACGTTCCATTGAATTTGAATTGAAAGTCAGAAATCGCCATATTGTTGTTAATAAGTTAATAAACAGTCATATTTACGGTATAAACTAATAAATATTAATGAAAAAAGGTACAGGTATGATTTATAAACCACGGTAATTAAATGTATTATTTCATTTATTTCCTGTACAAAAGTGTTTGTTAGAATAAATATAATAATCATTGACACAATAATTGTCTCTTTGGTAGCAAAGACTAGAGTAATTAAATAAAATGATCAACATTATTGTAATTATTATCAAGGCACTATTTCGTACTGATTCTTCATGAACTCTTTGGATTGAAGAACATTGATTTACCAATGTTTATTCTAATTTTAAGATGTCGTTAATTTGAGCATCTAAATCTGAAATGTCTGTTATTGATTCCACATATAATGTGTTAGATGATTTTTCTTTTAAATTACGTGGAGCTGGTCGCGGTATTAAATCATTTAATTTAGAACCAGATGTTGACACTTTAATTGAACTGTCTACAAATGAACTTATACTTGAAGAAATACTCATTTGTTGAGTATCATTATCTTGATTTTGTTTATCTTGCATATATTTTGAAGAAAATATTGTTTCGACTGATCCGACAGGCTTTTGTCTTACCAAGCTTAACTGAAATAAATTTTATTTTTAAATATTTTACTCAGGATTAAATACATTATATAAATTACCTGTTCTTCAAGTTTTCTTGATATTTTAGCAATTTTATCACTTTGGGTCGTTTTCAGCACTATATTACTTGTGTTCTTGGAGCTTTCTCTGTCTGATAAGTGTCTTTGATCATCAAAAACACTATATGAATAAAAAGTTATAGATCAATTTTTATTATAATTATTTTTAAAAAATCTTGGAAGGAGATTGTTTATGTACCTTAAGATATCCCAGCTTCTCTCATTTACCTGGTCTTTTTTATTACCATAATTTAGCGAAGGTTTTGAGTCTATTTCATCTGCCAAATCGAAATTAACTTTCTTTTTTATTAAACTATTTGATGATCCGTTTGCAGATTTCAAAACACTTTTACTATGTTTTGGAGATATAGAAATGTTTTGTGACTCTAGGTGCATATTCGAATTATCGATATCTTCATTTTGAATGGAACTGACGTCTAACATATTTTTACTGTCTCTTCTTTGATTCTGTTCAGACTCAAACAGAGCTCTTCTTCTACTCAAACAATCTTGTAGTTGCAGAGTATTGTCTTCTGATTTTATAAAACTTGAAGATACTTTTACTGGCTGTTCCATGTTTTCGTAACTTGAAATCTTTGAAGATTTTATAGACAATAATTCATTTTCACTTTCATTTCTAATAGACTCATCACTTTCTAGAGAAGAATATGATTTTGGAATATCCTGTGTTTGTAAAGTAGAAACAGGAGATTCTGAAAAAATATGCCCATACTATCTTCAGTGTTCAAAAAAAATTAATTATTTCACAAAATTAATTAATTACCAGAATTTTTCTTATCCTTTAATGCCTTTATTGGTGTTGATTTAGCGTTACGTTCGAATTTAGCTAAAATCGCTTTTTTCGAATGTTTAAAATGTTCTGTGCTTTTTCCTTCCTTAGAGATTTCCTTGAGAATTTTCTCAATTGCTTTCGATTTAATTTCATGATATTTTGGTATTCTCTGAAATAGAGTTAATATGACAAATTATATGAAGAATTATTTATTTTACGATTTATTATTATTTTATAAAACGTTTATATTACTTTCGTTGCAATCTTTTGATGATGTTTCAAAATATCCATTTTTTGTTTAAATGTAGCCTTTGGTATTCCTTGCCATTCCGGATCTATTCCTACATCTCTTAACTTTTGTTCAAATGTATCTAGTAAATTTGCCCTCAATTTTGTGAGGGACACATTATGTTGCATTGTCTTTTTAGCTTTCGAATGAAGAGGACTTGATCTACGATTATTTACTGGAGATTTATTGTTAACCACAGTAATACTTTCTGTTTCAGATTGTGTTGTTGAATCAGAAGTGACTAACTCTGAATCCATTTCAGAACTTAGATCTTCTTTTGGCATTTCTGATTGTTTACTATTTTTTGTGCTAGATAAAAATCTATTACATATACTTCTGTCAAACATATCTTCCAATTTTTTCGTTCCAGAATCATTCAACTCGGATTTTATAATAAACTGATCTTTTTTGTTTTGGTTTTTGTGCTTTATGTCATTATTAATTACTTTTTCTGATTCAGAGTCTTCAGACAGCGATTCATCGCTTGAAGTAGAACCTTTTAAATCTTTACCCGCGATCTTCTTATCATCTACTTTTTCGTATTTCATTAATTTTGTATTTTTTTGTTTAACACCTGTTTTGTCTTCATATGTAATCTCTTTGTTTTCAGATGGCACTGGCTGAACAGTTTTTAGAAATTTATTTTGTGGTATTACTGGAATTACTTTTCTTTGCAACTGTGGACTTAATGTATCTTCAAAGTCTTCTACAATTATTTGCTCTGTTTCCATATCTACACGATCTGCCTGTTTGAAATCACGTTTTTCTGATTCTTTTACATTTATTCTGAATTGATTGGACATTGTAGATTGATCATATCCACCTGATAACTCTTCAGAATATCTATTTTTTTCATTGAATTGCGAAATACTTAGTTCATTCGACAAAGAATGTATTTGTTTGCTTTGTTCAGTTAACATATTCGATTGATTCGCAGTTTGACGTTCTAAATCGTTGACTTTAGACTCATACTCAGTTCTTATATTATCAGCTGTTTTCTGTGTCTGTTTTAATTCCATTGTGAGTCTCTCAACATCTTTATGATGTTGAGTTTCTAGCTGTTCAATCTTGGATTTCCAATAATTTTCCTGTGCCTGTAATTTTGTTTGCACACTTTCTATATCTGGAGTTAACTGTGAAAATATAATGCAAGAAATTAGTTGTTTGAATAAACCTTAAAAAGCAACATTCACTTACTCTTTCAAACAACTGATTTCGTAGTTTTTGAAATTCTTTTTCTTGCTGATTCATCAGTGTACGAACATTTGTTTCTGTTGTTTTCTCAGAAAGTATCTTCTCTTTCTGTCTTAAGTTCTGTTAAGAAATATTCGTTCATTAAATGATACATAATATTACAAATTATGTCTGTATTATACTTACATGTATTTCATCAAAGAACATAGTTTTCAAACTTCTTATTTCTTCTTGGTATTCCTTATACCCTTGATTTTCTTCAGGTTTATTATCATATTTAATATTTTCAACTCCACTTTCAGATAGTCTTCTATCATAGTCTATAACTTTTTTCTTCTCGGAAACCTTTTCAGATTCGTTTCTTATTACCTTCTCTGTCTCATTCAGTCTTTCTTTTAAGTTTTTGATCTCATTGTGTAATTTTTCTGTTTCACTACGATAATGATCATGTATAGGAGATGAAGTCATGCACATGTCAGACATATATGCATGTCTTTTTAAGATGTGACCACTTAAAAACATTGAAGATATGAATGCTTTTGGGCAGTGTGGGCACTAGAAAAAAGATTGAACTTTATTATACATATAAAAATTATGTCAAGATAGCAGACAAAATAATGTTATTACCTTAAAAATTTCACCACTACTATCTCCAAGCTTAGTTTCTATTAACTTACACCTATCCTTTGCCTTTTCTTTCAAGTGCTTTATCACTTCCTCTAAAGTTTCAACTTCTTTCTTTAATTTTACATTCTCTTCTATCTTTGATCTCAGTTCATCTTTCAATATTACTACACTGTGATCTAAATATTCTTTGCAATACAATAAATATTCAACAGCTAATTGTGCAAGCTGGAAGAGTTTTACAAAACTAGGATCCAAAATCTTAACGTCGTATTCACTTTCTAAGGAATAATCTATTACACTGTTTATATTATCATCAATCACATAAAAATCTCTGTCTCTTATAATGCGATCTATGTCTATGTTACCTAGAATCATATCCTTATTAAAATTCAAATAAATTAAGTATGCACTGTACTCATGTAAACAGTGTAAACATTACATACTTATACGATTCCAGTCTACTCTAATTCTGGATTTGTGCATTTTAAAATAGAATCCAGATTCCCTGGCCAACTTTGGAAAATCATGGCACCATTTGGTGCCAACGCGAAATGAAAATGCCATTTTTATTATTTACAAAATTTTTTTATACGTATTTGTGCATTGCTTAAAATCGCTCTCACAGGACTACCGATTATTTGAAAATACAACATGACAAAAGGCAGTGGATGATTCTATTATGATCAGCATCATCATCGCTGTATTTAAAATAAAACAATTCCATTTCAAGAAGCAAGCAATAAATCATGTAACCACTTATTATATTTGTACATTTCGAGGTTAAAATATTTGATGTAAACAAGATTTAACAGGTGTGACAAACTCTGAGGAGTGCCACCTACAACTTAACGTTAAAACAAACGTTGCATGTATACAACATTTATTTATTTTGCTAATAATTTTTTGTGTAAACAATTCAACACGAGAAAATTTGACAAAATAAAATATCTTAAGCATAAATATTTACTACAAAATACATTAACAATATTTTTAAAAATTGTAGTGAATACAATTAATGAATTATGTATGTATATGTATTTTTGTTATACATCGGACTACTTTATGTAAAATAAAAACCTAATTTCAACATACAATTTTCAATTAAGAACATAAAATAATTTGTTATAAAACGAATTAGACGTAGAATGAAATGTGCAGTTTTTGTTTGAGTTATGAACATTTTAACATATGTATATAAATATATTGTTATTGCTGAGCAGAATTAATTTTATAAATTTACATAATATCCTAAAGGAAAACGATGCCATTCAAACATATATCGCTGATTGGCGAGAGAAGAAACATAATTGGTCGTCAGTTACACAAAAATGTCTGATAGGTTCGTTCACATTCGTTTAGCGTTCTTGATTTTCTGTGCCTTTCGTGATCACGCTTCCCCTCGACCGGTACCTCCATCTTGTTTGTTTCATCAATAGAGGTAGTGCGAGATTTTTGGAACGATTAAATATTGTTTTCAAGTGTTTTTATACGTGTCTCGTAAACGTTAAACATTGAGCTGTGAATATGTCTCACGGCGGTAGGAATGAATGTAGAATTTACGTGGGCAATTTACCACCCGATATAAGAACCAAAGACATTCAGGACCTTTTCTATAAGTTTGGTAAAGTTATCTTTGTTGATTTAAAAAATCGTAGAGGACCGCCGTTCGCATTCGTCGAATTTGATGACCCAAGGTATGCACAACAAATTTACAATTCCATAAACAATATCGACTCTCCGTATATATTACGTATTATCGAATATTCTAATTACTTGTCTACCTTATCTTTTTGTTTTTCAGCGAGGATACTCTTTGTCTTACTCTTTATATTTTCATACTCTTCAGAAATTTAAATCGATTTTATTGATTTTTTAAATTAATTGTGATTTGTTAAGATTATGCACAGAAATGTATTGATATTTTGGATAAATATTTGTGGAAAATATACAGGATGCTTCAGATTATAAGGGCCAAATTTGTCAGGATATTCTTTGAGTAGAGATTTGAAAAAAATGTTATATAATCATAAGTAAATTGAAGTTTTATTGGGAAGTTATGATTAAAGTATGAAATATGGATCAGTAATAGATTTGTACTTACTGTGACAAAATAGCCATATTTGTATCTATCCTGCCTATGTAAACTGTAATAATACATAATTACTTATTTAGATCCCTAGAATTTAATGATAAAGTTTGACCATTGAAAGCTGGAACATTCTTCATATAATGGAACAGTAATATATCCAATATATTATTTACAGAGATGCTGAAGATGCGGTACATGCAAGAGATGGATATGATTATGATGGTTATAGATTAAGGGTTGAATTTCCAAGGGGTGGTGGACCTAGTAATAATTTCCGTGGTGGTCGTGGGGCTGGTGATAGTGGAAGAGGTGGTCGAGGAGAGATGAGCAATTCTCGAGGTCGCGGACCTCCTGCAAGAAGATCTCAGTACAGAGTACTTGTAACTGGATTACCACCATCTGGTAGTTGGCAAGATTTAAAAGATCATATGCGTGAAGCTGGTGATGTATGTTTTGCTGATGTTTACAAAGACGGTACTGGGGTTGTTGAATTCTTACGATATGAAGACATGAAATATGCTGTGAAGAAATTGGATGACTCCAGATTTAGGTCTCATGAAGTAAGTTACACATTAATTACAATAGAACAAGAATGCATACTACGAAATTATTTTTTGTTTGTAGGGTGAAGTAGCCTATATTCGAGTGAAAGAAGATCATAGCAGTGGTGATAGGGGTCGCAGTGAAGATAGAGAGAGAGGACGAAGTCACTCTCGAAGCTACAGTCCACGGCGTCGTGGTTCACCCACATATTCACCATTACGGCGTAATTACTCGCGATCAAGATCTCGCTCCAGATCTCGTTCATACGACTAGTGTGTACGTATATGTTTCACATGGTAATATAAGTAAAAAGCTTATCGATATTTGCTTTACCATGTTTCATTATTACTGATTTGAATTTCACTTAAAGACACCTTCCAATCCAAATCAATTTTGTACAAATTATGAAATTATTACTCTTCACGTTGCTTGGATTTAGTAATTGTATTGTATGTAATGTATAGTTAGAGCACGGTTCGTTTTATATATATACATATATCAAAACTATTTCTTAATGATTTCGTCATTTCTTTCTGTTTCATTGTTTTATTTAACAACTGATTATTTTATGACGACATACTTGAAAATTAATTACATGAATAAACTGGAAATAGTGACTAGACTTTTCTAACAGTGGACACCAGCATAAAGTGACAATGTCATTCCCATTACTTAAATAAAGAGGAATCGTGCTCGTATTAATTGCATATTATTGTTGATGGTACATTGATTAGAGTTATTTTTACGTTAAAAAAAGAAAATACATTCCTTTGTATTTTACAGTTTATTTTGACACCACAAGTACATTTGAAATGTGTAACAATTTTGAAGTATTACGAATGAGAACCTAAAACGCAGTGACTAATATAACCAGTCGTTTAATTGGTATTCACATAGATAAGTATCTTTTGTTGTATAGTTACCAATATTGTCTACGTTCAGCGTGAATGTTCTCACTTAACGGATTAATATGCGATCATTCTCATTGCACTGCACAGCATTATAATTGGTAAATGTACGAGAATACTTAACTGAATGTGAATACAACGTTTGATTGTCGTTTTACATTTATTTATTCACAGTTGCAGTGTTGAAAACAGCACAGTTTTAAGCATATTTAACAACTAAAATTCATTCGAGCTTTTAATACTAAAATGCTTGTCACAAAAATTTATGAAGCTAACATATTGTTTCTTTTTTATTGTCGATTGTTCAAAATTATTCTGCATATGTAAAAAAGGAAGCAATGCTATAATAAAATAAGTACATATTTTTAATATGCATATATGATCTGCAAACAAAAAATATACAGTACGTTGACAATTTATTTAATTCTATAAAAAAGCTTTCGTGAATCTACTTAAAAATAGGTACATCTCTGACGAAGCATTAATTTTACCAGATAACTCGTGTGTACAGACAAATACATCAAGGTTGTTTACACGGCTCATCGTCGTTCAAATTGTCACGAAAGTTAGTTTCCGATTTGACTATATAATGATGACAATACACATACTTGATGTGCTGAAAATATAATACTTAGAGAATGTTATACATCGATATCCATCACACGATGGTACTCATTAAGGCATAATATTTGATAAACGTAGGTGAAAAAGATTTATTTTTTGCTAAAGAATTCATAATCGTATAACCAGTTTTGTTTTCGGAAAAGAAATTCTCTCACAGTTATCGTTTGTTATCTACGTTCTTGTTCACTCGATTCGGTAACAGAATTTCGTACATTCAAGTATTTTTTAACGACGATCATCGGGCCACACTACTGGTTTGAAGAAGAAACTATGTACTATGTACTGCTTCTAAATGAGAGAATCTAACTGAACATATTATTGTTACGAATATTACAAATAACATATCTGTTACAACCGTATGGATGTATCCTGTGAGATACCCATATTGAAATAAATTTTAAGTTATACACGACTTATCTAGAGAAATGTGTTTTTACGGTCAAATGATTCTTTGTGTATCAATCTTGATACTATCCATCACACATTTCTCGATTAACGTTTTCCTTTTCGAGATAAAAATAATTTTTTTACCGAGTTTGTTTGACAAAAAAAATATGCATTCTTAAATAATTCCTTACGATACTTTTGAAATGGTGAAGGAAAACAATGATTTCGTGTATTCTTGAGACTATTATTATTGCAAATAAATACCGTGATCTCCGCTCGTTTTTAAAGTTCCAAGAATTCGCATTGAACACCCGCAAAGTATTGCTTTGCATAACATTTGCTCAGCTGTTATCGCAAAATTGCTATGCCCGGACTTCAGTGAGTCACAGGTGTTGTATTTGCAATGATAAAATTTTATATATAACATTAATGCATATTGTATAAGGGACTAATGTATTTTTTCTTCTTTTGTATATTGGATTGGATTATAACACAATGAATGAAAAACTGAAATCGACACGATCTTGCTTCTTGGATGGATATAATACACATTCGCTTGACGGTGGGATGAGATGGAATGCGTTTTGGATGGATTTTGTATGGAGCATATATTATAAAAGGATTAAGACGTAAAAAAATGGGAATGGAAATAATGAGACAGAGTAAGGATACTTTCAAGAGGAAGTTCAGGATCAGGAGAGGAATATCAGGATGAAAGAAGGGATCCATTTCATTCAAGGATTCCCAATTAGCTGGATTTTCATCAGAAAACGTTGGCAAATCCATTGCAAGGATTCTCAAACAAATCGTTCCGTAGTTTCCTTTCTCGCATTGCCGGGCAAACAAAGCAAATGTATATTTTCCAAATCGTGTTCACATATAGCAGTGTTTTTAACGTTGACGAACTAAACGAAAGAATGATTAAATCGTGACGCCGACACTCCGATATGAACAGCTTTTTGGGACAGTGATTTTCGTATTTTTTCTCTTACGTTTTCCGAACCGTCAGAAACTGGTAATGGAATATGTCATGTTTGCGTAAATTTTGTTTTCGGCGAGCGCTCTGGCCTTCGCTTTCGTAAACGGGATCACATTTACGGTTTTGTCGTTGCTGAGACAATAACTCTGATTCTCTTCCGAAGGAAGTCCGGTTAACCAGATCCATTCATTCATCTATATATCGGCGAGAACGCGAGACACGAGAAAACGGGAACTGGTTCCAACGCGAGAGGAGGACAAACGATTCCTTCAGCAAGTCTTCTTCGTTTCTCGTTGACTCGTGCAACGAGGGTTCACTATAATAGGAAGTTCTGCGGTTAGCATTCCTCTGGATCCAAGGAGAAACGGCAGAGAGAGCGTTTATGGGTGTCCCCATAAGGAAAACTGTCGCGATTTCTATAAACTAGCCTGGCTCACAGCCTTCGTTCTACTTCGGGAGTCAACCTCGTCTCCAAACCGTTCTTCTCTCGGCTATCTCGATCTTGGATTGCATTATTGATCGATCGTGTGTCCTGTCTCGAACTATCATCGTCGGGAACTATAACGCGCAAGAGGATAACGTTCGGATAATTCGTTCGAATAAAAAAAATGTAAACGGAATCCTTCATCTATTAACAAGGAGCGGCTCTCCCTAGTTGTAGAGGATCTCCCGGGACAAAAAATGTATATAAAACGAAAGACAGGATTCGGCAAAAGCGTTGGGATTAGGATGCTGACGGAATTATATTAGCGTTCATGATGGATTATTTGGATACGAATATATAGAACAATATAAATTGGCTGGATATAGTCGCCGGATCGGTGTTAAATGGATCACTTGGATCTTTTGACCGGAGAATATGGTACGATACGCTCTCAGGATTCATGCTCAGGATCTGTAAACGGATTTGGATTACGGTGTGTCGATGTCTGATCGAGCATGAGCCTCTCGCTCATGCTTCAAATAGGTTGTCACGGATTTCTCGCCTAGGTCGGATACGGGATTTGGACTTGCACTTAGCGGGATCAATACAGGATATAGTCGGATATCATTTTTCACGGAACAAAAACGGATGTGATCACTCGCTGTAAGGTATTTGATCATGTTTAATATCTGACGTCCCTGCGGTACACTTACACAAACACGTACACATATATATTTTCTGCATGCATCTCTTCTAAAGAACAGTTTATATATTTATATATATACGCCCACTACAGTCCCACTCTTTTTGATTTTGTCACCAGAATATCGTCTACAATTCAGAAACTAACTTAAATAACAACAGATATACAATGCTGTCTGTCCGAATGAATATTTAAGTGTGTTTGACCTAATCGTTAATGTTCTTTACGTTTAGCTTTAAAAAACGTTTAAGCCCCCAAAACAAAACATGCTCGAATTTTTTGGCAGATTGAGTATCTGTCCCCTTGCCTCACTCCAAACCATTCTCTTTGGTAGTATTAACCTTTCCAAGATAGTATCCAACAATTATTTTCCCCTTACCAAATAGAAGATTAATTGTTATATCTTGGTATTTACGTTCTTTTTCTTTATTCCTCGACGATAGAGATTTTACAGAGCTCCTTGGTCGTTGATATCTAATTGGGAGGAAACAATAAACGATGTGCTTTGTTGCCACTCACATGTTCTTGGATCTCCTGAACTCCTTTCCTCAACTAATGTGTATTATTCTAAAGTATTTCTTTTTTTTTATTGTACCATTGATATTTAGTTTACTTTTTTTGTGTGTTTGACAAAGGATTCTAGGGGGGAATAGTTCCATTTTCTTTCCATAGAATTTACTATAGATATTTCATTTCTTTTAACTTCGTTTTCAAAATGATTAAATTTATTTTAGCTGGAGAAAGTATATAATTTATTGTGATTTATTTATTATTAAAGAATAGTTAACAAGATAATAGTGATTCTGGAACATCGGTATCAGTAGGTGAGTAACATGATATCAAGAGAAAGAAGTATAATGCTATTAATCTTCTGTTATTAGTAAAAACGTTTGGATGATCCATTGAATCAAGAGAAGAATAAGCTTCTACTGGTCTTGGATACATAACTAATTAATAAAGTAAGAATTGCGTATGATTAGTTTTACCTTATATCCTTTAAATTTAAATTTTCATTTGGTGCTGTTTTTAAATACATTTTATAAAGGCTTCGATTATATATTGTTTCAAAATGTACATGTGAATAAAGTGTCTTTCTTCTTCTGGAACCATGAGTAATAGTGACTTTCGCTGCAGACAATCATTAGATTTATGAGACTTCAATTTAGTCCTCTTTGTATAGCTTTAATTTAATTATTATTAATCTAATTATTAAGACAAGTGTTTATACACTGGTATAATATACAATATATAATATACAGTATAAGGATTAGATTAATGAGATTGTTCTCATTAGGCTAATTCTTATATTACTACTATGAATACGATTGAATTCTTCAAACTACCAAACAAGTATTGTGCAAGCTGTTTATTTGCAAATGTACAAAGTGCTGCCTGGCATAGTTTTATGTGGTAACCGAATAACAAAAAGGAGCCTGCTCCTCGAGTCTACATCATTTCACGGATGGGTGTGATGGTCATGTCCCTGATCAGCAAGTTTTCTGGAGTCTGCAGTACGAACAGGATACAGTCTGCAACGTCCTTGGGATTTAAGGCCGTCATTGGGTTCTCTTTCAGCCACTGAGCAGGCATGTTGGACTCCATCATACCAGAAGAGATATTCTGCAATGAGAAAAGAACATTCATAATTTATCAGGATCTGGAGTCAGAAATATAGGATTACAATGAACTGGGATACTCACCATGACCTTGATGTTGGATTTGAGCAGTGCTAATTCAGCGCGGAGATATTCAGTCATCGCTGCCATCGCCGCCTTGCTGGCAATGTATGCTGGGGACCACAGCTGTTCACGGGCAATTAGCATCTTCCATGAGTAAGCATCGTTGATGTTCATGATCATACCATTATCAATTCCTGGAAGCACAATGGTTACAAGGTGGAACTCAAATTTTGTCAACTAAATTTTCCATTTTCATCATCTTGCAGGTTTACGTGTCTTTATAATTTTTTGGCTTCTGGGGATTCTAACTACTCTTGTAAGATGATCTGGCTACTGAAGACACTCACCCTTCTTTTTCATCATCTTCAGGACCTCCTTGGTCATGCATGTGAGTCCCAAAAGATTCACATCCAAGATTTTCTTCCAGTCCTCCATGTCACTGTTCTGCATCGTCAGTTTCAAGTTGATGGCGGCATTGTTGATTAGGATGTCCACAGCTCCCAAGTTCTTCTCAATCCATTCCATAAGACGCAAAATGTCGTCCTGGCTGGTCAGATCGCACGGAAGAGTGTAGAGCTTGCCAGGTTTGTTCTTCAGTTCATCAACGAGGTCCTTTGAAAAAAAGCGAGTCTTTGGCAAGAAGATACAAGGAAGAAAGCAAGATATAGAGAAAATAAAATGGTACCTTTATGATGTCAACGGAAGGAGCAATGGCCACGACCTTCATACCTTTGATGACCATGGCCTCAATCAAGGATCTGCCCAAGCCGGAGCTAGCGCCGGTGATTAGTGCAACCTTTTCAGACCACATTTTCATTTCCATGGTAGTTGTTAAAATTTGTTGCTTACTGAGCACAAAAGCGAATGAAGAGTGCAATTATTGCGGAATCGATCTGCATTTTTAGATGGTTCGCCGGCGCTTTTTATACCAAATTGAAATTGTGGCCCAAGATTACCGAGGTCATGTGCTAATCTTCAAGGCGGAGATATTTTACCAGCCTGCAATACATCCACCCATCACGATACGCCCAAAACGATATTACCTTATTTATGAGAATATAAATCATGTTCGTGTACACATTTACTGGAGAAATTGATCGCAGATAGCCGTATTTTGCTCTGCAATCTGTTGTTGTCTTTGAATCTCTGAATATTTTCTCATTTCATAAGGAAAGAGATAAATGAAATGTACTTGCAAAAAAAGAAACAATTATGTAGGTTTGCATACGATCTTGGATTTGTTTTTAAATTAATTAGATCTTGACGCAAGTGCTTGAAGCTATTTTTATAGAGAACAGACATGTTTTAATCCATTTAAACAGATGAAAAAGAACGTGCAGATACATTTTGAAGAATAATGACAATTGAAATTACTATTGGGCAATGCTTTATTCTACAATTGATTCTTTTTAAATTAAATTTTCTTGATCTTTTATTGTTTTAATGATGATTTTTAATCAGTTTTAAATGTTTATAATTCACTTTATATATAGGAATCATAAAAATACAAATAGTTTCTCTTTTATCTCTTTAAATCTTTATTTAAATTAAGTACAAATTTTAGTCATCAGTTTTACAAAAATGTATATTCCACTTTTTATCATTTTTAATTAGATAGAAAGGGTGTACAATGTTCAAACTCATTTCGGTTCCAAACAGAAATATATGAATAAATATAGTTGAATGTATGTGCGAGTATTCACAGCTCATTATGGTTAATGATAAAAATGATACATGTGCCGAAACTGCGTAAGACATTACACGTATTGCATCAGACGTTTACGTGTAAAATTTTCACATCCGACAAGATATTACAAGCTCCACGTTGATATCTTTAACACTTTAACGTTAATTAATTAGAAAAAGCAGTCGATATGGCATATAAGAAGGAACAAGAATCATTAATTCAGTTTCAGTCCTATGAACATATTTGCAAGTGAAATACACGTTGTATATTTGCATCGAGCTATTTAGGATTTGAAAAATATTAAAGGATTTGAAAATTATTAAACGATCAAGAATATTGCATAAGAATTTTCAAAGATCGCGGGAGTTTTCGTTTCGGCGTGAATCGATCGATCGTCTCTTCGATAGGACGGTCTCCATAAAATGATCGATACAATCCTGTATCGTTAGGCTCTCGAAGGAACAGCAGACTTTCGGCAGCGGTTTCGCAACATTTGTTATTTTTCTTTTTCAAGACCTGATTCAGCTTCACGATACCGCGAGTCTTGTTCAAAAGAGCATAGCCTCGTTGCACTCCTAACTTATTCAAAGCTAATTGATCTTCATTAAGTATTTGGATCACTTGATCTGCTAGTTCAACTGCTTTTTTCGAACGGCCGCATCTTATCGCCCGTTCTGCATCCTCGTTCAGGATATCAATTATTCGTTGGATCACGTCGATATTCTGCATAGGATGTTGCGATTCTCGCGCCATCGTTCGATACTTTAGGTACGACTCTAGCGCCAAATCTAAGTCCCCACGTCTTAGGAAGCAGTCGCCAAGAAGCACGTGGGCTTCTGGTGCGAATTTAGTTAATTTACACTTGTAAATAATATGTGCCGCAGACTCCAGGTTGTCCTGCAACATACACTGGATCGCCTTCTCGTATCTATAAACGATTCATCGAATTTATTACACAACTTACAGGTTCGTGTAAAAATCCATTACAACGTTCGTTACCTTTACCCTTCTTTTTACACGAATAGTTCTTACATAGTTATTTAATGCGCTTTTTCTTTTTAATACGCTCTAGTCATTTTATATGTTCCCCTGATCACCTTTTATTTACTTTTACACGATCTTTAATATATTTTTTACCGTGTAAAAAGAGATTCAGGAGTACATGATTTCCCGCCATGACCAAAATTTCAATCAACTCTCCCTAGAGATTTGTATTTTATAATTTTGATTTCTATGCGTCATCTGTGCACAAAGTACTTTAATTATTTATCGTGACATTCATTTATATGACAACATTTTATAGTCTCATTCGATTTTACGTTATTTTGAACCACTTTATATATATATATGCACAAAGTTTTAAGATTTATTTATCATGACATCGATGGTATAATATCAAGCTAATCTGAACTTAGGTAGTGAGTTCTATAATTTATTGATTTATTATCTCATCGATGATCTAATGACATTTTTCATTTTGATCCGATTTCAAACTTTGAACTTTAAGTAGGTTAATGTAGTTTGCGCACTAGCGGAGATAATCGATATCAAGATCAGTATCGCGGTCGATAATATAGCGTATCGATTCCTGACTGTAGACTATATAATACAATAGATGTCGAGTCAATGTATTTCTTGGGGTTCAAGAACCGTTTTACCCACTGAGTTTGAATTAGCGTTCATTATCGTGATAATCATAAATTAAATAAATTTAAAAACAGCGTCAATTTCTATGTATATGGCAGGAACATTATATTGTTTTATGTAATGTTGGTTAACATTTAAGAGTTACTTTGTCTCTCGAGTTTTTAGTTCTTCTCGTAAGTATTGAAATAATAATATAGTCAAGGAGGTAATGAATAATTTCGTTGAAAAATAAAGTTAACTTCTAGGACTATCTCCGAGGACTACTTTGGTATTAACTAATTTAAGAAATCTATGTTTAGAGATGTATTGTGGAGTCCTTACTGTATCATGTGCCACTGTTTGATCATCTCTATCCTCGCCTCACAAACTGAAAGCTTTCCCAACATCAACTCCTCATCCTTCGAAATAGGGTCTACCATTTTCGACAAGTTCCGACTAATGCTTTGCAACCAGGTAGCTGCCGCATCCAATCGTCCGGATAATCGTAAAATAACTGCTTTCAACATAGTGAATCCCGGGTTGTACGGGTTGCAATCTAACGCTTTGTCCATGGTGACTAAGGCCTTGTCATAGTAACCGTGCATGCACCATAGTAACGTGGAAGTCATTAGGAAGTCGCCGTTATCGTACACAACCTTTAGTACAACAAATCAACGAAAGTAAAGAAAAGCCTTGTCTTTGTTGGAAATGGCACGAACTTGCAACAACTCCTGAGCGCGCTCGTTCGTATTTCTCAACTGAAGGGCCTTCATCAACATGCGCCTGGCCATCCCCATGTCATTTAAATAGATCTTGTAATCAGCGTACATCGTTAGAAGAGTGGACAATCGGTCGCCTTCGGCACCGCGTGCGAAATCGTTCCAATAACGTAGGAACAATTCGTACTTGTCGAGCTTACGCAGAACGTTTAGAAGTTTTTCCTGTTGACGAAACGACCGTGTCATTCGACCCAGAAATTACTATTGAAACGATATCTTTGGAATAGAAATGGTAAGGTGCACCTGTGCATCCATCTTGCACACGGTCGACGACCTCAACTGAAAGACTTGCTCATAGTCGCATAAAGCATCCCAAAGCCGCGCGTTATCGTAGTACCAATTTCCTCGTCTGGTATAGCAATAGATCAATTCATCGTTGTACAACATACTTGCCTCGTCGACCGATATCGTGGCATCGAATTGTGTCACCTGTCGCCCCTTCTCGTAGCTGTGTATAGCTTTCGACCATTTCCCTTAAACGGTACAACCACCTGTAGTTCGATAGAACTGTCGCCAGGCTTCCTAACATAATCGAGGGTTTTAGTCTAGATCTAGGCCAACTGTGCGAATCTCGAGAATACCATCGCGACGATACATCTCGCCGATCAGACCGTAAAAACCGTGAAATCGCGGCTGCAGATAGAGTCCTTTCGTGATCATCTTCAACACACTCGGATGAGTATCCCCTAGAAGAACGATATTCTCGGCTTGCTTGTACAACATTCTTGCTTCTCGTACGTCTTCGCTTTTAGAGAGCGGCTTGTAATCTGTCCATAGTTCTCTCAGCTGCATATTAATTCATACTTTGAAGCTCTAATATTATTCTTATTTTAACCTGTTAATTCCGATACAATGTTTGTTACACTGTTTGAGATAGCAACGTGCTTGCAGGTCAATATATGTTTAATTTTCTTTGTACGTTTGTGCAGTGATTGGTATATGAAAATGTTAAAATATGCACATGTCATTTACACGTGCACCGGCGAATGCAACAGGAGTATTGCAAGCTCACTTTCATTACTTCCTGTTGCGGTTGCTGGTAACGTTGTCCCGGTGGCGCCAAGGCTTTCTTCTTCTCGGCCAAATCGAATATCTCCATTGCGATTCGCGAATTTTACGACCGAGATTAGGTTTATTCTGGTCACAACAGAATCAGGCGATAGGTTACATCTCTCGTCCTATCTCGAAGATACTGTTAATTACCGTATAGGTGTAACAAACTAACAGATACAACGATAACGAGCGAACTTCGCTCTGTTAATTAGCTTCATCTATTTACAGAAGAGTGAAAATTATTTTACATATTCGTCTGCGAAACTTTATTGAAACATCTCGATTACAGTGTTATTTCAGTGTCGCTGATAACTAGAATTTTACAAGGCAATCATAATAATTATTATCATAATAATTCGGATAGTAGTTACAGCATATAAAGTAATAGATCGCATAGAGAAACGTTGTAATAGTAGTATAATCGCTAGATTCACTACCAGGATTCGCCAAGAGGCCGCAACACGATGTCCTGAACCTGAAAACAGCATTGCGAATTCATCAACATTTAATCAGAATCGTATGCTAGTTTCAATTAATCAGGATTTGTTTCCAGTCGAGAACTTTGCTAAGTACTTACAACAACGTGAGGGTTAGACGATAAAATGTAAACCGCTGCTGCGGCCACATCGTCTGGATCTAATGTTGGGAACGTTGCTAAAGCTTCCTCGGAGTATGTGCTGTAGGCTATCATGAGCTCCGTCGCGACAAGTCCTGGACTGATACCCTGGGAAAGAACGATTTTCATGAATATGCCCTTGATTTTCTTAATCTCGAATCAGCATTTTCGTTCGGACTGTTCCAAATCGCAGTTTCATTGTTAACGACTGCATGGAATTTATGAAATGTTGTTCGGAAGGGAATCAAGTGATACAGGGATCAAAGGTTGAGCCGTTACCGTGACTCGTATTCGGGTTCCAGTGAGTTCGTGTCGCAGAGTCTGAGCCAGGGCAGCAATAGACCTCTTCGAGGCTGGATAAATCGAAAATCCAGGAATAAAAGGGACACGTTCTGCAGCCAGACTGTTCACGTTAATTACGACACCCTCTCCACCTTCTTCTCTCATCATTCGAACAGCTTCTCGCGTGCAAACGCACAATCCTAGCACGTTTACATCGAGAACCGCGCGCCAATCCTCCAGATTCCCATCTGCAATCGAAGTGGTTTTCTTATACATATACATTATTGAGTCTGTTTCAATGAACGGAATAGTGGAGCAGGCATGTTTCGATGTAATCTAATAAAGGGATGCGGTGGATTCACCTATTAAAGAGGATTCTTTCGTAATCCCGGCGTTATTCACCAACACGTTCACAGAGCCCAAGTTCTCCTGTACCCACGCGAAAGCAGAAACAACACTTTCCTCTTTCGAGACGTCGCATTCGACGGGGTGAAGCTTCCCGGGACAGTCTTCGAGGCTCTCTGCGAGCTCCTTCATCTTGTCGACCCTTCGGGCTAGCCCTGCTACCGTCATCCCTACAATAAATTGCAATTTTCGTCGATAGTCGTTCCAATAAATTAACCCGACCAGATTTAACAGTCTCTCGAATATTGTTAATCTTCTTCCCTACAATTTTTCCTCTTTGTTTCCTTGGAATGACTTTTGATTTTTTGTGCGACGAAGGCAGTGCAATAATTACATTTTAGGTACATTTAAGGAAATTAGAAATACCGTCGAATTGTTTTCTTCAATACTTTGACTGCCATGCGACACCCTCAGAAATTTCACCAAATTAAAATTGAACAGTTAAGTTGTATGAAATCAATTTCTTGTTCACCGATCTTACGTTTTGCGGATCCTAAGAACAATAGGAGGATCTAATAAATTAACGTAAAAATTAATTTTCTAGTTCAATAATTCTGCCACCCACGTATGGGTGACGTAGCAGTCAAAATGTTAATTCGATGCTGAAGTATTGAAAAAGAATGAGTAAAATTGTATTTAGATTTGAAAGGGATGACTGACTTGCTAGCATTAGGGGCTAGTTCCTTGCAATGTAGAGAATTTTACTTTGCTTTCGACATCTCCAGTATGTAATAGTATATTATTGCTCACCATTTCGTACGAGTTGTTTCGCAATGGCTGCTCCGATTCCGGAGCTGGCGCCGGTAACAACTGCCACTTTACCTGTCCAACGGTCCATCCTGACAATATCACGTCCAAATCGCGACTGTTCGACGAGACCGCCGTATTAAGGTCGCGCTTATAAGTCTAGAAACTGATAGGTAAAAACCAGGATCAGTGAAAAAATTCATCGGACTGGTCCGACCGGAAATCCGACACCGTCGCGGTAAACCCATACCTAGCCTTCAGTCTGATACGTCCTCGACAATTTATGCTGTTTGCGAGATCCCTGACATCCTGTCTACGATCTATTCCGATCTAGACTATGTTTTGATGTCGCTTGTTTATATAAATATCTGTTTCGATACTACGATCTTCTATATCGATCTCAGAGTGACGAACTAGACGATATGATTAGAAAACGGGATCTTTTTTAAGAAACTGCAGAACTATTTATAACTATGTTTACGCGTCTGTGAATGTCTGAAGACTGTTTTTGAATTTTTCTGTTCAACACTATTTCGTTCATTTATAAGTAGCATCGTGTAGCTATTAATTGTTTTTGAATATTGCATTTTTTAGAGGGAGTTATATAATGTAGAAATATTGTTTAAACGTTTAGAAACGTATCGATGAGGTCATTGATTAAAATGTTTCTTGTTAAAAAGTTATAATTGTATTGTAAGAAGTCTATTTAATAGATAATTAGAAAGGATATTTTTAATTATATATAAAGATAAATGTAAATGTTTACGGTGAATTCGTGATGAATGATATTGAATTAAAATGATTGAAGATAAAATTTGTCTTACGTGCTCTCGATCAAAGACGTTTAACGGTATCTACGCACTCGATGAACTTCATCGGCGAACTGCAACTGCACCGCGGTACACGATGCACCATTCCCTGTGGGACGCTAATTGAGAAGCCTTTGATGCTTACGAATTATGTTGTTTTCGTCTGCAGATGGTCTCGGAGATTTTTATTACTACTGACAATGTAATGGAATTTATATAACTATATATATAAAGGAATTCTTCACAGCGAAAACAATATTAATTACTAACTATTCTAATTAGTAATTACATAATTACAATCTCTTACATTTGCATTACGACTATTAATTTTTATTTTAATATATCCGCGCACAATTATTTGATTATTATTTTATACAACTTCATAGATATTAATGTAGTCTCGAGCAATTAAGCAAATTGCATCTGCATATACTGCACATTTATTGTAATTGATGAAATGTCGATCAAAATTAATGTAAACACGAAGTTCATTAATTAATGTACCATGTTGCTGCCAGCCTGCCTTATTTACAAACGAAGCACACACGGATGCAGTTCATTAATCAATAGAGATTAATGAGGACCTCGTTGAGATTACGAAATCAATTGTCCGGTTCGTTCAATGCAGGCTTGAGCAAGCCCGTATTTAATTTCAGTATCCTCTTTTATTGATGAAATTCTTAGCGAAAAACAATATTGTATCAATAAAAACAATATGTCTTTTATTGATCCACAATATCGAGGTATTTAGGTCATGTGCCTTTGATTAGTTTTCTGGTATAATTAATTTTATATTAATCGAATAAGAGGAATATTAAACTTTTTTAGTCCTTTATTTTGTTTATTTTTGAATAAAAAATATTTTTATTTTGTTTATTCCTGAATTTAAAAAAATATAATATGCTTTATTCGGTAAGTACGCTGCTCCAGAAAGTTATAATTGAGCAACTTCTACTGACGATAACTCCGCAAAAGATCATCGCACGATGATGATTCTTTTTTTAAATTAAAGCTTGAAACCTCTATTATAAGACAATGTTTCTGAATTTGAAGTTCGACGCACCCTCACCATGGTAACCCTTTAAATGTGAGGCCATGTATGTCATATTGAAAATTGTCAAACTTCACGAAATGCACGGACTTTGTAAAATTTTTTTCGCTGATACCGTTTGCACCCGAATGAAGTTTGATCCTTCCCCTTTAATTAAAAAAAAAGAGAGAAACTTGGCTGCGATTTTTTTTCGCAAAGTTACAGCACTTTAACGTGACCCTTGTTAAATACGGAGTGGAGGGAGATATGAACAGCAACACTCAAATCTACAAGTATTTATTTGGATATAAGGCGCCTACATTGCTGAGTTACTATACAATTGAATGTATCGAGCCTGATCCATTGGAACTCTAACATTAGTCCGAGACGAACGTTCGTCCCGACGAAACGACAATGATCTCGCTAAAACATTGTCCAAGCGCTAAACAGGAACTGCTAACAGTGGGCGGTAGGCAATGAGAGAGTCTCAGAAGTCAGAGGTATATCGGTGGAACTTTCGGAGCGAGACGGAATCGTCTATTCCCTCGGCTCAAAACACAGCTGTTGGCCTCTCATTAATTATCATTCTCTCTCACCTCGTTAGAAACAAGTCGATAACGTTTCCTACGATGAATCATCGACGATCGTTTCTCTATGTTCTACGTCCCCTTAGATATCGTTCTAACCATCTCTCGTTTCTCGATTCGAATCGCGGAGCGAATATATTACAAACGATATCTCTGTCTTCGTGGAACCAATTCGCGAACAAAAATATCTATCAAACGATATTGCAAACAGAAAACTCGTTCAATCTTTCGTTCGTTAAAGCCTTGCTCTCTTGTCCTGTTTTCGAAGTGATTCGGTTAATCGCGGAGGCGTAGATCGCACTTCCGAAGATTTAATCTGACAAATTTGTCTCTCATACTTTTTGACAGAAAATTTGTATTAAATTATTTTTCGGACTTTATGATATTTTAGTAATAAGTAATATTATTATAAGTAAGTAATATTCTTGTAGTACAATTTTTGTTGTATCGGAAGCGTTTCGAATTCTTTTAGTACAATTTTTTTTTGCAAAGGTGCTCCAAATTCTTTTAATACAATTTTTATTGCGAAGATGTGTCACAGATCCTTTTTTTTGCATCTATAAAATTACACTTCTGAAGATCTGAGAAACGTGACAAACTGTTCTTACGTGTTTCGTTGTTCAACAAATTTTATTTGTGTTTCCGAATATAAGAAACAAATGAACATTTACGAATATTTATAGTAGAAACAATAATTCTTATTGAATATTATCTGAGAATCAGTGAGAATGTAAGTGTTTGAAAATGTTGCGTGTATATTAATGACATTTTCAGGATCAACGGAAGTGGAGGAACGCGTTCGCCATTTTGGTGACCGATTTGAACGAGCGGTAGAGGCCAAGAAAAAGAATATTGCGATGATTTCTCTGACGGACGAGATATGTGATGATTTATTTTTTTCTTTCTGTTGCTGGGCGCATGGGGGACAGTTTGCAGAATTTCTTTGGATCGCTCGGGATCTACGTAAGTACATATGCGATTCGATCGTAAAGCCTCCTATTGTACACGCGCGAGGGTCGAACTTAAGCGTAATTAGAAGTCTAATTCTTTACATCTAGGAAATTCGTGATCACAGACGAAAACTATTATAGAAGAAGCCCCGAGCTCTTCGAAGGGGAACTATAATACTTGTAGAAAATGTTTCTCGGGTACGCTGCTGATCAGAAAATTCGAATTGTCGACCGTGAATTTGAATCAGTTGTTTCATTGCCATCTCATGTCATGGTCTATAATTAAATACTCCTTTTAGTTTGTGTAAATAAATTGTGAATATTTATGCAATCTCTGTAAAGATTCCAAACTAGTTTAAGTCATAGATCGCAAACTTTAGGTCAACTTTAGGTGTACAGTTTAAATAATTAATAGAAATGAAACTAATTGATCGAATTTCCGAAATTATGGTGGTTCCATGATTTCTGAGCAGCAGCGTGCACAAAGCAATAATTAGCGTCGACTATCACAAGTTTGAGTCCACTTTTACCATTACAGTCTATACAGGAGACTACGATTGCTGCTTAAACGTAAAATCTGTAATACAAAATCAAACAGTCAATTGAAATGATATAGTGGTACTTAGTAAACATTGGTCTCCAACTTTTGATAGATGAGATGACAGACATGATGTACGATAGTGTCGGGAGAACAATGATAATGTGGAGGTTCCAAAGTCTTTTGTATATTTCAATCTTCCCGCCTTGTCACCGACAAATCCGTGGAAAACAGTGCCGAACAAATTCGAGAAACTGCGGTCTGCTACTCGGCGGGAAAAACGAAAAATCAACACTCGACATTACATACGTACAATCGACATTGTCCGTAATAAAATATAGACGTACGAGTTGATCAATAGACTCAAACAATCGGGAGAAATTCTCATTGAAACTTTCGCACGAAATTTCCTTTTTCCCCTCGGATTCATTTAACAATCACTCTTTCTTGACTAGAAACTGATATTGCTGTGATCGATCTACATTTTACTTGAAAATTTGGATCGACGTTGATCTCTCAGCGCGTTTCCATCTGATCATCAATTCCCGCGACAGCATCCGCGTAAATGAAACCGACAGACAGAGAAAATGAGAGAGGGAGAGAGGAAGAAAGAGAGAGAGAGAGAGGGAGAGAGAGAAAGAGAAAGAGAGACAGAGACAGAGAAATAGAGAGACAGAAAGTGATAGAGAGAGGTATCTATTGCATCGATCCTATTCAATATACACCAGCTATTTCATGCGACCGCATACGAAATTAAATAGCATTTTCATCTCCATCAAATTAGACGATCACAGTTACAGTCTGTTTCGATGTATTTTATACAAAATTGTTCCTCCGATTATGGTAATTAACGTTATTATTGTATCTCAGAATTGCTTTACGTGCTATTCATAGAAAACACTTCTAGGCGACGAAATAGACTCGATCCCGACAGCCTCTCGTTTCTCAACGGGATTCAATCGGACCGATTCTTCTGCCATTCGTTTCTTTTTCGTTTTCCTCTGGTTTTCCGATTTTTTCCGATAGGAGTTAGGGGGAACGGGGAATTGGGAGACGGGAAGTCGGGGATCCCCTCGAAGAAAGCAAGTTCTCAGGGAAGTATACTTGTTGGTAGAACTGGATAATGATCACAACATCGTCTCTACACGTGCACACGACTGACATTATCAAAGAAGGAAACATCTCTAGAGAACGTACGCGGACGAATCCGGCTTTTCAGAAGATTTAAAACGCCTAGAACTCTCTGTACGCGGTTCGATTACTTATTTACTGTTTTTTTTTCTCTTTCTATTATTATACCACTCGAAATCCGTTTTCGTGTTGTCTCTAAATATACAATACAATGCAGTAGTCTGCAAGTATTCGTAGTAGATCGTCTTCGTCTGCTCTTTTAATTCATTATATTCTTGTTCGTCTTCGATGTTCGATCGATCGGCGCGATGGACTCCGATCTATTTTACTTCCGTTCGCTTTTTCTCATCAATTTGCACACGTAACAACTCCCGCTTTGCAAATAATTACCGCGATTGTGTCGAATCGATACCGCCAATTTTTCTGATTCCGCTTTTTTATTTTTATTCTCGTTTCGCTGGTCTGGTTCTCTGCCAATTTCACCGAATTGTACCGAATTGCTTCCGGGCGGCACGTGATTCCTCGTGGAAACCGATTTCAGACGATTGTCTGATTAAAAACGAGCCTAATCGGTGGTGACAGACATTTCGCGGTAAGCTTCGCGACCGAGACAATCGGATTTTTGTTCGTCTTTGATTGGAGAATCGTTTTCTGCCGGTTTCACGATTCCGCAGGGTGTTTTCAGATTTTAGACCAAACTGTGAGTCTATTGCAGAGATAGACACGAAGATGTTGCATTAAATATACACGAGACAATTAATTTTGATCGTAGTTTGAATATAATTCGTCTTTTAATGTTTCTTCAAGTTTTATCTTGTTATTGCAACACGTATGATGATTACAGTTTCATTTTTATTTGTTTCTAGAATGTTGTTCCGAAATCCATGTTCGTATTAAATTAGTAATTTAAACGTCCTACTAAAATTGTTAATGTATCACAATTTGGTCAGAAAATTCTGCAACACCGTACAGATCACAGGCCACCCTCTATTTCGGTCTCTATGCTCGCCACAGGTCCCGTTTTCACGAATCTCAGCCCGTTTTCATTCAATGCCTTCTCGCGTAGAGGTCTAACAGTTTCTTTCCACACATACTAGAAGAGACTTAGAGCTGACTCTCTGGGATAGCGTGAGGATGATACTGGGCATAGTTTTACGAGCGATTCTGAGTTCCACGAGATGGAAGATCTCGCTTTCACTCTGGAGCTCCGGTTGATGCCCGTTTCTATGGTTATTTATGAACGCTCAAACGTTGGTTGTCCATCGATTCTACAAATTCGAGACAAACTAAGTAACTTCATTGGACTGTTTTAGGCTGGTAGTAAAAGATGGATATTTGCGAGAGGAGTAAAAATGATTTCTGGGAGGACCAGAAAAGTATTTTTAGGAAGAGCTATAAAGTATTCGTGGGAGGTACTAAAAAATATGGACGAGTCTAAAAGATATTGGTGGAAGGATTTAACAGAATGTGAGTAAAATATTTATGGGTTGTGGAATACTTACGGGAGGAGCCAAGAGATATTTTTGGTAGGATCTGAAGAATATGGTTGGAGTCAAGAAGTATTTGTAGGATGATCTAAAATATGTGGGCGAGAATTAAAGACATTAGTTGGAAAATCTAATAGATTTGTAAAATATTTATGTGTGGATCCTTTTTTAGGAGGATATGGAGAATATGAATGGAGTCTAACAATATTTGTGAAAGAACCGAAATCTGTGGGTAGAGCCAATAAGATCTCAAGAGCACGCAAAAATGGCCTAAACGTTTGAGCGTTAACGAACGAATTTCTAAGTGTCAGTTTATAACAAACAGGCTGACTACACGACTGACTAGAAACGGGCAATTCGGAGCTCCAATTGGATCACGGGACATACAGTTTAGGAATGATACTTACACCCAGGGTAGGCAAGCGTAGGGGGCACACTTATTGTAATTATGCACAAATGGGAGCGAGTGTCTGCCTCTGTGTCAGTGTTGTTTCGTGTGTGTGTCGAAGTGCGAGGTTTTTTGTTTCTGATGATTCGGAGCGATGTTGCTACCTGAGTTCGGCGGCTGTTGGTGTTGGTGTTGGTGCTGGCGTTGCTGATGACCTTGGTGCGGAGGTCGTTGTTGAGGTTGCTGAGGATGCGGAGGCTGTTGATGTTGTTGTTGCCTCTGTTGAGGATGTTGCTGTGACGGATGGTGTTGCTGTTGTTGAGGATGTTGGCGTTGCTGTGACGGATGCTGTTGCTGTTGCTGCGGATGTTGGCGTTGCTGTGATTGAGGATGTTGCTGTTGTTGAGGATGTTGCTGGTGTTGTGGGTGTTGTTGAGGTTGCTGCTGTTGCTGTTGCTGTTGGTGTTGCTGTTGCTGGTGTTGAAGATGTTGAATTTGCTGTTGCAGTTGCTGCTGTAGTTGTTGCTGGGGTTGCGATTGCTGGTTAGGCTGTTTCCGTTGCTCCAACCCGGCGGCCAAGTAAGAGAACACACAGAGTACCGAGTAGCAGATTTGATCTGCCTGTAATCCAAATCGTGATCAGTAGGATGCGAAGTAGTTTGTTCGAAACAAATGATTGAAACTCCGGTTTAAGAAAAATTGGTATGAAACGGTATTAACGTGAGTTGATTTAAAAGAGTTAAGTATTTACGTAAATCAATTAAAAATGCAGAGAAATCTTTCCATTTTAAAGTTTGCCAATAGGAACAAGAAAAAAATGTCTTATAATTTTCAAGAATGCTACTCTGGATTTTATTTATATATATATATGTAAAAGCGTTAACGTTTGAAGGGAGACAGAGTGAAGTAGTAAACGAACAAAGAACAAAACTTACGGTGGAACGTTAAACAGAACAAAATCATAATTAAAGCTTCATGCATTGTTGATCTCGGGGTTGACCTTGAACCTCAGACGAGAGTTCAGATAGCGCAAACGCAACGGAGAAAACCCTGTGCATGCAGTGGCACAATTCGTTGGCCTGTTACACAGTATTCAACCATTATAAACGACAACTGAATTCAGAACAATTTTAGAAAAGAAATCAAATGAAAGAATTGATATCATAGACAGATAAAAGAAATCAATTCATTAGACTTTCTTAGATTGTGCTTACCATTTGAGACTTATATTTACGTTGAATTACTTGTCTAGTTTTAGGATCTGAAACGCAAGAGAATTTCGTTAACGAGCTACAAACATTTTATCCGAGAAATAAAATCCTGATTGCAATTAACGATAAGAACGCGTACACTGACACTCGGTTACAATTTTATCAACCACAATCTCCATAATTATAGAATATCCAGAAAAATATTATTCAGCGATAGCGTGTTCAATTAACGATAACACGAACACGCACACCACCGTGCAATAATTTCGTACGTTATCGGCGGTCGATGCAAATAAAAAAAGAAACATTCGAATCGCCAAAAATGTATTCTTGTTCGGTTATAGCTTACGTACTTGATAACATTTTTTAAGCAATCGAAAAAGAAAAATGTTGTTGCAATACAGTTTCATTAAATTGATTTTCTTTACTACTATTATTTAGGTCGCAAAGATAACGATCTCGAGTGCCAGTGCACATACGTGACAAGGTGAACAGATGTCGCATTACTCACTGAATTCTTCCAATACAAAGATCCCATCCTGCTGAGCAACGCACTTGCGGATATGATCGAGTCTTACAAAAAACTGCAAATAACACGATCGTTAGGCATTAGTGTGGCTCGGTAATGAAGCGGTCTCGATGATCTACTCGTACATGCACACTTGGTGATTGTTCTCTAGATTGGCCGTTTATGCCCCGGAGAAATTGTGTGAGGCACGTGTGTGTGCGAGACCTCGTTAACAACATCATCGAAAACAGGCGTGTACAGATTCGAAAAATCTAATGCTAGATATACCGATCGACGGTGGGATCAAGCTCTGAACGAGATCTCCAAGAGATCTCACTTGCTGTATCATATCGTTTAATACGCGTCACAGTGCACCTGACTCAAAAGCAAAAATCTGTCGAAAAAATCTCTCCGTTTTTAATTGCATCCTCGTACGCTATCACGGTTTTCACAGTCGATCGAGTTCAGAGAGATTTCTTCGCTATACCGAAGTTCATTGTCACCTATCGTTGCGTTCTAATCGCTCAATGAACATTGGTATCTACGTTTCTATTCGGCAGTTTTGTTAGATCTTTTTTTTTTATCGGCACGATAATTAACATTGAAAAAAGCTATACACACAGAGCTATCGTTAGTGTACTTCGGTGGGCTGCTCTTTTGGAAGCACGCTTCAGATTCCAAAGATCATGCTACGTGTTCACGTGAGAGTCTTCGGACAGCGTAAATCTTGTCGATCTTTTGTATTTCCGAAGTGTTGAGAGCGAAACTCTCGAGTGGATACGTAGCATTAGTGTTCGATGATTCACCGACTTTGATTTCCCTACTGGAAATTAATTAATGGGTTTTCTGGTGCAACGTTCGTCGTTGTATAGTTGTTAGCTCTTCAATCACAGGATTATTTTCTACACCGTTTTTTCCCTTATTTATTTTAATTAGTTCTCTCGATACGAATTCGCGAGGTTAATTGCCATTATCCGCGGCAGTGCGAATCCAAATAATTAGTCACACGCTATCGCGTTCGTCATACAAATATTGGGAAATTAAAGAACGTTGTGCAAAATCATCGTGATTTGCGTCATCTTAGGGCATTTAAACGGTTCATCGAGAAGGCACCAAAAGACCTGTTAAGCAATTTTCCGGAAGGTATAATGTTAAAAACCATGCGAAGCTGACGGCAACGTTCACGTACACAAAAATCGGAAAATTCAGAGATCTGAGATTCATCGCCTTTACTTTGAACATCTTAAAACGGTGAAGACAGTTTCGAGAATTTCAGACGAGCTTTTAAATCTTAATGTTAATGCAAGACCACTAAAAATTCTTACCGATTCTAAATAAGTTAACACTTCCACCAAACGTACTTGTGAAATTCAAACCAGATTATATTGCAATTGGTGATTTTCCAAGATCATTACTATAATTTAAAATAATTTAAAAAATTCCTATGACGTTTTTACTGTTTTGGAAAATATTTAAAAAATTGATGTTTTGTAAATATGAAAATCGAGTGAAATATCAAAATGCATAAAATTCACAGTCTATCAATTTTACTTATGTTCGCCCTTTTCGATTGAGAATTGGTAGATTTCCTTTACTAATTTTCTCTAGTTCAAATAACAATTCATATAGTTCAATTTTATCATAAATGCATAAAATCCGCAGACTATTTATTAGGTACTAAATTAAGTCTGTCAGATTAAATGATCATTGGCAAACTTAGGAATCTACCACGCGAACATTATCGGTTAGAATGATTTCGAAATTAGTTCGAGGAAGCGTCAACTAGTTCTCGATGATTTTTCAGAGTGAATCGCTCTAATTTCCGTTCCACGTGCACATGAACGAGCCGTCGACGATTCATGCGCGGCAGTTTTGAGAATGAGCACGTGAAGCTTTCAGAATGCATTGCTCGCGGCGTGGCGTCCGGCATGCAGTGCGTTATCACCGGCGCGGCGATCAAAACTCAAGTCATCCATCGATTCGCAGCAATTCGCAGCACCGATTAAAAAGCGGCAACAAGCGGTCACAAGACAGAATGCGTCTAGGCTGGCTGGTAAAATCGCGTCGCTCTACGTTTTCTCTCCACCTGTGCGAAACTCTAGGCAGAGACATTGTTGAACCACGCACTGCGTGTAACAAACTATGCAAGTATATACATACATACGTGAAGTATGTACGTATACCATAATATATGTATATACGTACAGGTGCCGGCCAGTGAAACAAAAGCGTTTACAAGTTCTGGAGAGTCAACAAACGGCTGTCAATTTTACGGTCGGAAGCGAGAGTACACATCGCAGGCGGCGGCCAGTCAACAATCGCAGCGATTAAATAAGTTAATTAGCGGCAGGCAGGCAACTCTGGAGATGGCCTAAACTCATCGAAATGTGAAATGTCATCGATTGCTCAGCGTCGGTCAAAAATTCTGCTATAGAAACATGTGCAACTCTAGAATATCGTCCCCGTATACGGGCCAGGGACCCAACGAATCGAATTCAGAATTAAATAAAGACAAAAAAACCGTATAAGATATACGCAAGTACACAAGTAAACAGACAAAAACTCTCGGCCGGAAACTCTTCGGCCCTCCGTCCGCCATCTTGGATGCGCTAGTGATCCGAATTCGGGGCTGTTATTGTAAGTAGTGATTCAGCCGAGCCTTTTATTAGTGCTAACGCGTGATCGCAAAACGCTCCGGATGTAAACACAAACTCGAAACATCGTGTGCAGCGGTGTCATGCTATAGAACAGCGTTTCTCGAAATGCCATCGGTCGTAACTCCACGATCAAATTATTCGTAGCCACGCGAAATCGGAATTTCTGATGATCGATTTTTACAAAAAGAAGACACATCGTATAGGTCAGAATAATATTTTTGGCTAGACACGTTGTATAGAAGATCGTTGATCTTAAACGTACAATGTATGTATTCGCGATTCTACTAGTTTTAAGCAAATATAGCCAGCGATGATCAGTTTTAAAGCTCAATCTATCAGATCCAACGGATCCTTTCAATTAGTACGTACTTTTAGATTTGCTCGAAACGGTTTGAAACAACTTTGGATTGAAGTGTCGACGAGCGTTTCGAAAGCGTTTCGAAAAGCACTGCTATAGAGTAGTGTAGGAAAGGGTTTAATCGGCCCTCTCTCGAGTCGGTGTCCACTTGTTCTGATAGTAGTTCCATTCATAAAGTCAGACATCACTATATAGCACGAAACCATTGCTCTACTACATAACTGGCACTGTGAAGGGCGGTCTTGTAGATGGGTTTGCAAAAGCGGGCGACTTTCTTCTATTATACATATATATCGAGATCTACTCGTTCATGCAGTGCATTCAAATTCCCTTTGGATACGTACAGTGAGTCACTGAATCGTTCGCATCCCCTCTTTAATTGCCTCGAAACGATTCGCGATAATTTACCTCCATTCTGCTTTAAAAAAACATTCGGTAGACCAGCAAGGATCTTAAAAAGTATTATTACGGTTTGAAAAAGGGCATCGTTCGGTGGCAATAATTAGGGGAACACGATCGATTCCGTGACTCATTGTACAGAAAACATTCATCTCTATCGTCGTTCTTGGCGAGAAGAGTTTTTCACGGACGTATACAAGCTTCGATGAAATTCTCTTTGCACGTAAATACCGATTGTCAATCGACAGTCTGCCTGAATGCTCGTTGCTGGTTAACGTCACCCGGTTTTGCGCGTCGAACGAATGATTAAGAGTCTTTCCGGAGATCGATTACACCTCGTCGAGTCTCTTCCGGTCTTGTTATGGTTCCTGGAGGATGGATACGAAAGGCGTTTCCAGAATCCTTTCAAACACAAATACCACTCCACGAATTTGCGCGACGAGACGCAGTTTTACCGCAGAGGAAATTCAAGTTGAATATTCGCCGTCTCTGCGCGCGCAGAAAATGGCGTCCGTTCGTCGGGTTCTTCTCCACCTCGAGACTTCAGAGCGATTTTTCTGAAGAACCGTGGACTCTACAACGAAGTCTGATTCCACACTTTCGACTAATCTTCAATGAGAGAATCGTTTTCTGTCATTCTTTCCTTCAAATTCGTCATTTAACCATGATTGAAAATGGTATTATTTCGAAGTGCATCGCTTGTATTTTCGTCGATTTCGTTAATGAAACATCCAATAAATCGAATCTCTCGTTATTGTTGAACGCCCGATACTGTTATCGAACCTGCGAATAGGTCACGATCTGCAATAAATCGCGTCGTCGCGCGTCAAATCCCCGGATAAGCGTTCCATTTGGTCTGACAATTAGTTTCGTCTCAATTAAGTTATTAACGATTCGAGAAGCGCCTTTCAGATACACCCTGCGACCGGTCAACGATAACCGATCGGGTCGCGTTGATCGTTTCTGTTTCTCGCTACCTCCAGCACCAACAATGAGACTGGTGATCGATAGATTGCGATGAGTGATATAGAACTCCGTCGAAAGAAGCCGCAGCGGGTGGAGAAAACGGGAACGGTGTGTACGGGTCGGCTTGGACAGTGTACTTTCGATGACTGTGGTAGAAAGAGATGTATAATATATATATACATATATAAATGTATATATATGTATGTATAGAGAGAGTTGCATTGAGTGCACCGAAACATTGCTCTACAAGTTGCACTAAACACTACTATAACAAATATACTCTGATCTAAGTGGACGATAGATCTTTCGAGGCCGTTCGCCGTGAAGAGAATGCAGCAGACACTGTTCCGCGTATTATATTGATCGCTGTTTCAATATACCTGAGTCAGCTTCGACGATGTGTTATATATGTCATATATAGGGAACATACAGGTGCCCGTGTATATATATATAAAATATCAACGACACTCTGGTATTGTGTTTCGTTTTCTCTTCCTTCGTTTTCTTTCCTTTTTATATATATATACGTGTCACAACTAACACCGATCGATGATAGGAAAACAGTAAGGTAGACAGAGCAGATCAGTTAATTTAAATGCACTGTTAAGAGTGTAGTATATAGTAGATATATATATGGTACGTGTACACTGGGTGGTCGATTTGAAACGCATCTCGGTCGGCTTCGGTCGGGTTTGACGTTGTGTATCGAGAAAAACAATAGTTTTTATTCGCAAAACGTGATTATGCGTGACAAGGAGAGAGAGTAATTCGAGAAAGGAGAATGAACACGGTCGAGCAGTATGCTTTTTGAACAGAGTCGCGTCTTTCTCTACGTTATCTAATCGACACGGGTGATCCATTCCAAAAGAATACCGTGAGATCCGATCTTTCCATTCTATATACATATATACGATCCGCAATGTTCGAACCCGCACGAGAAAACACGCGTTCCCGGTAATATATATGTGTATATATATATATATTTAATGCGTTCCGAACGCGCCACCCGGTACATGCGCACGCACGTGGTTTAATATTAAGTACGGCTAAAAGTAATGGTGAAAATAAAGAAGCATTTCCGGAACACGGCCAACATTGATTATATATTAATTAGTATACTGAGTTCATAATTATAACAAACAATGATTGAATTTGATTAGTACCTCGAAATCCTGTTTGCCCAGCCAGAAACGGGGCAATGCCGACGGACAGGACAAGAAAACAGAAAACAGAAAAACAGAAAATTAAGTCTCCGCCAAACTGGATTGGAGAGATATCCGGGTGAGAATGAATGAATGAATGAATAAAAGTTAGTCAGTGCATTGTAGGCCGGGGCTCTCGAGTACGATGGATGATCACACAGCTAGATTACCTATCGGTCATGGCCAATTAAAAGGTAGCAAAGATTTCCATTGTTCAAGGACCATCTCAAAAGTTCCCCAAGCTGAGAAAAGTCTATCGGACGAGATCAAGGTTTCTTTCTCGATCGTTTCTTTTCCCCACATCTTGTCTCTTTTCTTCTCTCATTCGCATAAACGAATAGACTTTCCTCGCGTGTATGACCACGACAAACAAGAAATCAACGAAGGGAACAAAAACAGAGGAGGAAGAAGAAGAAGATGTCGGTTTCAGACTTGTAGAGATAAAAGTAGAATGGCATCCAACATTCAATATACAAATTATAATAGATATAGTATATATATATATAGACAGAGAGAGAGAGAGAGACAGAGACAGAGAGAGAGAGAGAGAGAGAGAGAGAGAGAGAGAGAGAGAAANTCGATGACTGTGGTAGAAAGAGATGTATAATATATATATACATATATAAATGTATATATATGTATGTATAGAGAGAGTTGCATTGAGTGCACCGAAACATTGCTCTACAAGTTGCACTAAACACTACTATAACAAATATACTCTGATCTAAGTGGACGATAGATCTTTCGAGGCCGTTCGCCGTGAAGAGAATGCAGCAGACACTGTTCCGCGTATTATATTGATCGCTGTTTCAATATACCTGAGTCAGCTTCGACGATGTGTTATATATGTCATATATAGGGAACATACAGGTGCCCGTGTATATATATATAAAATATCAACGACACTCTGGTATTGTGTTTCGTTTTCTCTTCCTTCGTTTTCTTTCCTTTTTATATATATATACGTGTCACAACTAACACCGATCGATGATAGGAAAACAGTAAGGTAGACAGAGCAGATCAGTTAATTTAAATGCACTGTTAAGAGTGTAGTATATAGTAGATATATATATGGTACGTGTACACTGGGTGGTCGATTTGAAACGCATCTCGGTCGGCTTCGGTCGGGTTTGACGTTGTGTATCGAGAAAAACAATAGTTTTTATTCGCAAAACGTGATTATGCGTGACAAGGAGAGAGAGTAATTCGAGAAAGGAGAATGAACACGGTCGAGCAGTATGCTTTTTGAACAGAGTCGCGTCTTTCTCTACGTTATCTAATCGACACGGGTGATCCATTCCAAAAGAATACCGTGAGATCCGATCTTTCCATTCTATATACATATATACGATCCGCAATGTTCGAACCCGCACGAGAAAACACGCGTTCCCGGTAATATATATGTGTATATATATATATATTTAATGCGTTCCGAACGCGCCACCCGGTACATGCGCACGCACGTGGTTTAATATTAAGTACGGCTAAAAGTAATGGTGAAAATAAAGAAGCATTTCCGGAACACGGCCAACATTGATTATATATTAATTAGTATACTGAGTTCATAATTATAACAAACAATGATTGAATTTGATTAGTACCTCGAAATCCTGTTTGCCCAGCCAGAAACGGGGCAATGCCGACGGACAGGACAAGAAAACAGAAAACAGAAAAACAGAAAATTAAGTCTCCGCCAAACTGGATTGGAGAGATATCCGGGTGAGAATGAATGAATGAATGAATAAAAGTTAGTCAGTGCATTGTAGGCCGGGGCTCTCGAGTACGATGGATGATCACACAGCTAGATTACCTATCGGTCATGGCCAATTAAAAGGTAGCAAAGATTTCCATTGTTCAAGGACCATCTCAAAAGTTCCCCAAGCTGAGAAAAGTCTATCGGACGAGATCAAGGTTTCTTTCTCGATCGTTTCTTTTCCCCACATCTTGTCTCTTTTCTTCTCTCATTCGCATAAACGAATAGACTTTCCTCGCGTGTATGACCACGACAAACAAGAAATCAACGAAGGGAACAAAAACAGAGGAGGAAGAAGAAGAAGATGTCGGTTTCAGACTTGTAGAGATAAAAGTAGAATGGCATCCAACATTCAATATACAAATTATAATAGATATAGTATATATATATATAGACAGAGAGAGAGAGAGAGACAGAGACAGAGAGAGAGAGAGAGAGAGAGAGAGAGAGAGAGAGAGAAAGAAAGAGAGAGAGAGTGAGAGAGAGAAATATATATATATGTTATATATATATATGTGTATGTAGATAGAAGAGAATAATAATTAGGTATCACTCGTAAGTTCTGTTTTCCCTAAATAGTTCTTTATATCGCCTCTCATGTAAGAGTCGTATTTATAATATGGTCGAGTATTTATGTGGAATGATTATAATATACAGATAATAAAAGAGACTGCAGCTGCACATCGAGCTCCATGCAAGAAAAACACTGATTAACGCTTCAACAAAATGTTACCCAACGAAATGACCGATGATATATATACATATACGTATGATATTACATATGATATACATATATATATGTATATATGCGAATTGGAGAAGTACATATATACATAATCTGTTTCGTTTATGTATATATGTATGTAACCGGGTACCTCGTAGGCACGCGAGAATATAATTACCACATAGTAAATGTATCAATATTCCAAATGTCTCGAGACGAGTATGTGTGTATATATAGATATATATATGTATAAAATCCAGTGAGATAAATAGAAGTATAAAACCAGCGTGTCGGGGGCCTCTCGTTCTATTTGAATCGTGTATATTCAAGGTTAGTGTCGGTGGGTCTGCCGAGCGAATCCGAGCCTTGTGGGAGAAGCCAGACCCGAGTAGGCGGGATTAGAGACGGTCTTAAGACGGTCTGCCAATTATTTCTCTTCTAAACTCTCAACTAACCTACTCTTTATCAACAACTTTGCATCGATATCAACTGTAGAGCTCCCAAAGCATTAGTAGCTTGTTTTGATTATTAAACAGCTGTTTCACATGTCAAACAATCTCTTATTTAACGTATCGGATCGTAAATAATTGTCTGAGAATGTAATACTTCGCGAATTGTTTTTTAAAAGTTTCCAAAGTTGGTGGATTCAACGAGTTTCGTTTATTTGCAGGTTCGTTTGCAGGGTTCTACCAAAGCAATAGGCAGAACCAGTCACATCCATTGTCTCTCTCTCTCTCGGCTCAGCAAAGGCCCCGATTCGTCTCCGTGTAGCATTTACAAGTAAATGTGTATCTGCTGGTAGAAAACTGTGCGTATATCGAGGGTAATATGAGTATTCAATTGGTATGTCGTTTCACAATGGCTGCCGATCGTTCCTCCCTCGGTTCATCCGTGTGTGTGAACGTGTACTGTGGGACGGGCCTGTAAATGTTTGCGGGCACCGTCGGATAGCCTCGAGGTCCCGAGACACGGCGGGCTGGCTTAAATCGCGATCGTGATCTCGCCGATCGTCCTGTCGTCATCGTAACACCTCGCAAAAACTCAATACACAAGAAGAGTAGACTGGTAAAAAAGATACGTATACAGAGAGACAAATTAAGCAGATCGTGGTGGCTAGCGAATGGGAGATAATATTGAGTGGTCCTTGCATCAATGCAATAACGAGAAAGGAAAAGAGAACACAGAGAGAAAGATATAGTGATAGCGATATATATAGAGATATAATAGAGAGAGGGAGAGAGAGAGAGAGAAAGAAAGAGAGATAGAGAGAGAGAGAAAGAGTAGATATTCAATAGTCGGAAGTATATGAGCGGTTCAAGGGGGCTAGTTGGGCAGAGCGGCGGATGGACTCCATTAATTGTTCGCCACGGCTCGATCTGCCATATTTTTTAGAATTAAGACTCGGACAATTTTTAATATCTTTGCAGATGAAGGACAACTGTCCCAGTTTGTATTCGCACTTAATATTCAATCAATATTCACAGTTTAACCGTAATTGCAACTCGCAGATTTTTATGCAAATGCACTTTATAAATCGACTAAAAAATTACCGATTTCTAGCAAGAAATCGAGTTTAAGCCGAATGTTTAATATGTTCCTGTAACTACAGCAACAGAAAAATTTCCATATATATTATACAGTGGTGTGAATAATTATAGATTCAAAGTAACTTTTACTAGTTAAGTAACTTTAATGATGTTTAAACAAAAACTTAACAAAATAATATATTATTTCTAATATAGAAACACACAAATATAGCTTTTCCAGTTTTTGTTTAATTATCAGTAAAAATGTAAAACTATGAGTGTATAATTATTCACAACACTGTATGTGGCCTCCTTTAGTTGGGACATTCTGTATGTTTAAAAAAAACCTTAACAAAATATCATAGCTGTGTATTTCTATATTAGAAGTAATAGAAAATAAAAATATACAAATATGACATTTTGTTAAGTTTTCGTTTAGATATCAATAACATTGTGAAAGTTACTTTGAGTCTATAGTTGTGCACACCGCTGTGCATATAATCTAAGAAGAAAATCTGGCATAATTGCACTTCTGAAACGCATAGAACGCGATCGAGCTGCGGCGATCGTCCCGGGCAACACGAACCCCCTAAAAATCGTCAACCGAGCAAACGCCCGTTACAAAATCGTGTTAGATCGCTGAAATAAATGCATCGATTACGCTGTACTAATTAACCAGTCGGAGACGGTCGCATCGCCATCGGGACAAAAACAATACACATCGTATGATCGTAAATAGCGGGGTGTAAAACGCAGAGATCGATCGAAATCAGAGGTAAACGGGGATTCGGAGAGCTGAATACTCGAGTACAGGGGTCGGGGGACTGTTCGAACGTTACACGAGCAACTGGACGACGTTCGACAGAAGATAGAGTGCAGCGGGAATGTCTGCATTATCGTTTAGGGTCTGGGAGTTTTCATTCTGGTAGCATCGTTGAATTCCAAATTCCGAAACGAGGGTTGAGGAGGGAGGTGCGGACTTTTAGGTGTGAGTCATACCTTGCTATTCGCGAAGAGGAGACCCACGCCCTCCATGCAAACCTGAAGGAGCCCGCCCTCGCCGGTGCGCATATCTTGAACCGGAAACTCACCGCCCAGCTCGACACCGGTATTCGCGCCTCGACCCCGGGCTGCTGCCTTCTCCATTGCATCTTTTATGCAGTAGTAGAGCTCTTTACACTGCAAATTCCCCATTGGTCGAGCCATCATCCATTAAATTATCCTCACACAAAAGTACTTGAAATTATTCGTTGTTATAGTTCGATCGTGGATTTCGATGCTTCACCCTTCACCAAATTTGGATATCGCAGCCTCAATGCATATTTTTGAAATAGGAACTTATAATTAGACTGCGGATCTTTATACATTTATGACAGAAATGATTTGATGACGTACAATACCGTGTCATTGTTAAAAGAATTTCACCGTTTGTTCAGATTATTTATAACTCGTTAGAATTATTCAAGACAGAAATAAATGTCCATGCAGTTCTCGTTTCTTGTATAATATGTAAGTGTATCGTAAATGTACATTTTGCATAAAGATCCGCACAGTCTACTTGTAATAATTTGTATAATAAACTGTCTTAATGCCTTAAAATGAACGTCTACCACAATAACGATAAGATTTGATGCGCATGTTGGAAGTACCTTTTTAGTGTAATACTTATGTAACTGCGTCTGCCCGCCGTTTCGCCGCCAAAGGCACAATACTTTGTTCTTCGGACTGTACGTCATATTGACGAGACGTTCGTACCACCATCGCTCGACGATTACACCGTTTACGGACCTCAATACGAGACCGTCGTGACGGACCTCGAGGAAACGAAGATCCCCTTCTGCATCGACGCCAGCGTGCACTGTGAACGACTGTCGGTGCATCTGCCGCGATGTCAGGGGCTTCAGATCTATGTCGTTTCCGTACTAAAAAAAAGAAGAAAAACAGTCAACCAATCGTAGAAATAGTAAGAATTAATAGTCTTTGAATATTCAATATCATTGAATCAATAAAATCGATGGACCGATAAGGTGAGACAGAAAAGATGGATTAGATTGTTCACCAACTTAAAACTATCGAGGATATCGCCAGCCATTTTTTAACTTGACTATTTACTTACCAAATTATGTATCTGATCGAGAAGCTGATTGAGCTCCTGGCTGTAGATCAGACCGATATGGCTTTTCCCGAGCAATCTTCTAACTTTGCGTTTCACCTCGTTCTTGTCGACGTTCAACATCACCAGTATTGCAGTCAGATTGTGCAGCAGAGTGCACAGCAGTCTATCCTCCTCGTGTTCCAGTCGCTTCTTCTCGCTTTCGCTCAAACTTTTATACCTGAAGCGTCGAATCGAAGTCGAGAAGCTTAGATTCAATTACTCCGAGCAAAATCAATCCTTCGTCAATTACCTTTCCATCATTTCACCCGGACCTTGGTCCATGCCGATCATGTCCCTCTCTTGAGAGACTGCATCCAGGAATGCGTCCTCCCAAAACTGCATCTGGTCCCAAAGTGTTGATCTCTCTTTTCCCAGCAGTCCTAGAAAACGCCCATTGCATTGTTACTTCGGTATTGGGTAATTGATCGCTTGTGACATCTAATATTAACGTAATCGAAAATGATTAAACAGTAAATTAGATGGAAATTTTATTTGATTTTGATCCTGCGACGAAATCTACGTTCCAATCAAAACTTGGGCACATATTAGTTGAAATAAAAATAGAAAGTTACTATGCGAAATAATTATCAATTTACTTGAGATAAAGCGATTTCAAATAATATATCATTTCCGTCATCTCTTTATTTCAAACTGGCTAAAAGAGATAACGCTGAAAATAGTAATAAATGCAAAGATTTTATTTTATGAAATCTTCATAATTTGTTTTGAGACAAACCAGCCACAAACATTTTTAACTTCATTATTTGCTCAAATAATTATGAAATATAATAATACATGTTAATTGAAATGATATCTCAAATAATTTCATGTCAACTGTGCCCAGGTCTGATTCCAGTTGGGTTGCACTTTAATTCTGACACGTTTCCGAGCACTTTTTATGAATTATTCGTAACATACCTTCAAACAAGTACGTTCTAGCAGCCTCTGGACTCGGAGCATTTGTAGTCGGCACCAAACTGCCACCATGATACCGGAAACCGGTGCTCAACGACGACTTGCTCGACCAAACGCTCGCTGTTCGTTGCTTCGCCTGTCGCGAGAACTGAAACGATAGTGTCCCATAAAAAAGGAAAACAATCTCCCAGCATCCTATTCTCGCAGCATATATTCGTAATCTCGATCTGTATCCTTCTAGCGATTCAAACTAAACTTCTAGCAAGCCTGATCGATATTTTCTACGATCTTGTATGGTCAAAAGCGATTTTCTTGCAAGCTTAATTGATATTTCATCACGATGCGTATTGTCGTTTACTTTCAAGGGAACCTCGGGTTGGCTGGAAACTAAAAGACTAATCCAGTGACTGGAAATTAATGTGCCTTGACCTGTTCTGCAGCGAACGCCATGCTAATCAATGCATACTATCAATCTTATAGATTCTATCAATATTTAAATTGGTTTAATTCAATTGATGTACATATACGGATAAACACCCATTTTTACAACACAGAAAAAACTATCGTGAAACTTACAAAATATTTTCCTCAAATTTTGTTTAATTCTTTGTTTTTATTCAATTTTCGTTAGTTTAATCGTTTAGAATAAAATGATTATTCAAGCTAAAATTTGCATATTGATATTAATGACTTCATTAAAATTTTGTATAGAAGCAACTTGCTGGCAACGTTCGCTTCAGCTCGGGAGGAGACATCAAGCGTGATCGTTATTGTTATACAAGCTTTGATCTCGCGTGCGCAAACGTTAGTTCGGTGATCGGTGATACAGAACATGCTGTATTGATATCTAGCCAGGTGTTCGCTCTCTATCCTTCGCCATATCTCTTATCATTCTTCTTAAAAGTGTCATACTTCGTGAACCTCGAAGAGAAACGCTGCTCCTCGAAATCGACGCTATGCTAAGGTGATCTAATAATAGCTACTGGAACTAACGAGGGAACCTCGAGAAAATTTTGTTTCTTCTTGCACAATTTGCTAACTCGCAGAGGATCCCAATAACCGCGATGTTGTGATTCCTAACACGATATGCAGGATTTAAATCCTTTCTAATGATACGTATGTAAAAGGGTTGATCTTAGCAGTGTTTCCCAGATTAATTCTACCAAAATTAGTCATTTACTGCTGTCATAAGTAGACTGCGGATTTTATGTATTTCCGACGAAAATGAGTAGATCAGATGCAAAACAGTGGATTTTGAAAATACTGGTGCATCATTTTTAACTCGCTAAAATTATTGTTATAAATAGACTGTGAATCTTCACGCGAAATAAACACTTTACCAGACGATTGTAAGAAATTAAATGAATATAAGTTGTTTTATTTAATAATTTTAATAATATCGAAATGGTGTAACAATATTATTAAATTCTATCAGCTACTCGTTTCTGCCATAAACGCATAAAATCCACAGTCTAGTTATAAATTAATTAATGCAGGTAGTATTTATTAAACAAAAAAATCTACAGCCTAGACAGAAGTGGCTTGTCATAAATCAGAGCTGCGTTGCATGCAGATTGAAAGAGGAAAGCCCTGAGTTTGAGGCGGAGGAAAAATTTCGAAAAATTAAGGTTCCTCTAGAAGTCTGCAAGCTACCAAGAGAGAAAACAAAGTCCTCTGGCAGCGAGGTTCCCTCGCCAGGTCCCGTGGGGTTGATCAGGGTCGACTCTAGGTTGTTCTAACAGCTAGGCGTTACTCTAGTTAAAGGAAAAAAGTAGTAAGAACGGAGTCAGTTGATCATTTACATTGCCTTGCTCGACTTCGCTATCAGAGACAGTGCTTCGGAAAGAAGCTTGGTGCGCTTGCCGAAAAGCAGGATTAGTGATAATGCTACCTCCGTCTGTGGACAAAGCTTCGCTGCTTCCTGTTCCACCTCCCCGCCCACTCTAAAAACACATGACGCTGCTATGTAGCACACATTTCCTCGATTTCTTTGTTTGTTTTTTGGCTTCTTTCGCGCGTTTGATTTCTTTTTTTTTGTAATCTCAGTCTCGTGGCCCGTGAATATTTTTAAATAAATTGTTCTGTCGCCTCTCTACGCTCCCGTTCTCGTTTCGCAGAAGCCTGACACGCTGATCGAACCAACACCGTGATTAACAAAGTGAGACACGTGTGTGACAACACCGTTGTGCGAGCCACTTAGGAAATTGCGGCACGGGTTTACCTCGGAGTCGAAGGACGTCAGCTTGCTCAGGAACTTTCCCTTTTTCGTGAACATGTCCAGGAACATGTCCGTCGTCGATTGGCTACCTTCTGATGCGGGGGAGGTGTGACCGTGTGGCATCTCCAGGTGTACTTGCGGCGTGTCTGCAATTGGAAATTAGCAGCAAATCGATGAAACAGAGGTACGCATTTTTGAAAAGAAATTGTTGCGCTAGTTCTAAGGAACCGGAGAATCGAACCAGTTTAATTAAAATGATTGTTAAAGCTATTTTATTATTTCATCTTCAGAAAAATTATTCATTTTGACTTCGTTTCAATTGAGACACTACTAACCCGATTTCTTTCGTTCGTCGCTGCCTTCCGGCTGACTAGGTGATTGCGGCGACTTCAGGTTCTCCTTGCTACCAAATGGACTAGATGCCTAAAAGAAATCATTCGGAACATCGTTTACTATCTGTCTTGATCAAATTCCTTAGCTGAATAAATTCTTCCACGTTCTCTACACGCGTATCTAACTTGAGTTATAAATATTTTGGAAGTAAAGGATAGAACGATCGTTGAAAAGACATACTTGGGACATTAGGGTGCTGTCGAAGCCACCCTCGGAGAGATCCTTGCTCCAGTAATGAGTGTGTGCAATTTCCATCAACTGGAAGACCGAAGCCATCCCACCGAGTCCGAAATTATTGTAAGTGTGTCCAAGACCGTGAGCCACTGCTTGAAGGCACTTTAGCATTCCCTTATAAACCGGCTTCGAGACACACTATCCGAAACAACGATTTATTATTTCTTGTCCTAATAATTCTCTGAAATCTTCGACGTTTGATGGACGTACCACGTCGTCGATGTGATCGTCAGGACTGATCTTCCTAGTCAGACCTTTGTTAAGCTTGCTGACTACCAGATCCCGGTAGCTCTCATCCTCCATCAGCTTCTTCAGCCTGTTCAGCTTCAGCCAACCGACGCCTTCGCCCGTTAACACCTGGTTCACCACCTGAAATCAATTGTACACGATACACGATATAGAGACCAAAGTACACACCTTCGATCGAGTTAGCAATGAAATGGAACTCACATCGGTGAGGAAAGCTTGATTGTCGCTATTTGTACTAGACCGCTCCGCGTTTTGCATTCTCTGAATGTCCTCCGCGGTTGGCTTGCTGGTCGTATGCTTGATCAATGGTGAACGCTCGACTAATCCCGTTTTACCTGCACAGAAACAAACGACCTCGTTTTCTCATCCGATATTGTCTCAAGCTTTCCGGAGAGTCTCGTTTCTTTTTAGCTTTTCTTGGTGAAACCATTCACAGCAATCTGATGGAAATGTGTACCAAAAGAATTGAACCAGGAATCTTACTTTTAGGGAATGGTCCTAGCAGAGGCGTCTTCTTATCGCCTTTCTGCGACTGCGCCTGGATAGCAGCGTTTCGATTAGAACTACTTTTACCACCTGAAAATCGAATTGGTGAGCTTCATCTTTTAAACGCGATCGCGGGAGTACAGTCATTAGTACTTCGACCAAATTACCGAATAGATCGCTAAACATGCTGCTCGTTTGCGCAGCGATGCCATTTAAATCGCTACTAATATTGCTGAAAAAATCACGTCCGATGTCCCTTCGTCCGCCGCGGTTGTCCGCTACCAGTTGCGTGTTGCTCGAATCTCTTCGTTGCATCATGCCGGGCGATGGTGGCGGCGATTGCTGCGACTCACCCAGGCCCTGTTCGAACAATGTAGCAATTTTTGAAGAGAATTGCACGCCGTACCTTGAAGCTCTTCGAGTTTAGTTTCATACCTTGAGTAAACCCTTCTTCGCGGCTACTTCCTTGGCGCTCTTCGTCAGATCTCCGAAAGTGCTCTTGCCAACGTACGTTAAATCGTCCAAGGTGTTCTTGCTGACACCTGCTGCGGTCTTGCTCGCCTCTATAGCCGTCTTCGACGCCTCCTGCACGGACTTCGTCGCCTCTCCCACGGCCTTCTTGGTCTGCTGCGTTAACTGTTTGAAAATCGTCGCGTGAACTCGATGATATTTCGAGAAAAGATCCAAGAATCTATGTATCAAGCTGTCTACCACGCTCTGAATGTGTATCAATTCTTCAAGTGACGCGTACCTGTTCTAATGGAGCAAATAGGCTCTCCTCACCAGCCTCGGTGATCTTCTCCTTCGCCTGATGCTTCAGCTATAAGATAAATAAACCCTTTTCATCGAGACACCTACTAAGAGAATCGGAGAACACAAATATCTAGCGGTGCATAACACATTTGCCTTGACCAAAGTAGGCGATCAACCACCTCTCGTTCGCTTACAAAGCGTTGAGACCCCAGAACTGCGAGCAGTGTGAGAATTACGATATACGCATCTACAAGAGAATAGACCAGAACAAAATAGAATTCGAGGATTAAATTTTGTCGTCGTTGGCGCACGCTGCACGACAAACAGAATCGTAATCGGCACAGTTGCAAAAATGTCAATGAGAGGAGACCGATGATTACTCTAAGCGTGGAATCAAATTAGAAGATCGGAATGTCTGGTTCAGTACTCCCATGTCGAGTGTACGAGTTAAGGAATCGCAGAACAAATTCAAACAGAATGGCCCGAACTGCGAGCAGCTCGTTTCTACAAACTTAATTCGTTTCTACAAGAGGGTAGACAGTCAACGGAACACAGGGCTAAACTCTAGACGATCATTGAACAATATCACCAGGCCTAATGGCGATCTACCTTATCCATCTGAGCGAGAAGACCGTCCTGACTACTTTGCCTAGTCGTCTCTCGGACCAGGTCCTTCGCCTGGCTCGCGATCTGCTCGAACAGCGATCCTTGGGATCCCTGTCGCAGAACACCGTTACCGGTCACGTTGGAACTGTTCGCTCTCTGCACGCTCTCCGTGGACTGCTTCCGACTACCGGATCCCACGGAAAGCTGTCGTGAAACTGTCGACGACTCGGAGTTGTCGTTGCTACTGCTGCTGATCTGCCGGGGCAAAAGCGGCCCCGTGCTCGTGCTAATGCTCCCGGCCCGCCCTAAAACGTTCCCGACGCTCGGGTGTCGCTGGAGAACCGCCCCCGAAGGCTCAATCTTCGAATACAGAAGAGTCAAGTTTCAGGGCAGTCGGAACGTGTTCACGGAGCAGGCGCGTCCAATCTCTCGTTTAAAGCAACGTGCCAAGCCCTCTGGAGACGTGGTGGATGACCTTCGAGCGCTCAAGCCACGCCCAAATAGCTACAGCCACGCCCAAGAGGCTCAGGCCTATCGGATCAAGAGGTGCAGAGGTTCGGACTACACCTTCGAAGATCAAATTTGAAGAAGATCAAATACCAAGAAGACCACGCCTACAGAGAATTTAGGCTCTGCTAGAAGGTTCAGGTCATGCCTCCAGAAAACTTAAGTCACGCTAGAAGGTTTAAACTACGCCTTTAGGGTCCTCGATCTTGCAGGAAGGCGCAAGCCACGCCTTTGGAGGGCCTTGGTCACGCCCGGAAAGCTCAGATCACGCCTGTAAGAGACGTGGAAGCTTCGGTCACGCCTCCCAAAGGTCTCAAAGTAGAATATCGTATAAAAAGTGTTGTTAGAAGCGAAAACACTGTTTGGACGTGCCTGTTCTCCGTATTTAGAGATCATACAGCGTAGACAGTGGGAAGCTGCAGCAATTCTTTTGCTATATGTTCGCTTGAGAATTTAAAATTTGTCTGTAATTGAAATCTCAGTTCTCACACTACAATTTTATTTCTCTAGTTCTATTAATGAAATATTATTTGATTTCTGAAGGTGTAAAAATTTTTATAGGGCTATCTTTGAATTTGTAAAACTTTATTTAATTAATTTATGAATCTTCTCCCGTGTCTACGCCATATTTGTTCTTCTCCTTTGGCTCCAGTGATCATCTAGTTCCGACGCAGGTGGTAATTTACAGTTGAAATTTAAGGAAGGTCGTCCACACACCTTACCTACGTAACTTCTAGAAAATATTTACAACTTTTGGACGCTACTTCAATGTTACAAGGGGTCGCACGCAAGTGCCTAAATTACTTTACTCGTACCAACTTGTACAGAACTCCAGTGTTCGTGTGTTCAGAAGTAACAAAAAGAAAAAACAATAGTTTCGTGTTTCATATACAGTCAATACTACTGACCATTAATAGTTCGCATCTTCCTGTTTCGAGTAACTGTGATGACATATCATATGCTGTATTAATTCATTAACCATGCAAGCACAAATGTTTAATCTTCGAACGGGCGCGTCGACTTACGAACGACCAACGTTTTTTTATTATCATCGTTAATGCATTAATACCCTCGGCGAAACGAAACGCTTCTCTATGCACGTGAATTAATAATCAGTATCGTATGATACAGCACCAACCGTGGAACAATCACAGTACACAGATATATGAAACATAGTGGAAAGTATAACTAGCAATTGTATCGTTCGAAAGAAAAGAAAGAAACGGTGTCATGCAGATACTCCTTCAGAGAGCTCCGAGTAACAACAGTGCACGTAAACAATTAAGTAAATGTGCCGTTGCGTGGAGTCTCTGCAAGTTTTATTCGCAGCGTGAGAACGTGTCGCGTGGTTTCACGATGCGATAGACACAGATCATGCATTTTAGAGGATTTCCAAAAAGAGATAATCGACCGGGAACCAACCCAAAGAACCAAGGCAAACAAACCAACGAACGGATCGAGCCGGACAGAACCGAAAATGATCGATGAGAACCAACAGAATCTCTGGTTCCGGGCACGGTTATTAACGCCAGCGTTCAGGAATGCGGTAACAATCAATGTACGCGGATGAAAATGAGAAAGGAATCCGTGAACGATGGCAAAACTTGCTGAAGGGGTCTCATGCTGGGCTCGGGTTCTGCAGGACTGGGCACAACGTCGTTCTTCAATGAGCAGATCGCCGTTTCGAAATTCAATTCAATAATGAAGTTCAAGATCAAGGTGAATTTAAATCAAAGAAATCTTTGCTTTTGTACTCTTTTGGAGATTTAGACCTGTCTTGTCACGGTACAATCGCGGGCATGGGCGCGGTTTGCATTTTAACTTTCTTTATCGACTTCGCAAAGTATTAAGCTGTCCCGAAAGTGCAATCTCGAGCAAAATTAGCTTGTACAGAGAATCCTTTCGCTAGAATTTTGCTGCGGTTTCATCGCTTATAGATCGTCAGCTTGATCTCGCTTACAGCCGATCGTGCTTGCTAGTTATCCTCGATTCATGTTGGTCGGAAATTAAAGGTCGGGACAAGCTGACGACGGATAATTAATATTACAGAATTATGCCGAATCCTGCGAGGCATGCAGGTCTCAAGTGATACAAAGTAGAGAAGGCAATACCGACAGTGGTACACCGAGAAAGTGAGACTGGCGTGGCGGATGAACTCACAGGAACGACAAATCTACGCGAGGTCCTGTGGGAAGAAGCGGCAGGACGTTCACCGTCGCTGGCCGTCGGAGCCGATAATGAGGCCATGCCTACCCCGAACTGTCCTACCGAACTTTGTGCGCTCAGGATTGTGCGTGGTGTTATTGTTGATGCAGAGTCTGACTCAAAGCTACCACCCTCCTCTTTATCCTATGATCAAGTAGTCTGGTCAATGATCTGGCTGCGAGAGAGAGACGCATGGAGCGTGTGCCTGTCTGTCTGTCTGTCTGTTTGTTTGTCTGGCTTCTGTCTGTTCTTTGTTCGTTTTGTGTCGGTGTCATAGTTGATCTAGATCCTCTCGGAAACGTGTGGGTCTCATGACATGTTGTGGTACTTTCAGACGAGATAACGGTATTTCATGGCATCTACGGGGTGGACCGGATGTTATGTAGCGATTGATCGAGCACTAGGCGGGAGATGAATTCACGATGGTCGTGGCAATTTTTTGGTCGGGAGTATTTCGTCTGAAAGGGGCCTTGCTCTGTCAAGGATGCTGCACAGGTGGACTGGAAAAGATGGCGACTCGAAACTGTAATTACCGTTTAATAACTTCCCATTTCACGGTGCATTCTGCTACGAGGGGATTGATTGTTCATTTAAAATTTTAGCTTAGCAATTAGAATCCTGTGAAGCACGATTAGCTTCTTCCATTCTTTTTTAGTCGACCTGTGCCCGACAATGAGTATCCCGATTAATATCGAGCGTCTACTGGTCTCCGGAAACGTGTAGAAAATATTGAGAAAAAATATTGATTTAGTAAAGACACGATGAAAAAGTACCCAACGCGGGTCGCCTCCAAACTTACATTGGTCGACTGCGAACCTTCTTGAGTTTTCGGGTTCAACTCGAACTCGGAGTCTCTGTTGAAGCTAGGACTGCTGAGGTCGCTATGGCTGGATGAGGTGCTCGGTGGACTCTCTGGCCTGACTGTAGACTCCTCCTCCACACCAGGATACTGCAAGGTGCTCGGAGGATTGTAAACGTTCTTCGGGTCCACTGACAAGGACATAGGCTGAGGCTGCGCCGCCTGCGAGCAGTTGTAACCTGCAAATGATCGACAAAGTTAAACCTAATTCGGAAGAGACGGGTAGATAGAAGAGACAGGTCTTCTTCGAACGAAATCAAACGCTTGATAGAATGATCAACTAGAATCCATAACTGGACATCATTTTCTTTGCCACAACATAAATAACTCAGACTGCTTATCTCTATGACATCAAACAAATCTTGAAATATTATTTCACGCGAAGAAAAGTATTACATCAACGATTTCCAGTACTTTTTCAAATATCTTTAGCCGTCGATAAAGGTTACTCACTCGGTGACAAGTCCGAGGACACCAGCTCCGAGACAAAATCGCTCAAAGACGAATACGATGAGCTAGTGCTCTCAGCAGCCTCGGAGTCCGAGCCACTCTCATCGGTCGGCTGGCTCTCGTGCTCCCTCATCGCCTTCAAAGCGTTCGCCAGAGAGCTGCCCGAGTCCCAAACAGGGAAACTGATAGGTTCTAACCCAGCAGCGTACCATTTAGATTTATCGCCTATCTGGACCGGGTCGAACACTCCTGTCTGAACCCTGAGGAACGCGACATTGTTCGGGGTCAAAGACCATTCCGCCAAAAACTCGACTGCTTGAGTCCTCGCAAACTTATTCAAGAAGTGGCTGGCCCTCGGCCTTGATCTCAGGAAAGAGTTGATTTGGAAGGCGACCACGGGTCGCGGATAGAGTCTGAGGGTCCTGGTGTGCTCGGTGAAGTTCGCCAGCAGGTTCTGCGAGTTGAAGAAGCGCACCATGGCCACCCTCGTCGCCACGTCTACCGAGTCCACGTCGTTCCCGTAGATGAACGGGTTGAAGGATGTCGGCGTGTTGCCCTGAGACATTGGTTTCTGGGGCGACGATGATCCTGCTGACTGGGAGATAGAGGATCGACGGCCACCGGAAGTCATTGTACCCGGCGAACCCAGTGGACTGCCTTGTGGGTAGACGTGGTGATCGATGCTTGGCCTGTGCTTCGACGAAACGCTGAGGAATGAGAGCGACGATTAATTGATCTATATATCTAAGGGAACTGAAACATGCGCATTGGGATTTCGAGGCTCACCTCAGGGTAGAGAGGTGAGAAGTCATGCTCTCCCTCCTGCTGGGAGCCTGGAGCGATGTCCTCGGCGTAGGTTCCAGCGACATCGATTGCGGAGTCATGCTAGCCATCGCCTGAAATAGGATTCTCCATTATTACAACGATCCAACACTCGCTAGATCTTCTCAGAGATCATCGTCGGGTTATATTGAAGCAAACTACGTCTACTCGGGCTAAAGTCTAAGCGCCTACGTTTCCTAGGCTATCCTCGGATCCCCAGCGAGTCTTCTTCATCGAGTAATGATGATCGAGTGCAATAATGACCTCCGGGATTTGCTAGCTCTATTGCGTGTCGCTACTGCACTCGACTCTACAATGTCGGTCTCATAAGGAAAATCAATAAGAAAAGGAAAATAATAGTATGACAACTACTACTGCCGTATAGGCAGACTCTTCCATGCCGCTAACTACAACACAAGGATCTCAGCTGTACGCTACATGCAGAAGATAATTGAAATATTTACACCAGAGCCGGCTTGGTCCATCAGTTGCATCGCCTGCGGAACCGAACGAAGGAGCAACGAATTAATTAAACGCTTCGATTCGCAGTTGTACGGTTTGCGAATTGATTGGCGGGGCTCTCTCATGCAGACCTGGGCACACTTTGCTCGCGGTAATTATAGTTCGCCGATGTAATGCTTCTTTGGCAATTGAAAGATTTGATTCCGATCTTCTAGTCATGAGAAGAAACACGTTCTTTCTCTTGAAGTGCATCGTGTCATTATTTTCTTTATATTTCTGATTGTTCGAATTACATTGAAATAATTAAAGCATTTTGAAGAATGCAAGATTATTCGAAGGCCACGCTGCATATTTATCTTTCATTCTTCGTTTTATCTTGTACCACCTTGATAATTGTAAAGTAACGAACTTCAACGCAGACGTTTTCGTTGAATTAGATCTTGAAGATGATCTCGAAGAGATATCTTGTTCGGTAGTGAATGCAACGGACGCCCAGGTCTGTAATGTTCACGATGATCGATCGGTGTACTTTTATTTACCTGCTTCAAGTGGTTCTTTAGGATGCTGCCTTCCGGTTCGGGCAACGGTGGCAATTGATCGCCCAGACCAGTCGGAGCGGTAATCTTATTGCTGTCTAGGTCCACCAGCCAAATGTCATCGGGCATTTTAAAGTTCGTTTTGTACAATAGAAAAGTAGCGGGTATTCCGATAACAAATGGTGTAGGTGCAAGCAACAACTGTTCCGCGCAGCTCATGCACGTGGGTAACAACGGTATCGCGGGGAACATATACTCCAGAGGATAAATCATTGTAACGAACGCCATTACGGACATCGATAGGGCATTGTAGTCGCGGGATTGCAGCACGATCTGAAATCAAACACCACAGTTCATGTTTATGTAATATACACTTGCATAATGTTTCACTCTCGTTCCATCAATCAGCGAAAAAAAAGTGACAAGCGAAGACCAGCTCATTAGAACAGCTCTCGTGTATCTTCTACAATTGATTTTTTACATTGGTTTAATTAGCTATCTCAACTAGTTTTAACTATTCAACTAATTTATCAATATTTTGACTTGAATATTGATCACTTATTTAAGTCACTTTTTTCCAAAACAAATCGGTTTGACAGATAATTAAACCTTTTTTTTATCTGCGTAAGCTCGAGATAACAGTCGAACCAAAATGGCTGAAGACTCGGAAGAAGTAACTCCGCGCTTAAAACAAATAATTCCAAATTTTTATCTCATTAACAAAATTAATATCCATTTCAATGTATATATCGTCCTATCAGCATAGAAACAATCCATTAAAAAAGAAATTTGTATCTAAAGAGATTTAAAGAGATTTAAAAGGCTGGCCACGGTTCGCCTCATAACGTTACCGCGAGTAAATTGACCCGCTAACGGTTGCGTAATGTTAGGTCAAGAAGCTCACCTTGTGCTCGAGAAGGATCAACGTGAGGACCTTCAGACAAATGTCAACGCCGAGAAGCTCCAGGGGTAGATGCAGAGGGAAATCAACGAGAGAGAATCTAGTGTGGTCTGGGAGGGCAAAACAGAGTGGCGGCTGTATACTTTGCGACACGATCTCGACCTCGACCCGTGTCTTGGTCGGCACGGGCACAGGGCTGCTCAGCAATCGTAGGATCCAGGTCTCGATCTCGCGGACGTCGTGGAGAACGATCGAGGGCGTGCCCTCGAGCATTTGTCCCGTCAGCACACTCCACACTGACTCTCTGTTGCAAATTTACGACGTTGTCAATTAACAATGCAGAATTATCGAAAACAAGCCGTCAGAAGTGCTTTGGAAGACGCCGGGAGCTGAACGAAGCACTATACAATGGTTTTAACTGTGCACACATTAGAAGCACCCAATATGTACAAATAAAAACAATTTTCTAGACGAAATATGTTCCACGAGGATTAATGCAGCGTTTGTTTCTAATTTCTAGTCAACTTAGAAGATGAAGGTTTTAAGTGTACACACACTTTTGAAAAATGCAGTATGTTTCAGCGAAGACAATATTTCAAATGAAATTCGTTCCACAAAAATGAACATGAACTGTTTTCAATTTTATTATATTAACCCCGGGAGGACGGACCTCGCAGAGGACGGTGCCGTGCCATTTTTGACCCAAGACAAAATCTCGCATGAACAAATTTTTGCCGGCGCGTAAGAACTGGTTCTCGAGTGACCCACGTACATCCTGTGAGGATTAAAGTAAATGAATGCTAAATTAACGAAGTCTTATAGTCGTCGCAGTAGCTAAGCGCGCATACTTTAAAAATACCCAGTTTGATAAAAACACGCGCTGCATTGTAGTGCAAAATCCCGGAAGGATTAATATAGCCCGTCTTGAATTAAAGCGAATAATTAATAAACGTGCGCCTCGGCTGTTGGCAAAAACGGAGGGAATGCTTCGCGGAGGTTTTGTCCTGAAAAACTTTCCGGAGACGTATAATATAATTGTGAGAGTAATTAATTTACCTGTTCGTCTGCCTCGAAGCCCCGACTTTTTGCGGCGAGGAGCTCTCGTTGCAGGCGTCGATGATCTTCTTCAGAACAAAAAGGCATTCCCGGAACATCGAAAAGAAAGGGTGATGAGAGATGATGCAGAGTGACGTCAGAGAGTGGTTCCGTATCCTCTGAAAGGACATCGTATCGATTCAGGCCGTTTCTTTGGCTAGATATAGTTCGAAACGAATGCAACCCCACTTTGTATGTCGCGTTGACATACTTTAATCCACTTTAGAAATTCTGGTCAATGGTTTTATTGACAAGGTGGACTGCATATTTCGTTTCTTAAACATTTTCCAGAGTTTAACCCTTCGCCGCCTCCATTTAAAAGACCAGGATAAGGTGACGCTGTTTTTGTAAATGGACATTTTAAATTTACGGAGCCCGAGTGGAATTTTTATGTTCAACCAGAGAAGAAAGGAAATCCTGAAGTATAAACTTAAAAACGTTAAAATTATTCTTTATCCGATTCATAATAAATTCTTGCGTGAAATAATCTACTCGCGATAGTGTTCAATGTTTCGATCGCAGAACGCAATACAGATTCCAATATATCAATTTGAGTAAAACGGCAAAGGGCTAAGGGAGTAACACGAAAATGAGATGAAAGGCGGGAACTTCAGTAACAAACTTCAACGTGCCGAGGCGAGAATCTTTAAGCTTTCGTTTCAAAGCCCCTTTTGTGTCTCGGTGAGATCCACTTTGGAAATTCTTGCTACCGCGTTTATTAAATAAAAGTCGACAATAGATTCGAGCCGAGATAAAATGTAGAATCTCAGATCATTCTTTGACAGGAATGCAAAGGGAGTACTTTGCGAGAAACTTTAAACTTTATGGTTCGAAATGAATGCTGTCCCTTCTGTGTTCCATGTTGACACAGTTGGGTACACCTCGGAAATTCTTAGCATTCATTCGATACAATGAATAATAAATGTACTTTATGCTAACATCGTTGGTGGCTCGCAGAGTGAAAGAAAAATCGCACAAACTGCAAGAAAAACGGCGAACCTTCATGGAGGATGATGCAGAGGGAGATTAATAAGACAAGGTAATTTATAATCGAGGGATTGTCACCTGTCGTCTGCGGGATGCACACGGCGACGGGGAATGACTACCACCACTCTCGCTGTCTCCACTCGGCGCAGTGATGCCTAATCTCGGAGCACTCGGTATATGGGATGTGTCGGAATCCCTTCTGCTGCTTGGACATTCTTTTTCTGAGTCGCTAGGACCTACCGCACTGCTCCTATAGTCGCTATAAACAATAGCTAGAGATAACAGTCTCATAATCATGGTCTACCGGAAACCTATTGCATCACGGCTCTAGCAGTTCACTCTAATGAAAGTACTCAATGGAAAAAAACATGCTGTTATGTTATCTTTAACCCCTCTCCCCCTGTTAACCGGGTATGAGGAAATATCTCCAGGAAGACATCTTCGATACGCATGACCACAGTTTTCCTTATGGAAATTTTTTAAAATAATATGTAAAGTGCATTACATTTTCCGTTGTTTTTACCCATTGAAACCTAGCGTGACCTCGAATTTGCAGTTTAGTCTCAAACACTATCCTAATGTTTTTTATATGTGGTACACTAAGGGTGCCTTCCCTTGAACAGCCATAATTTACTAGCACAGGACGTTCTTCTTTGACGTTAAAATCATCTAGATTAATTGAAAGACATTTTGCCGATTACATACAATCTATTTCGAGAACAAAATCGAGCTTTTGGAGTTCCGTTGCTTCGTGTATGCCTCATTACTTCGAGAAATATCTCATCGCGAAATAATTATTTCAATCTGTTTAATTAATTCTTCGTACATTGGAAATATTTGATTTATATATTTTCTGAATATGTCATAAAATATTTCGTCGATATAAATAACGAACGAGTGGAAAAGCGTAAAAGTGTAACTACTTTAAGCATGACAATATAACATCTGGCTGCGAAAAAAGTCCTCATTGTGAAACGAGTCGAACAAAAGTTAATTTCCCCGGTTAACAGGCTAACAGAAATCGATGGCGCTACTAATTGCGAGGTCACTAGTAATGAATGATGTGTTATATTTCACCTAGAAAAGGCCGAGTCCGTGCTCTTTTCCATGCTCTTCCTCCAGCTCTCCCTCCTAAACGTAGTATTGTATTTGTCCCTTCTGACGGACACTCCACCCCCGCCTGCACTTCCTGCCCTTTCTATCGGCCGATAGAAATTCACGCAGATCCCGTACCGCGTTTTTCCTAGAATTTGTCATTTTATATTCGCGATTTTCATCTCGATAAATCGTCGATCGAAAGATAGTACGTGAAAGGTGGTCGCACTGTACCGGAATCTTTGTCCGTCAGGGTAAAGGTGAAGGTAGTGGCCTCTCGTAAGGCTGTGCGTTTCGGGCCCACGCTGGTGCAACCCTCCGGTTGACAGAAGTAGACCATGTCCAGAGGCAGTGGAAAATCTTTGTGATCTTCCACTGGATATCTCCGCAACAATTCTGGAGCCTTTAATTTATAACCGATCTCTAAACAACTGTCCAATCAGCCCTTTTGTCATTTGCCTATTGCAAAGATTTCATCAATTTATATACACGTGTGCCACTCTTGACACTGTCACAGTCGCGATTTATTTTAGTTCTTTTCTCGCAATCTCAAAACATTTCATTTATTCCTGCGTGTACAGTAAAAGAACGAAGTATTAATCGCGAACAAATTTAATCGATAGAATAATTGATGAGGAATAATGAATAATTGTCATTCGAATAAAACGTTCGACCAAATATATAACGTATTCATTTCGGATAATTATCTTAGGTAAATATTTATTCGAAACAAGTCGAATATAATATCCAACTCTGCTGTAAAGTAACGAAAATCTGTACGCAGAGGGTGTTTGCGTGGTGTTGGCGACTGCGGTGCAGCATTTAAATGAAAATGCAATTAACTGAATTGCGTTTCAGAGCATAATTCTGGTGAAAGATGGTACCTGCACAGGCTGGCGAGAGACTGACGGCAATCTGGCCCCCACAATGGCGAGATAATCGACCAAGCGGGGGCACAGATACTTCTTCTGCGTATCCATGGCTGTAATTTACAGCTCTGTCACCGTTTTGTACAGCGTGTAGGAGTCATCCGCGCCGACGACGGCCTTCTGTCAGGATCGCCTCCTGATCGAATCATGGCTGTAGCATTCTCCGTTTGGTCTTCCACATCTGGAATCACACCGGGAATCGATAACGCGAGGCACGAACTCGTCGGTTCGCTATAATTAGAACCGTTCAATTAATTCTTTATTATCCTGCGTCACGTGGCCCAGGACCGTGACGATAGGCCGCGCTGATTATTTATCGGCTCGTTTTCGGTGGGAGGGTGGGAACCGGGGGAGATTGCGAACACCCACCAATATTGTGTTTGCGTGTTTTTCTAATGTGATTCTGATCGCGTGGGCGAGCGAAACGTTTCGAACATCGATTCGCTCGTGAAGGGTTGCGAATACATATTTGCTGTCTGGAGGGTGCGAATGTCATCAATTCGTACCGATTTTCGAATTAATTATAAACTCTCGATTGGAGAGGTTCGGGTGACTACCGGCTGTAAGCCCAAAGTTTTGATTGGTTCAAGTATTTAGTTATTATTATTCTGTAGATTGCAAAGTGAAAATTGTTTGCTTTGAATATTTGAAAAAGAAATGCATTTTGCTCTGAATTATGTCAGTAAAGTAGAAATAATTTTGTGGAGCTCGTTACTGCAGACCCACTTGTCTGATCATAAACGTCTGAATCTACTCGCTGCGTGATTTTATCTACCGGCAGTTTTATTATAATTGTTCTCTTAAAATCGAAGATTAATAGTTGACAATTTCTTAGAAAATTATTAAAAAAAGCTACACTAATTTAATCCATAATTCGTCAAGTTATTTAGATTCGCATAACGTAATAAATTCTTTTGAAATTATTATTTACAGAAAAGTCTTCCGGTAAATAAAGTGTTACAAATCTTTCTGTCGCTTCGAATCGTGAAAAAAAAGGATTTCGTTTAAATCAGAGAAATTTCAAACAAAATTTATCTTTAACCTTTTATTTTAAAGCGGCTTTTCTAAAAAGCTCCTGTGCACGGAGCTTGAAAAAAAAATCGATGCAGGTTCTTTCAGAAGTATGATGTACCAGGTCAAAGGATGATTTGCAATGAAAGGTCGCTCGACGAAGTCGGATCAGCTTAAATTCTGCGCGATTCTCAAACCTTTTTCCGATCCCAGATATAACTCGATATAGGTCACGAGCCTCGAGAAATCAATGAGATCTTCGGTGCTTCGAATCGTTTTACACGCCATTACGCTGACCGATTAACATTCCTGTGAACTAATCAAACTTTCCTAAACTCGCAAATTGTTTTCTGGATAGAAGTAACAGTGACACAATCACGAACTCAATATTGGAATAAGCATTTCCATGAACTCTCTAGCAGTGATTTAACTTACTAATTTATTTCTTAATCACGCGAGTTTAAACAAAATTCCACGCGATCGAAGATGCTATACTTGATTCAACATTCTATTATAAATATCCCTGGTCTATAAAATCAGCTGTTGAATAAACCAACTATAAATTGTACGATGGATCGATAAATGCTGGATACTGCACTCAGTAAAATTAGTTAACAATGTCAAATATTAATCTTTCTACTTCCTCTGGTATATATTCTCGTCTGAATCTTAGCAAATATATTTTATTCGTGGATTCGACTCAAAATCCATAAAACATTAATGCTACAATAACATCCCGAAGGATACAAAGTGCAATTTAAAAGATCAGCTTCATTCTTACACCTCTCCGAACATAAACTTTCCAGAAATATTCATTTTTTCCTGGCGCATGGTAAAGGTATTTTAATTCGATGGAATTCGATGGAATCAAATTCGGTGGAATCGACAGAAAACTTACAGAATATCAATTCTACATCTCCTCAAAATGTACCAATAGCAATTTAAAAAATCCTTCTAGATCTTTCTTACCTTGTTCTTTCGAAACATTGCCAAATATACGTAGAAAACCCTAGAACCATACTATCCACTGAATTAATGAAAAAAATTCCTTCAGGAAGTGAACAAAAAGAAAAAATTCTAGCCTAAGATTTCCTTAATTCCGAGAATAGACCAGGAAACAGAAACGCATCCATAATCTTAATATCGAATCGATTCGCCTCGTCGGAAAGGGGGTTCCCGAAACGAAAATTCGTAATCGATGAGGCCGCGAGAGGTACGCGCGCTCCGGAAAGGCCCGTGGTGCGTTTGCGCGGAGCACACGCGCGGCTCTCTCTCTCTCTCTCTCTCTCTCCCTCTCTTTCTCTTTCTCTCTCTGTTCGTCGAAAAACCTTTTCCCTCGATTTTCCCCTAACCGAATAAAATCCCGACCCTCGCCGTTCGATCCCGTTTTTCCTTGTTCGCGGAAAAGAAACGGTCACCACGGTCTTCCCGAGCGAGACGACACGAGGAAAGACGACGCACACGCTCGCGGGTATAGCACACGGGCCGTTTCCGGTTCGCCGACGCGATAAAACGCAAAACGCGATACCGAAGGACGCTGATTTCAAGTTTAACGCCGCTGTGTGACGCTGTTGCCCTAAATCGCTACCGGAGACCTTAGCCGGGACAGCCTTGACACAATAACGTTGACGGAAGGCCGAAAAAAACGGGTGGCTTTGGACGTTTCTCCTGGTTGCTCGCGGATCTGATGCGTTCGCGCCATTAGAAAATTTTATAACATTGTGCTCGAGAGAACACTCTTACATAATGCTTAAAAGCATTGCCGCCATTCAAGAATCGATTGAGAAGCTAAAAAAACGGTGAACTGTGAATGCTATGCATCTGTAATGCTCAAATATAAGTAGAACGGCCACAATGATTTTCTTTTCAGCAAGAATTCCAAGCAAATGTTTCGGTAGATTGTACTTGAGTCTAATCAGCTAATGATTGAAGAATCAGGAAATTGTATAGCATGGTTTCCGATGCACTTTTAATGCTCGGTTATAAGAAAAGAAATAAAAGAGATTTTACATATTACGTTACCGATGTTTATTCAGTTTTTGTTGAAATTCTGGTCTCTATCGATTATTCTTTTGCTTGTGCGCCTCTGTCATCTTTTTGCGCTCCATTTACTGCAGTTATGCTAACCAAATTCTATCTGGGTTACGTTTTATAGGCGGACCTCGCCCTTGCACGCGACGCCTATTCCACTACTTAATTTGCATCATTATTTTCGAATCAATCTACGCTCTCCCTTTATCGCTTTCTCTATCTCTCTGTGTGCGTTCTTTTGTTATTATTCCTCCAGTTTTCTCCACACCGAGTCACGAACATTCTGTTCCGACGCNAATAACATCCCGAAGGATACAAAGTGCAATTTAAAAGATCAGCTTCATTCTTACACCTCTCCGAACATAAACTTTCCAGAAATATTCATTTTTTCCTGGCGCATGGTAAAGGTATTTTAATTCGATGGAATTCGATGGAATCAAATTCGGTGGAATCGACAGAAAACTTACAGAATATCAATTCTACATCTCCTCAAAATGTACCAATAGCAATTTAAAAAATCCTTCTAGATCTTTCTTACCTTGTTCTTTCGAAACATTGCCAAATATACGTAGAAAACCCTAGAACCATACTATCCACTGAATTAATGAAAAAAATTCCTTCAGGAAGTGAACAAAAAGAAAAAATTCTAGCCTAAGATTTCCTTAATTCCGAGAATAGACCAGGAAACAGAAACGCATCCATAATCTTAATATCGAATCGATTCGCCTCGTCGGAAAGGGGGTTCCCGAAACGAAAATTCGTAATCGATGAGGCCGCGAGAGGTACGCGCGCTCCGGAAAGGCCCGTGGTGCGTTTGCGCGGAGCACACGCGCGGCTCTCTCTCTCTCTCTCTCTCTCTCCCTCTCTTTCTCTTTCTCTCTCTGTTCGTCGAAAAACCTTTTCCCTCGATTTTCCCCTAACCGAATAAAATCCCGACCCTCGCCGTTCGATCCCGTTTTTCCTTGTTCGCGGAAAAGAAACGGTCACCACGGTCTTCCCGAGCGAGACGACACGAGGAAAGACGACGCACACGCTCGCGGGTATAGCACACGGGCCGTTTCCGGTTCGCCGACGCGATAAAACGCAAAACGCGATACCGAAGGACGCTGATTTCAAGTTTAACGCCGCTGTGTGACGCTGTTGCCCTAAATCGCTACCGGAGACCTTAGCCGGGACAGCCTTGACACAATAACGTTGACGGAAGGCCGAAAAAAACGGGTGGCTTTGGACGTTTCTCCTGGTTGCTCGCGGATCTGATGCGTTCGCGCCATTAGAAAATTTTATAACATTGTGCTCGAGAGAACACTCTTACATAATGCTTAAAAGCATTGCCGCCATTCAAGAATCGATTGAGAAGCTAAAAAAACGGTGAACTGTGAATGCTATGCATCTGTAATGCTCAAATATAAGTAGAACGGCCACAATGATTTTCTTTTCAGCAAGAATTCCAAGCAAATGTTTCGGTAGATTGTACTTGAGTCTAATCAGCTAATGATTGAAGAATCAGGAAATTGTATAGCATGGTTTCCGATGCACTTTTAATGCTCGGTTATAAGAAAAGAAATAAAAGAGATTTTACATATTACGTTACCGATGTTTATTCAGTTTTTGTTGAAATTCTGGTCTCTATCGATTATTCTTTTGCTTGTGCGCCTCTGTCATCTTTTTGCGCTCCATTTACTGCAGTTATGCTAACCAAATTCTATCTGGGTTACGTTTTATAGGCGGACCTCGCCCTTGCACGCGACGCCTATTCCACTACTTAATTTGCATCATTATTTTCGAATCAATCTACGCTCTCCCTTTATCGCTTTCTCTATCTCTCTGTGTGCGTTCTTTTGTTATTATTCCTCCAGTTTTCTCCACACCGAGTCACGAACATTCTGTTCCGACGCGGTGGGTAAGAGCGACATTGTTATTATGGTTATCGTTATAATCTCGCTGAATGAAAATGCCATAAGGCGAGACTTCAAGGTTTGCGTTTCGTTGCTTATCTTAACTCGACGGAGCTATTAATAATGAAAAGGAGTATTAATAACTTTGGCTGGGTACAGAGAATGGATGCTTTAAGATGCTTTTTTTCCCCGAAAAAAAGGGTACGAAAGAATTTTTCAATGAATGGTCGTTTTGTTTCGCTAAGGGCGTCTTTTTGTAATGTTCATCCGGTACAATGAATGACGAGGCCAGCCTAACACTCGCCGCCTTCCGACAATTCGTCTACCAGCGAAGGAGATTTCATTGATCGCCGATAATTGTGTTACTCTACTCAACAGTTAGCCGATTCCCCTCCTCCGGACCTTCAACCCATTGAAAAAAGCCCCGTAGGTCTGAAAATGCCGAGGCTATTATGGTATCGCGAAAGCCGTTCGAACGTTACTGTAAAAATAAAATCATTGCCTATTTCCTTTTTCGAGAAACACAGCTTGAAAAAACTCGATACTGTATTTTCGCATTTTATGGACACGAAGACCGACTTCGAATCGATATGATTAAATCCTAATTTTCAGTAGATTACATTTTTAAATTCGAACATAGTGATCTTAATATTTCCTTTAATGTTTAATATTGAGAAAATATTTTATCGAATTTCCGGAAATGAAATTCAAGTCAAAATCAGCTGACCGGCAACGATAATAAAATGAATCCCAATATCTAGTAGACAAAGTTAATATGAGAAAGGAATGCAACTCTGATAAATTGCATAGGAAACACTGCATCGGTCACACGAAAATCCTGAATGGAAACCAGGAGCATGCATGGGTCACTACGACCAAGCAGTTCCAATGTCAATCGCAATTTTCCACTCCAAAGGAGTGGCCAGGCCTGCAACCGCCAGTGCCCTAAATCCCACTAACCAAATCCTCACCACATCCTAAAACCTCCGAACAGTGTTCCTCATCAAAGAACCCATATTTCGCTATTCCCTCAAAGAATTGCAAAACCGAGCGCAAGCTCTGCTCACGACCCAATGCGCTCCAATTCATTCCTTCAAACGTTCTCAAAACACCCACAACTCCAACCCACATCGATGGATCTCCTTACGGTAACTTAGAACATTATCCTCAACGATCCTTCAACAAAAATGTCACGTACTCGAATAAATACAAAAGTTGAACGCTGGTTCTGCCCACAGTATTAACTTCGAACTCGTTCGAGCCACCTACTGTTTCGAACTTTGCAAAAGAAAGGTCTTAAACCACTTCAGAATAGTTTTCAACGATGTTACAGAAAAATGCGACATAGAATGTAGAAGGTTGAATGTTGGTTCTGGTATTAATGTTTCTATCCAGTCGTTCAGACACAATTATAAATTCGATTTGTCTTAAAGGATCTCGTTGGAGTTTGATCTTAAAAGAAAAACTGCAATACACTGAAAGCAAGCTCTTCTCCTCCAAACGGTTCCAAACAATCTACAACCGAATCATCTTTAAGAAAACTTCTCAAACATCATCCAAGAACATCAGCTTCGACGATGTTAATAAAAAAGTGACTGAACCGAGCTGAAGAACCGATTGTCAGCTATCAGTCAAACGTCGACAAACCAGCTACAACCGAAATGTCATCCCAAAATCAAGTTAATCGCAGAAACCTTTCATTACCGAATATGCTATGAACCAAAGTGCGTTCAAGCCGTGTCTCAAACGTTTTTATACGATCATCGACCGATTCGGCTGACGAAATTTCTGTCGGTTTCAGGGATGCGGATGCACTTGGGAGCCGAGCGATTTCACACGGTGCACGGAAACGAGCTAGGAAAACGCGTACGTAGGCAATCGAAGCTCTACAACGTCATCGGTGTCATCGAGCGGTGTCAGTTCTATTCGCGACGAAGGAAAACCGGGGACTGGGGTGTCAACCCTCTTAGGGTGCCGAATAGTTTTCGTTCGATAACCAGATGATGGGACTTACGTGCGGTTAGAGGTGGTTGGAGGCCGTGTCGGTGGAGAATCGCCACTTCGCCGTCATGGAAAAGCCACGAGCCCGGTCCGTATCGGCCAACTGGCGATACCATACTGGCGATCGTTCGCTGAACAGCTACTAGGCAGGCGTGTGCGACCAGGGGCGGCACTTGCGTTGTAAAAGGGACATCGGTTGCCCTCGACTGATAGCCAGCCCGGATCTAGGCCCGTTGGTTACTTCGAACAGGTCAGTTGCTGACAGTTTTACATTTATTTCTCCCTTTTTTACGACGTCATTCGTTTCCCATTAAAATCGATACAATAAGAAATTGAAAATTTTAGTTACGTCGGGGTGTACGGCACTGGACACTTGTACCAATTTGTAGCGAAAATGGAAATGGTGAAAGGGGAGGGAAATTTAGAGCGGATGCAAAAAATATTCGAACACTTAACTTTTTGATTTTAGAATTTTTACGATTTCGTTAGAAAGATTCGTATGGTAATAAATTTAGGCTCATTTTAAAGCCTGAAGTCTCCACTTTCGAATTCCGTTGGTTATTTTCATCTGAAATTTTTTTGCAGGATGTAGCAAGTGGAAAACTGAGGACACGTTTGCCCGAAGAATATGGTACACGTTGGAACGTCTTTAAAAATGTTGGAAAATTTTTGTTTCGTATCAATCTGCCATGGATTTCAAGCTTGAACCTTCTTCTTTACAACGAGTTCTTAAAACATGATCTACGATCATTTTTTGCCGTTTTATCATACTTTGAATGAAAGGTGCATTTTCAGATATACCATGATATAAGACGCGCCATCAGCACACGCGTTGTTTATCTTTGCTCTACGTATAAAGCAGGTAAAAAAGATCGTACATCAGATTTTAAGGGATCGTTGTAAAGGGAAGGCTTCAATCTTCAAGACCGTGAGATCTCAACCGCGAAAAAAAATTTTACAAGATCTATAGAATTTTTTGAAGTTTGTAGAATTTTCTCAATTGGATTGAATTTTTAGGAATTGTAAAAGTGTCATCGGTGTTCGAACAAATTTTTCTGGTCAATCAGAATTTTCTGTCCGTACACTCCCTGAAGAGGAAACCCACTCTTCCATTTGTATGAAAATGAAAAATTTTTTTTTTATTCTTGACGCTGCTGTTTCCAACGTCGTCTCTTGCTAAAAGGGTTGTTAGATCTTAAATGTTTAGGAGGCACTAAAAAGTTCATCTTTCAAGCGCGTCCCTACACATCCTGAAAATGTGGAGTTAACTATTCAGTTCAAGGATAACGCCTGTGGAGCTCGAATTCCCTTGAACTGCAGCGCACCACGGAAAATTAAAGGACTTGCAAATTACTTTACCTTAAGCGGCGATTAATTTGCTTGAAGCATGACACTGGGAACAGTTTAAGGGACGTTTAGAATCAGTGTTCAATTATACAAACGGAGGTGAATCGAATTAAAAAAAAAAACCTTCGACCTTCGGCCTTCTCGGCATTGAAGCAATCGTTAATTATTCCCACTGCCAGCAACATCTGATCATCTTTAACGACGTTCAGCCTTTTATACTGAACATTTCTCTTAACGAGCAGCTCTGAATAAAATTGAGCAATTAAACGTTTTTAATGAAATCAATGTCATATAAAATGGAAAAATTCCGCGGACCTTTTAGAAATGAAATCCCGCGCTAACTTGTCCTTGTTAGCGTCAATTTCGTACAAACATAATTCAGAATCAGCTACCTCCAACAATTTTTTTCTTCCGAAAATACTCCGCAATAAGAATTTTCTTTTACTAAAAAAAAAAGAAAAAAAACTGTTCAATTAAAGGTGTACCGTGAACGAGCTCGGTCCAGAAAACACAAGGGGACTGAATCGAACGTGATTTCTATCCCCCCGACGATTCATTGTATCCCGTAGCAAGGCTGTCGCAAGAATAGCACACAGGTTTTCGTGATTATCGGTTACATTGCGGGAGGCGGATGAAATTACGCTTTTTTTAGCCACCAGCTGGCAAGTTAATTGCGCTACTGTTCCTCGGGACTTTAACTACGCATGCACAGAAACCCTGGAAATACGCACACACGCGCGCACACACCTGCAATAGTTGCCGGGGCTTATCAGTCATGTATATAATGCAGTTATTCGTTGCGTAGACGTGTGCGGTGCACGCGCGCGTCGATTCGCAGAGAGGCCTTTGTCATCACGCGCGTGTGGACGCGTGTCTACCGATAATAGTTCGGGAATCAAATTGTTGATCGTACTTAATATCAGGCGGCAATTATTCGGTCTTATCACGCTGACGAACCGAAGCAACAGATTGCTGTTTTCGTTCCGCGAAATTAGAAAAATTCCCGTAAGTAGATTCCCATGCAAATTGTGTCTCCGTATCTGGAATTGCGAAATGTATTCATTGGCTTTTGATCTCCTTTGGGTGCGTACCAAAATAAAGCCTATTGGAAACAGCAATCGAAATACGTTTATTTGAAAATGATAGTATATCAATGATTCTTATTATTTTATAAATACCACCGTGAAGAATACATTGAATTAAGTGGAATAATAATAATTATTATTATTAAAAACAAGTGTAAATGAATAAAAATCTGCAGTCTAGTTATTGCATCACCTGAATCATTCATTGGAATCGTTAACAGAAGAGATGCATTTTTGTTGAATATTTACACCTTGCAATTGAACCATGAATCCACTAAAATGCAATTTCCAGTTCACTGCAAAATATAATAACTTGCAATCAAATAGATTGTGCAATTTACTCTCGCTGCGGTACTATTCCCAGTGAACAGCGATCGAAATGACGAAGGGGCAATAAAAATTATGGCAGACCCACCGGGATCGAACAAAGAAATGAAACCAGCTAATAACAATCATCGAAATAAATATTGAAGGACCATCGATGAGAAGGTCTTCTCGTGGTTCGTTCGAGGAGACTGGACTACTTACAGCAATTTTCAAAAATGTTCGAAAGCTATCAACGATCGCGAGCCATGCAAAGAGAGACCACTCCGGACAATGGTGGGCGAGGTGCTACTCTCCTATTGTTATGATAACCCTTGTCGATCGCCGGATCCACCCTCTCTTTACACACCCGCACCCAAAGTTTTTTTTTTGTTGCCTACTTTAATCGCAGACTTGTGCCGGAAGAACAAAGACCGCTGCGGAATCTCTACTTTTGCAGTCCTACTTTTCGAAAAAGAGACTCAAATTTATACGAGTTCTCCAGGTCAAGATTTCCTTGCAGACGTGTCTTATCCGCTAATTTGCCACTTTTTAATTTCAAGCTTAATTTTTTAGATGATCAGAAGTGTTGGGACAATTTAACTAAGGAGAGCAGTGACAATCGAATTATGAGATTCGAGATAGGAAACTGAGAAGAACGGTGTTTCTGTTTTGTAAAATACCAAGTGCGTTTGTCTCCAGCACCATAAAAAAAAGAAAATAGAACGTAGAGAAAGAGAATGTTGGAGGATGATAGGCAGCCTAAGCCCGATGCTATCGTGGCAGCACCCGCATGGTATAATTGATAGCGCAAAGTTCGGTGCGCAGAAAGGCACGTGTGCGTGCGTGTCGATTGCTTTTATCGCGGTCGATCGAAATTGTTCGATCATGCGAAGTGCGCGAACCGTGTCCCGTATGGTGGTTCTCTATGGTGTGAACAGTGGTATGGGGTGGTGGTCTCGCTGGCTCCGAATCGGATGTTAGCACCTTCCCAACGACTGGCACATTCGCGAGGAAGCTCATAGACCATCCACGGGAATGGATGGCCTCCTTGCATAGACGTGCCGCTCTACCAGCTGGATCAATAACGTTGTCAGGCTTAGCTGGATGTTCGGGAACGTTGGTGGTGGAACGCAGGGACGTAGGTACTGCGACAATGGATTCGGGAGCCCTTCATTCAGGGCTTCGTCGTACGGTCTTCGATTTTATCGATTCGATTCCGCTGACGCTGCCTCGGCCGGGGACACCGGGGTGACAATAACCCAGACCTAGGCCAGACCATAGCCTCTTCCGGGTCTTATCGCATTATTACCTTACCATTGTCTCTATTTTATCGTGCCAGCTATCCTAACAGCCTCTTTAAATATTGCATACGGTTCTGCTGATCTTAGTCTTTTTATTTTTTATTTTCTCGATTGAAAGGTGCAATTTGGAGTAATTTTGAAGACAATTACGTTCTATAAAGGCTTCAATTTGCCAGACCGTGTATCATCATTTTGATTTTATTATTCACGAATATTCTGTTGGTCTAACAATTTTCTCGAAGGTTGCATAAGATCTGGACATTTTGATTTTATGATTTCATAAGAGTTTGCATCCCCAAAATACTAGAGCCCCGAAAATCTACTCGTACCCTCAAAAATCCGCCGAAGCCCATAGAGTATCCTTGAGATCCTTGGTGTCCCTTGGTGGCTCTCGAAGGTCCTCGAAGTGCCTAGGCAATTCCGGGCAGCTAAGAGCTCATAGATAGTCCTTGAGAATCTTCGAAGTCCCTGGGGTAAGCTTTAATATCCCAGGAATCCGTGGATCGTCCTGACGATCTAGGACATTAATATGACGGTCTTTAAGAAATCTTGAAAATCTTCTGCTTCCTTGAGGAGTTCCAAAGTCTTCCAATAATCTTCTAGATGTTTTGAAGATTTTAGAGGATCCATGGAAAATTAGTAGGATCTTTTGATTTTCTTTGGAGATCCAAAACTACGAGAATTTCAGAGAATCGTTCAATTAGTTCAAGATCCTGAATACATCACCGTGGTAGGATATTTCTAGGACACTTTAGGCTATTTCAGGATATTCCTATATTCTTCTACGACCTGAAGAATCCTCTGAGAATTTCCTACGGTCTTTAAATTCTTTCATGATCCCGAATACACCCTGGAGGCCTCTGATGGTCTCTTCCACGCCTTCCTGAAGATATTTATGTATTGCAGGACAATTTAGGATATCCTTGTTTTCCCCGAGGATTCTTTACATCGTGGAGAATATCGATTGTCTTTTACAACCACAGAAAAGCTCCTAGTAATTCTATATTTGCTAGGACCTCAGAGGTAATTGGATGTCGCTGCAGGAACATCTGTCTTTGCAGACCAATTTCAATGATCTGACAATTACTAGATAGAGTGCATATATTAACGAAAAGTTCTTTGCCACTGTCGTGATCGGACTGCCCACAATCGGTAGTGTTCTACCTCCGTTGAAACACACACCCTGTCTGCGCACGCGTACAGCACAGTGTAGTACATACTACTCTTGAATGGCACATTGCCAATTGCCTAAACAAACTTTAATAAACCATTTCCCAAATCTTAGCGAATCGGGAACTTTCACTTAATTTTTTGGAACTAACTCAATTTCGTTTGTTTTATTTACAAAAATATACATTAGAATTTCCGAAAAAACAACTAGAGAATCTTGTCAATTCTTTACAATTTAGTTGAATTTTACAGCAAGTATACTTTATTTTCGTCGAGTATGATCGTTATCCCCCAAAAGCAATTAAGCACACATGTGCACACTTTTAGAATTAAATAAAACACAGGGTTCGGATGAAAGAAGACTACGAGAACAGGTGTAAAAATGAAAATGCAGATTTGCATAAGTCAGCTATCAGTCAAGAAGATAATGAACGATGATCATGGATAAGTATAGGATCAGAGAAAGGTGGACGCGTGCATCGAATTAAAATTTCATTGAATTCAGGGTATCAAGGGCAAGGTGGAGGGGCTACGCCCCTGGGGGGGGGGGGTGCGATATCGGGGACGGCCAAGTATATCAAAGGGTAGGCCAGGCCGAACAAGGGTAAGAGGTGAAACGTGGCTCGGTCACGAATCTTCGAGGTCCTCAGACTCGGCAAAAAATGAACCACCCAGTTTGAGGATGGAAACAGGAGGAACATGTTTGCACAAATCTTCTTGCTTTGATCACGTACCTTGCTATTACAACACCAAACAACCCCTGTTTTCCTTCATTTATCGCGTACACATGTACCTACGAATTGGGGAGGACGAGCAAGTTCAAAGACCCAAGAAACTGATATTAATAATAATATTCTCCTGCAATATTTATATATTCATATAAAACTTGCATTCAATATATATATGTACAAATGCGTATAGAAAAATTTGTACACACGCGTAAAACTATTTTACAATAGCTACAATAATTTTGCAAATTGTTTATGATGATTCCAATGTACATTTAACATAAATTTATGTACATGATTTAACATATTTGGAGCAAGTGCGTGATCTAATTTATTAGATGCAGCTGTACGAAAAAGCGTTCTGGGCAGCGGATATTTGTGCAAATTAAAAATTGTTTGCATTTGTTGCAAGCGATAATTCATTTTTTCTTTCAATGATTTTAGTAAGTTGTAAATGTTAAGTAATTTTTGTCAGAAGTGCATAAGATCCGCAGTCCAATGATATCCTTTGATAAAGATACCAATAAACAGTTTTTAAAAGTAATGCCTCGCTAATTGCAAATGAACTGCCAAGCATCAAATCGAATAAAATATAGAAGTCATAAACAAGGATTTTTATCGAGGTGTACTGAAATATTATGTGTGACCGAATTCCCGGGAAATAGTGATTATCGTTGACCTAGTTCACTCCCGCGAAGGGGTGCAAAACTTTTTAATCGTTATTCGAATTCGTTCCACTTTCGAACGTGTGAAAGTGCTTCGGACAAGCCTCGGATTGTTCTGATCACTCGGACAGAAAAACAATTTGCACACAGCCTCAATTAAAACAACTTCAACAACAATTGAAATTTCATTCGAAATTTTATTTTACATAATTTACATGGTTTTTAATCCTTCTAACAGGATCTATAATATTCATGATCTGAACTTTTTACATACTTTATCCTTTGCTTTTCTTAATCTCGATTAGGTGTAAAGAACTATCGAAGAAAAAATGTGAATTGCTTTAAGGATAATGCAACAATGTAATAACTCCTCGAGCAACGGCTCGGATTCAAATTCGTTATCTTACTAATTAGATGAATACAAATTGTTCGTAGATAAATATAAGCATTCGAATTAAGCATTATCACCACACCGTTTACAAGTCTTACGCAATAAGTATCAATACAAAATTATCACCTTCATTTCTTACTTTCGTTATTAAATAGTATACATTTCGGGGTGGATGTTTGTTTTCAATTTAGTACCATGTGCCACCCATCGAAAATGGGAGCAGCCATTCCTTAATAATAACTGACAGAAATAATGCGTGTTTCATTATGCTAAAAATTTCGTGTTCGACTATAGGGAACATCTCTAATTTTTAAAAAATGGAATATTCGATCGTTGTTTTCTTTTGTTTCGTCTTGAATAATAATAATAATAATAATAATAATAATAATAATAATAATAAAGATGTGAATAATAATTTTTGCTATTTGGTTCTACTGTTTTGTAAAATTGTTTTAACAGTAACAAAGTTTTATCTCGCGAGTACTTATGGCTGTACAAGAACTACTTCATAGTCAGTCACCGGTAATAAAATTGTACTTTACAGATAACATTACATTAATCTCTGCAGTTCAAACTTTTGAACTGTTAGATAGTCTCGTGTCTATCACTGTTATAAATACATCTAAAAACTCTTCTGCCATCATCTACAATGTAAACCAAACAAATTTGTTCTTTGTCTCTTCGTGTGGTTTACTTTCTTCATATATAAAATCTCTTGATTACCTATCAAGGAACATGTTGCAATAGAATTTGCCACTTGTTATTCCTCTATGCGTTATTGTATGTATGATAATGTTAAATGTTAAGGTAGAGATGTTTGTGTCACCCTACATGTTTAATTAATCATCTCTACGTCGATGAATACTTTTGCAACTGTCATAGGTCGAGGGTAGTGTCAGATCCGTGATGATATTCACCGTCTAACAGAGGCTCTTGTTCCACCATCATGCGAACTGTGAACAAAACTATTCATGCATACCAACGAATAAGAACAAAAAGTCTTGGGCATGTGCGAATACCTCGTCATAATGTAAGTTCTATTAACAGTCTCCAACAATATACAAAAGTTTTTCAAGTAGTTTTTGTATTGAGTTGTCTAAAGAAAATTTATCCAAAATCTTTGCTTATTAAGATTATTTCAAACACTGAAAAAGTTACACAAAGACGCAGAAAACTACCATTAGAACTACTATTTTTCAGAGTTTATAACTACGTTATGCTCGTCAGGCATTAAAATGTTATTCGCACATACGTGGGCAATATGTTACACTATATTAGACAGCTATACCCATTTTTGTAACAGACCACTCATTGCAACGGTAATGTTGATCAGGGATCGGCCGCCACTCAAGTCCAAAAAATATATATATATATATGATACTCTTTTTCTTTACTTCTACTTACTTCTACTTATGCTAAACCGTTCCTATATTGGAACAGAAACGAAAGAGTCCTCATTTAAACCTACTTGTTGAGAACATGTCATGGACGCCGAACCCTTTATTTTCTACAGCCAATTCTTGGATTTTAATGGATATTAATCAACGACCGAGTTCAGAAATTGAAGAATCACATTGAACACCTGAACAATATTGTTAGGGGATTCTCTGGTGCAACGTCCTGAACGCACTCGATTATGTATTAGGAACAAGCTATAGGCAGAGATACGTGCGAACTGAATCTTTACATGCCATTATCTTCTTAATTGTGGAATCACATATCTCATGATTACTGTGTATAAGAGTAACGGGAAACATTTTCTATCCCAACTCGTTACCTAACACGCACATAATAATTAGTATCGCAAGACCAAACAATAAATCAAAGTTTCACACATCTTATCAGTAACCATCTTAGACATAATAAAAAGAATTATGAGCCATACATTA